TCATCCCTAATAAACAAATCAGCTGTGTTCATGTTCAACAACATGCAGGAAACATTCTGGAAGCAGACTGCAGCACCAGGTAGGTCAGCTCTATTTTTTTCTAAGTCCAACAGACCAGACTGGCACCTAAAAGTTGCAATTGCCATATTCTGGCCACAAAAGGCGGTGGGGGTCTGAGTTGCATTTCATGAACCCTGTAACGGGTCATTTTAGCACATACTGGCTCAAGAAACTGATTTTAAAATAAGAAAATTTAGCATATGGCTTTAAAATCTCATTTTACAAGTACCGTCTTTCTCAGATTAATCCCATAAATTGTGTTTTTTCAAAGCATTTAGGACGTGAAATCGATCGTCTACTTTGGGATCTTGAGCTGCTTTCCCCTCATTCACGTTTGACCATCTCAGCTGTGTTTCCTGCTTTCAGCTGCCTGGATGAATTAGTAACTTTGAACTCAGTTAGTTCCTTGACTCCTGGCTGCCTGCCTGGTCCCCTCTGGTCTTGTTTGCCTCTGCTTGTCGATTTGTTTCAAACTAGCAGTGTTTCCTGCTGCCTTCGTTTCTCCGTTTTTACTCACCTGCTGATCAGTGATTACTCCTTTTACAGTAATTCCTCAGATCTCTACTCTACTCGTAAAATGCATTGAAACAATTGTAAAGATGAGCTTTGATCAGTCAGATCTAATGTGGCGACAGCAGGTAAATTTATTCTGTCCAGCCCGCATCTGCCTTCCTCCTCCAGGGGACTGATTCTCAATCTTTATTTAACCTTTAGCTGTCATAAATGCCCAATGGAAAACAATATCTGTTGGCAAATAAATTATTTAGGGCGATATAAAATGCATTACACCATAATACATAGCAGCAAAGGACTTTAGTTTGAAGTTTGTTCCAAACAAAATTTAACTCTAACTGAATTATCGTAAACTGATTCCACTGAAGTGGGAAATAAAGAGCATTGTAGAATAAAACGCTCTTTTTTTATTGGGGTTGTTTAAAATGCAAATAGGCTATATTGTAGTTTAAAAAGTCTAAGTTCAGACTTGCTTGAAAAGGATTCTTCTAGCGAGATCAAGAATAAACATTTACATTTTCCACGAGTCTCAAACTGACTGGAGGACAATTATTCAAAGCAACAAGTCTGCCAAATCTGTAGCCACAGGTGTCTCCGCTGCCACATGTCTCCACCGTGTCTAAATAAGAAAATAACTCTGGGTGGACCGCCCACTCCGTACTATAAAAAGATCAGTAACTGTAATTTGGCTTCTTGTAATGGGCCTAGGAGATACCTCAGCTTTCAAATAAATTCTATATCTGTGCTTTTTTGGTGCCAAAGACAGGTGTTATCTCTGCTCCCCAGCATCGGCATGAAAGCGCCAGCTCAGATCCAAGTGGTTCCTGATGATCAAATATTCACCTGCTGGGAAGGAAACACATGATAATTTCATCTGTTGCCCTTTTTGCTTTCATTTGCTCAACAGGGGTGTACATCTAAAAACCGCGGAAAGGAAAATTCTTTGAATGCTTTGTTTGCAAAAACACGAGGCGTGAGGTTTAACTGATTTTAAAATGTCTGACCTGATAGATTTGCACAATTTCTTTTGAATAATCATCTGATCCTCACTGGAGGCTCATTTCATTTATTTCATTTGGGCCACATCAGTTCCTCCTGTTAAAGACACCCTGATTACTAAAATGCCCCAGAGGAGAGAGGAGTGAAGAGAGATGAAGCTGCACCTGTAGATTCTTTAATGATTTCAGCATCCATTATGTATGACAATGAGACATGAAAAGATTAGTTTAAATTGAAAGTTAAATTAAAATTAAGTTATTATGATGTCTGGAGCACCTTTAAAGGGGTGCTAGAATGCCGTTTATTTGAATTTGGAAACTGATCATTGAGCCTCTGTAAAGCATATAAAATGTTGCCTTGATAAATGGCCAAATAAAGTTTGTGAAAAGTTCTTTTATACAATCTTTTCACTTTAGAATATGAATAAAGGAATCAGGATACACATAGAAAATGCAATGTTAAAGCAACACTAAATAGTTTTTAAAGGGACATTATGGAAGTTTGACAGCCAAAACGTGTACAGAAATAATAAATGTCTTCTTCATACATTCTCCTGCAATGCCCTGGTCCTGGAGAATGAGCCCTGGCATTTTTACTGTGATTGCCTGTTTTTCTGTAAAATCACAGAAAAAGAGAGATGCTCGGGTCGAGCAGGCTGCTTCATGCACGTTCACGCTCAGGCATAGCCCTCCGAACCGTTCTTTGAACGTTGTTTCAGCTGTCATCAATGATATAAATGCTACAGATACAAGGAATTTCATTGGTGCTTTAGCTCTCCTAGTAAGATGTCTGACTCCCATGCAGATGATCTGGGTTCAATTCTGGAAGTGAACATAGTTCATTTAGAGTTTCTTTTTTACATCAATGGTATATTTTTTACAGTAATATGCCCAAATTTTTATTTGAGACTCACCGAACGGCATTGAATTCACAGATAAAAAAGATGTGGGTTCAACTTTCATTTTGGAACAATTTTTCAAGCAAGGGAAGGGAATGATCTGAGCATGCAGGAGGACTGACCCATCTTAAACCTTTGTCGGCTGTGCTGAAGAGTAAGGTACAGAACCAAATTATTTAATTAATTAGCTGCACGTTCTCCTGTCGTCTGTCCTCCGGGCCACACACACACACACACACACACACACACAAGGGACTGACTCAGCTGTTATTTTCATTAAGGAGTGTGCACGTACAGCATGCGCGCCTCTTGCACGAGCCTACTATTGAAGCTGCCGTTACGCTTTTGGCCTGAGGGGGCAATCGCGAGCATAAAATTTCAAAACTCCGTAAAGTCCCTTTTAAGAGATAATTCATCCTTGAGTGAACCACTAACCATTTACCATTTGTCAAGCGGTAAATGACCTGTATTTAATATAGCACCTTCTAGAGTCCTAGAACCTAGAACAATTGTAATTCTGCCTTCAACCACTAGGAGGGAGATTTGGGAAACGTATTTATTGTTGCTTTACAGTTAGGTAAAAAAAAAAAAGTGTGAACTGCAGAGAGGCTTTAGGAGGAGCCCTGTGAAACTGGAGTGTGTGTGTGTGTGTGTGTGTGTGGGGGGGGGGGGGGGGGGGTCTATATTGTCTTGGACCCTAAAATGCCTTGAAACAGCCCTGGGTGTGGGACTTAAGTCTGAAGGTGATCTGAATCGTATCAATATATAAATATTGCATGCGTATAAAATGTGTAGTGGGGATAAATCTACCTTTTCAAGCACTCTGTTTTCTTGTTTTAATTTGACTATTTTCCTGTCCTGTCGGTCTCTCATCTTCCTGCATCTCCTCTCAACCCTCCAGAAAAACTGCTGCCTGGTTTCCTACTTTTTCAGCTCAGGAGTTGCTTTTGAACTAAGCAGATCAAAGGGATCTACTGGCCACAAAAATAGCAGGGTGCACACTGCACTGCCTTGCCAGTGAGGTGAAGTCGCCGTAGCACGAGTGATGAGCTCAAGAGCAGCGGAGCGCGACAAGTACAAATAAAAGACAGAAAATACCAGAGAATAGTAGCGGACATGAACGATTGTCAGCTACCGGTAATTACATATTTTTTGGGAAGCGCTACTTTGAGAATGTTACAGTGGCCGTGCACAGGACGCAGCTGCCTGGAGTGCATCAACAGTGTTCTCTGTCCTCTCCACTTAAAATAATCCCCAGTAAGCTGAGAGTCCATATAAATAATGTAATTTATGTAGCAAATGGATCTTGTTTTGTGCTCCCCCTGGGCTTTTAGGGGAGCCCATAACCCTTTCAGGGGAGCCTTGCTCCCCCGCGATTCGAACTTTGTGTAAAAACAATTTTAGATGAGCAGTAGTACGTAACATATTATATCTTTGTTATTTATTATATACCCATTTAAATGGGTTACAATGATTATTCAGTATAATTTGTCCAGGCTCATCTTAAGTCTCACCAGAAGAGTCTGTTCCAGAAGGATAATCCTTCTTGAAAAGAAAAAAAAAAAAGATTAAGATCCTGACCAAACAATTTATGGCTTGGTTGGAAGAGCTGTGACCAAAAATCCTCTTTTCTCTAAATTTGCTCAGCTTATGTCTGCAAAAGCTCATCTGAATAAAACCACATGCTTCTTTTATACAAATTCTTTAGATAAATTAGGCTAATGTTTGACCAAAACACACCTTGTCTGTTTAGTTTTTAGGATTGTTTAATGGCAGTTTCTACTCCGTCCTAATCTCTAGCATAATGCACATCCACTTTTTATGGTGGAAAGTTCTGGTTAAATTCTTCGGTTAAAATCAGAAAACTCGCTGGTGAAAATATAAATTGTCAGAATATAAAATAAAAAAGAAAAAGTTCAATTTTCAAAAAATGTCAAACTTTATTTTATGACTATTTTGTTCAGTAAATGTTAATTCCTATTCCATTCATTTTTGTGCCACATTTGCCTTTTTTAGTTACCCCAATGTTCCTTTTAAAAGTTCTATTCAGTTTTCAAAAACTCCATTTATTTTCCCACATTTAAAAGTTTAATCGGAAAGACTCGTATGTATCTTTAAGTGCGATGTAACAGACGGTGACAGTTTTAAAATTAAATCAAAGATTAAAAACATTAAGAGACACGCTACTTACCGTCACAGAGAAAGATTATTCCTCGACTATCTTCTGGGGACAGACCAAGACAATAAATCTTAGTAAAAAACCATCTAAAAAGGCAAGAAGCCAAGAATTTTAAGTGGGTGCAGAAGGCAGCATAAATTAACGTCTTGCATTGCTATTTACAGCACCATTCATGTTTTGTGTGACATTCTCCTTACAGAGTCTTCACTTTTCTGTCCTATATGGCTCCTGCAAACTCATAAATACTATTTTTACAATCAACATTGACAGTCTACAGTTCCAAAAAAATGCTAATTCTGGTTTATTACAAGATTGTTTGCCACAGCTAAAAATCTCATTCCTCTCTCACAGACTCCAACACGCAACCCATCCATCACGAGGAGAATGTGACGTTGATGCAGAGTCGATTCTGCACGTATGATCTTTGTTTGGCTGGGATGACCTTCACTGAAAGATCCACGACAAACAGATGTGGGCTTCAAAAATCACACGCAAGCCTGAAAAGGTGTTACTCAAGAGCAGGAGCACTACAGGGGAATTGTATTTTTGCATTTTTTTATATTTTTTTGCAGACGTCCAGTGCAACCTGAGTCCTAACATCTGCAGGAATACTTGGATGACTGCTGTTGTAGGATGTGTCAGTGGTGGACAGGAGGCTGAGGAAATCCGTGGAGTGCTTAGTGACATGGTGTGGGAACAGTCAACACATTTTGAATGTGTACAAGAAAGAAATAATTTGGAGCTTTAGGAGGGGTAACAACAAGCCAAACAGTATTTTCTTCCTGAGAGAAGAGCGAGGGGGGTGGTGGAAAATGACAGCTTCTCGAGTGTTGAGTCGGACCACAGATTGGACAGGAAAAGCAACACTGCTGCTCTGTTTATAAGAAGAGACAGAGTTAGACGCCACCTCTTGAGGACACTCAGGCTCTTCATTGTTTCCAGCATGATTTTATCATAATTTTTACAAACCTTTGGTGGCAAATGCAGTTTTCTTAACAGCCATCTATTAGAGCAGCAGAATCAGACGCTGAACAAACTGCACAGGACGTAACTTTTAAACCCCCAGAATCGATTGTCATCATTCACTTCTTAGGTTTATTCCTGACTTTCTCTTCTGATTAGGAAATGTTCTGCAACGATTTCCCCCTCATGCCATTTCATTACAGCTCATTTTGATCTGTGGGTAGTAGAAGCACAAAATGGGCCCTCTTGTGAGTGACAGGAACAAATTCACTGCGGTTTGAAGTGCGACAGCAGTGAGGGGCGTCTCTGAACAGGAAGGGGTTCAACATGTGAAATGCGGACGCTTCAGCAGCAGCAGGGATTATTTGAAACTGATGGACCCACAGCAGGACTCTCACTCTGAAAGACAGCCTTGTTATCCTCCTCTAGACGGTCTTTCCAGGTGGAGCCTCTATTAAGAGGATGTGGATGCTTCTTTTTTCCTCTCTGTTTCTCAACCTCACATCCATCCATGGGAGAAAATTCCCAGTTTTATTTATTTATTTTTTTGGGTTGTTTTAACTATCTTGCACACAAGCAAAACACACATGTCCCCATCCCAGTGAAAGCTTCTACAGTCACCGTCTGACCTGCTGCTGAGTCTGGAGATCTCAGAGCAGCTGTTCCAACTCGAACCTCAGCTGACTGCTCCAGGAGGAAATATGTTGATGATCTTCCCTGTGTCCAATTAGAAGAGGCGGAGGGTGTGGGAGGCCTGTGCGAGATGTGAAGTGATGCTGCCATAGGCTTAGACTGCTGCTTGTCTTCTCTGTTGATTCTCTGTTTCTGGTTATTCTTCATATAAAGGAATGAGGGAGCCAGTTGTTTTCTTATCACTCATAAAAGTCACCCTTTACCCCGTGCTTGCTCATAATGAGAGACATTTTCTACCCCTTTCCTATAAATTAGCAATATGTTAAAGCTGGAGGCTGCTCATGCCTGAAGGATTCGTGCTTTATGTCAAACATTATGAATAGTCACTGTTTTATGGCTCTAAATAAGATGTTGTTAAGAAGGCAGCCTTTCTTTCAACAACCACTGATGCTGTCTTTAAAACTGACAAATGATCATGCAACGCTTTCCTCAAGAAACAATAAAACAGGACTGATGCCTCTAGGTGTTGCCACCATGCTGTGCTCCAGATAAATGCAGATAAACGAGTGTTTAATCCCCATCTCATTGTTTTTAATTGAAAAGTTCAAGTTGTGTTTATTTCTTTAAAAATGAAAGGCATCTCCACACGGGAGGCAAACAAGAATGCTCACAAAAAATAATTCTAAATATTTTGAGGGGGGAGTCCTGAAGTCAGTGCTCCTGCATTTTGGTGACTATTTAGACTCCTAAGTGTGACTTTTCTGCATCTACCAATGCTGAAAATATATTCATGGAAGAGAAACCATATACTTGGAGAACAGTCAGACAAATTGAGGGATAAAAGGAACAACCTCTGCATTTTAGAAAATAATTATATGTTTGCATTAAATAGTATCCATGCTGCATCAAACCTTATATTTTCTTCTGTAACTTTAGTTTTCAGCGGGACTCTTTTTATCGAGTCTTTGTTTTCCTGAAGTTAAGTTTTTCTGTAGTCAAGCATACCAAACATATATGTATGTCTTCAAGAAGACATTTCAAAATAATCTACGGTGGCTCAAAAGGTTCAATGAATAAAAAAAACTCAAAACAAGGGCAAAACCTGTGACATAAGTACCCCGGTAATATTAATATTGAGCTTTAAAAAGTACTCAAGTAAAAATAATAAAACAGTAGTTGTGGTCAGCTGTAACTTATGATAAAACCTTAAAGTGACAGTGTGTATGTCCCCTGGCAAAAGGGGACAGTACATATCTAAATCATTGCAAGAAAATATTATTTTCATTGTTCAAGTAAGACCTTACCTACGGATGGCCATTAGGGTAGAAAATCCCTGGGATTGCAACTTCCATCAAAATAACAAACACATCAGATTCCCTTTCTTCACTCGCAACGATTAAAGAGGTAAATGTATAAAATAACAACGTTTATTAATGGTGAAAGTTTTGTAACCATTTGTTACAAATCAGTACATGTGTTTTGTCCTCACGAGCTCGTGTAGAAGGAAACATGGCATCCAATATGGTGTCGCCCAGAAACTTAGACCCACTCGCATGTATTTTAGAACAGATTTTTATGGTTAAATATTATGAAACTTCCCATATCTTTCAACAGCTGGGTATCTTTTAATTAATTTACAACAACATTTTGATGGATATTTCCAGAAACTAATGGTAAAAGCTACATTTTCAATTTAAAGGGGACAAACTATGACTTTTCCTAAGTCATTACAGTTCAGTGGTTGATACTAAATATGTTTATGACATTCTTGGCACTAAATCCCTCTCACATAAAGCAAACTCAGCAATTTTATTATTGACAATGTAAGTACCTTCCAGAATGAGCCGCTTTAGAGTCACTTTAAGAAAACAAGCTGGAGTTGGCCATGCCCAGCCATTCCCTGCTCAGGCTGCTGTAAGCTGAGAAGCTCCAGTGTAGGGGAGGGGCTCAGAGTAGAGCTGCTGCTCCTCCAGCAGCAGCTCTGTCTTGTACATTAGGGCTGGTTTTATTCTAATTTCCCCATTTGTGACATCACAAACTCTGACTTTTTGAAACAGCTTATTCTAGGAAGATTTTTCATAAAAGGAAACTCCGTCAGAAAACAGTTAATTTTTTTATTTTATTTTTTTTACATTTTGAGTGTCCACAGAGGCAGCAGAGACCCACTTGGCAGCACCATTGGATGCAAAAGGTTAGTTTTGCTTAATATGTCCCCTTTTATTGTACCATAAACATTAGTAAATGAGAGACAACAAGTTTCAGGACCCGGCCATTGGACTAATAAGACCACTGCTAGAACCAACAATGTCCCAAACGTCATTCAGTATTCAGATAAGGGTCATGATGCAATCGTTTTCACCTGTTAAACGATCTACAAATGGATATATTTGGGCAAAAAGAGCGTGAGTTATTGTAGGGAGCATGCACCCTTTATCACCTCAGAATCTATGCATGTGGACTGTAAATTTGCTGCCTTGTCAGTGGGTCTATATTTAGACATTTTCAGACATTTTATTGATTAGTAATTGATGAATTGGCAGTTTAATGATGAAGGTGAAACAGACCTGCTGACCAGGCTGATAACATTGACTGAAAATGGTGTGAAGGTGTTTGGCATCTGTAGCAGGATCAGACTATTAATCCGTACAAATGGCCCAGGTCTATAGTGTGCAAGTCACTGTTGCGGAAACGGTTCTAAAAATAGCGCCAAGTAGCCAAAGGCTTGTTGCTTTTGTAGACCCAGCGAGGTCTTGCATCGCCACAGCAGGTTTGATATGAAAGCCAAAAATTGTTTTGATACGGTCGGCCAGCTGGTGATGCCGGGAGACGACAAGGTCGTCTGGGTTATTGAATGAATCCAGAGGAGATGCTGCAGTTTGTGTGGCTCTGCCTCCGCAGTTAAGTTTGTTGTCAGGCGGGTCCATCTGGTGGGCAGCAGCAGGACTGCTCACTCGGAGACATGGTACTTTTATTATTTATTTATTTATTTTTATGTGTAACTCTCACCTTCATCTGTTATTCCACGTTCATCCCTGGAGCCAGCCCATGACACAGTTTCCCACCGTGTGCAGACCGGATACAGAGGAAGTGTTTAACACACAAAGGCCTAAACTTCCTCAACTGGCGGGTTTGTGGTTGGTAAAGTCAGATGTGTTCATTTAACAATTGTTTTTCATATAATTATCATATTGTCTGACGTGTGTAAGGGAGTTAGGTTTAGCCTAAGAGTGTTTATGACCGGTAGTAAAGTAATGCCCACCCGCGGCGCTCATCTACTCTCCCCAGAGTGAGTGGAACTCAAGCCCCCGGCTGGCTGCCGAAGAATAGCGGTCGTTAAATATTCATCCTCCGTTCCCGGTGGCACACTTTTCCTCCCTGCAGACCAACCCCTGCTGCTTTGAGCTAATGCCAGAAGAGCAGAAAAGGCATGGAGCTATGGATTGAGAAAATGTAAACGGGCTTGGATAATTTTTGTTGTTTTTTTACACGTATTTTCTTCGTCTTTTCCCCCCGTGGACCTGAAAGAGGATGGGGAAACCTGACTATGGAGCACTTGGATTTCCTGAGGTTGGTTTTTGACAGCATAGACATTGCTCGTTTTTACACACACACACACTGACACACACATACTCACACACAAGCCTGCAGTCTGTCACAATAAACATTCTCCATGCAAGTTACTGCTTTTTCTGGGTTTTGGTTTCCTAGAGAACCACACGGTTATGTGATAAGATTTTAAAATCATATCAAACAAACTGTATTTGTGCAAAAGCTTCTGGATGCTGCAGGCCTACATCTTTACCTGATAACCAAATCCAAACCTATCACTGCTGCAGGTATTTAGGTGCTCCACTAGATAGCAGCAGATTGCTGCATGTTTGTGTGTGTGTGTGCGTGCACACTGGTTTGTGTGTTAAACTGACAAAGATGACCTCTTGCTTCCCCCAAGGATCTGAATGCTTTTGATGAGTCTCATCAAATGCACCTCTGCCATGATTCTGCTTTATTCTCTCAGGCATGTATCCCAGTCTCTCTGCTTCTTTTTTTTTTTTCATCTTTACAAATTCTATCAAAAGATGGAGGACCACCTGCCAACAGCGATTGCTTTGGGAGAGAGGAGACTGGCTGCAGCTCAGAGCTTTTCACGTTTGATAGGGTCTTTTCATACTCCTTCAAAGGCACACATGCAGACAGGCGCTGAATTTTGGAAAGGAAAGCACTCCAGCATCACATTCTGTTTATTTCCTAGATGACATTGTGAACCTGTGTGCACACATGCATACACATCCTCAACATGCACTCTTTGTCAGTTGGTAACGATCAGATAGACCTACCAAAAGATCTGGAAATGGCAACCCAACACCTGTAATCTGTACCAGGACAGATCCGGCAATCTGACGCCCTCCCTCTGGAACAGGGATAATTTGGTTGGTGGTGCTGACAATCACAGCACTGTTACCGATCCTGTGTATGTTTCTGACAGGTTTTCGTCAGATACCAAGATAGAAGACACCAATCATTTCTTCAACCAGCGGTTGTTAACACCCACATCTGTTCTGTATGTGTAGACACACATTATGAATGACTGATTCACTCATTTTGAGTTTATTTAAATTAGAGGAAAGCATGTGTTTGTGTGCACCTTAACATCCTCACACCTGCCAATATTTGTTTGTGTGGCTTAAACAGAGAAAGCAGATTTCAGAGCAGATGGCATTCAGATGTTCCACGCGACTTCTATTATGTACACAAATTAAGTTTGAGGTTGGTAGTTATTGGATAGTTGATGGCTTCTTATTGCCAATCAGGCTTATCTCAGTGTCTGTCTCTCGCTGTATCTCCGAAACTATTGTATTATTTATGCTCCGCCCCCTCAGCCGCTCAGAGATCTCAGGTTTCACCTGTAGAGCCAGATGAAGACTTCCACGACCTGATACAAGGAACTGTCTACACACACACACACACACACACACACACACACAAAACTCATCTGCCCTTCTCTTTTTCTCCCTGTCGAACGTTTCTCGTGTACACACTGGGTATCCCACATGCCGAGAAGCGCTGTGTGTGAACATGACGCCGTGCTGAGTTTTGGAATGCCTCAAAAGATATAGTAGCTCACAGGAAAAAGAAAATTACAACCTTTAAACATTCGCCTACAATTTTTTTCTTTCTTTCTTTCTTTTTTAAATTTTTCTTGAACCTGGAGGGGATCTATGATCCGGACACAACAAATTTGAAAACTCCAGAACCAACCTGTGAATACAGACCTTTTTTTAGCCACTGTTTGGCACTGAAGTGAAGGTGATTGTGATGGAAAGCCGTCTTCAGGAAAGATTTTGGCAACACCATCCCTAAAAGTTGACACTGGATTCAAATCTACAGGAGAAATACCGACCCACAGACGGGGCAGAGCTTGAGCTGGAGTAACTGCACATTTTTCATGTTAAAAGGTTGAATCTGGTGTATTGCAGAAGCGCCTTAAGGATCTTACAGAATGGAAACGAGCCAAACCAACATATTTACTATCTGTTTCGTAATAGCTGTAGCTAGGTTATGTTTGACAAAGCTATTATTGGATTAGCAGACTCTGTTTCAACCTCTGACTCGTTCAGTCTACTGAAATAAAACTTTGTGTGCTTATGAGAATTATTATATTTATCAATAGTTACACTGTTCAGAGCAGTTATGTAATGTACATATTTCCTAGATGGAAGATTGAAACCTTACAGTAACTACTTCAAATGATATTTAAAACTGGAGCGTAAGGAAATACCAGATAGCAGTTATGAAGAGTAAGAAAATAGGAGTTAACAGTATTACTAAGGTTAATTTAATTCTAGTAAATAGCACTTGTTATAATTCCTGAATGAGTTGGTGACATTAATTATATTGTGAAATATTTTAAAGCTTGTGTGAAAATGTGTGTTGTTACTAACATTTAGTTATGCATTTCTGGATAGAAGCCTTCATGGGGATCAAATTTGAGCAGTGCAGAACTGCTTGGCCTAGGTGGACTTCTCCTCATACTGAACCATCCCATAGTTCCACTGGAAAGTTATACAGGCATATCTAACACAACAAATCTTTTAAAGGTTGGTTTGTGATCACTTTTGCTATAAATTAGATTTTACATCAACAGCAGTATTGTTACATTGCTGCTTTACAATTATGACGTGTTATTTCTTTTGTTCGAAGGTCAGCAGCATTGCCTCCTGCATAAGAGACATGGTGTTCGTCTAGCCATTTTACAAAATGCCAGGCAAGAAAGATGCAAAAAAGGACACCAAGAAGGGTGGTAAAGCTGAACCAGAGAAAAAAAAAGAAGAAGAAAAAAAAGGGAAAGATGACAAAAAGGGAGGAAAAGATGACAAGAAAGGTGGAAAGGATGACAAGAAAGCTGGTAAAGATGAAAAGAAAGGTGGAAAAGATGATAAGAAAGGGGGGAAGAAAGGAAAGGAGGAGACACCTAAGGGGAAAGATGATGGGAAAAAAGGAAAAGACAAAGGAAAAAGCAAGAAAGTGGAATCTGAGGAAGAAGAGGAAGAACCCCTAAGTGAAGAAGAGGAGTTCAGTGAGGAAGAGGATGAAGAAGACTCAGAGGATGACAGGAAAGGGCGTGGTCGAGGAGGTAAAGGGGCTAAAGGAAAAAAAGGTGGGAAATCTAGACGTGAGGAAGACTCTGAAGATTTTGATGAGGATGAGGATGATGAAGAAGAATATGATGAGGATGAAGACAATTATGGTAAATCCAAACATAAATCTAAAGATAAAGGAGGAAAATCTGATGCAGATGCTAAAAAGAAAAAAGGCAAAAGGAAAGAGGAAACTCCGCTGGCCCCTACAAAAGAGATACCAAAAAAAGGCTTGAAGAACATGTCCAGGATGTTTATGAAATTTTCTGGTTTCAAAAGGCGCAGAAACAGTGTAAAGAAGCTGAAAAGTACTTCACGTCTGTTCCTTGGATTGGGGAGAAGAAAGAGTCGAATAGCTAAGAAGAAACGCCGAAAATCTATGTTAAAAAATACCTCTCGTTTCATGATGAGGTTTAAGTCCAGCCAAAAGAAAAAGAAGGAGAAGGAGGCCAAAGAGAAGGCAGCTGCAAATGGTGGGAAAAAGCCAACGTACATGTTGCTTCGTCTGGGAGGAGGAGACTCAAGGAAGAAAGGCGGTTTCTTCAAAGGTTTATTTAAAAAAAAAGACAGCAAGGGACCTGCAGACGACTTCAAAAACAGCAGCTCGTTACTGGGTAAGGTTGCAGCGGTGACTAATTGGCTAACCAAACGCTTCCTGTCCCGCAAAACAGGAGAACATTCAGGACGCCATGGCTTTGGGGGTCGTAGAGGAAACAGAGGACAGTCCAGTTCCAGACGGCATCTCCATGGTTATTATAATGATGGCTATGATTTTGAGGAGGATGACTATGGACATGACCATAATGGTTATGCTTATGGAGAATATTATGATGATGATGGCTATGGTGGTTATGGAATTGAGGCAGAGCAGGCATATGCAAACCAGGGTCAATATGGTTACTACGATGAGACAGGGCGTTATCAAGATCAAAGGTACTATGATGAAGGGTTCTATGATCCAAATCTAGAATATTATGAAGATGAATCGTATGATCACAATAATCCTTACACTTCTGCTCAAGGTTATTATGATAACCAGGAAGCTAATTATTTTGGGTACCAACAACAACAAGCAATGTATGGTGATGAGGCTCTTGACTACTATGCACTAATGGGTGAGGGTCATATGTATAGAGGGGAGATAGATGGTTTTGTTGACCCTCAGGGTCAAGTGTATTATGATGAAAATGGCCAAGAACTTTACAATGGAGATGGTCAAATGGGTTACTCTGATATTGGACAATCAGGCTATTATGAAACCCCTTATCCAGCAACAATGGGAATGCACGGAGGATTTCCACCAGACATTCAGCTTGGCTATAGTGATGCTGGCATGCCCTATCAAGACCTAAGCTCTCAGCAAATAATTGGATTCCCACCTGGAAGTCAGCAGGTCCTTGGGTTTGGAGGGCAAGGATTTGATCAGCTAGAGGGCCTAAACGGAGGCCAATATGCTGGCATGATGAATCACCAAAGAGATGATACTGGTGGGATTCAGCAAGGGGACATTACATTTCGAGTTCCCAGACCTCAGGTGCGCCTATTTGGTAAAGAGCGTCTAGATGTTCCTTTGCCCCCTCCGCCTACCTTGCCACCTGATCCAGAATTTGAAAATATGTCAGAAATCCAGTATGAAGACCAGGTTCCTCTTGTACCATTTCAGACTGGAGACATGATGTTGCTACAGCAGCAAATGCCAATGCTACCACAACAACAAATGATGATGTCCTCTCAACCACAAATGCCCCCTCAACAACTGATCTCTCCACAACCTCAGATTGTGTCATCACCACAACAAATGATGTTTCAACAAGAACATATTTCACCCCAAATGATGTCATCAGAAGTGTTAACACAGCAGCATTTTATGCCTCAACAAGTGACTTCCCCCCAGCAGCAAATGACATTATCACAGCAACAAATTAACTCCTCTCCACAGCAAATGGTGTTTCAACAAGAAAACAGTGTGTCACCCCAAATGATGTCAGCAGAGATGTCAACACATCAGCAATTTATGCCCCAACAAGTGATGTTCCCGCAACAGCAGGTGATGTCAGAGCAGTTGTTGTTTCAACAACAGATGCCCCCACAAGCATTTCATCCACAGGTAAGTCTATTGTCATTTACTTTAATTTGGAGGGAATAATGTAGTATGTCTATGTTTTATTTGTCAGATGACACAAAATAATGGCATAATAGAAGTGGAGTAAAAAGAGTATCCAGGTATATTTTAAACTGAGGATATGTGGTATTGTATGTTTTTTGTTATGAATGCAGATTATGACAGACCCTATGATGATATCACAGCAACAAGGTTCCACACTCCCACCAATACCAACACCAACAGCCACGATCATCAAACAAGCAACCATGTCTCCCCTTCCCTCACGCCGGATACAACCTTCTCCAACTCCATCTCGTCGATCTGTCATAATGCCTTCCCCGCTAATGCAGCGGCATTCCCCTGTCCCCATGGTTCCGCCCGAGCCTGCTCCTATAATTGCACAGAGGCACGGCCCCTCTCCGCAACCATCTATGAGGCGTGGGTTCATTAATGCCCAAAGACCACCCTCTGTTATGTCTCGACAAATCTCACCTCCTGCCTCCCCTATGGCTTCCCCACTTGTTCATCGTAGAATGCAGCCTCAAAAGGCATTTTCTCCGCTTCCTCAAAGACCATCATCACCCCCCCACCCTCCCCGTGCCTCCATAATTCATCGTAGTCCTCCACCATCACCCAGAGCACCAGTAAGGCAACCTTCTCCACCTTCATCACCCAGACTATCAATGAGGATGCGAAGTCCCCAGCCATCACCCATTCCTGCCCGGAGTCCATTTAGAGAGCGACAGATGCAAGAATCACGTTCATCTCCCCTCTCCCCTTCTCATCAGTCACTTCCTCTCTCTCCAAGACTCACCCGAAGATCTTCTCCATCTCCACCTCCATCTCGTCGAAGTTTATCACCTGCAGGACCTCGTCCAGCTGCATCCTCTCCTACTCTTTCTCGACGCTCAACTCGATTGCTAAGAGACCCCACTCCATTGGCCAGGCCTAGGATGGGAGGAAATGTTCCTTTAGGTACTGTGAGGCCCTCCCCCATGGGTCTCAGGGGACGTCCAGTTCCCCCACCAACCCAGAATGTGCGTCCATTTCGTGCATCTTCTTTAAGAAGTAATAGGTCATCTGTTCTTACTATAGACTCATCCATCCACTCTTCACCTCGTCATTCTCCTCGTATGTTTCATCATGCTCCCCTTCAGAGGAGAGAATCTGGTCGAATTCCTCTTCGCCCTATAGCACGAGGGCGGCCACTTATGACCCGGCAGTCCACCAGAAGCATGCCCCCTGCCTCCCCACAGCTCTCCCTCAAACAGATGTCACACCACGCATCTCCACATCTCTCTCCTCAGCTACATCATCAGACTTATGAGCCTTATGTGCCAGAACAATCACATGAATTTGTTGTTCCATCATCTCCCATGTTATCTGGTTCCTTACAGAACCAGGGTCACATATTGAATATGCAAAACCAAGCTATTCAGGATGTGCACTATTCTCCCTTTATGCAGACACCAATGTCCCCTTATGAGCAGCCTTTGCCTTCTTCCACGGTACTGTCTGGAGCACTACAAAACCAGACTGTCAGAGATGCATCCTATGTGTCTCCACTTGAGAGGCCTCAGTCTCCTTATGCTGGATCTGTGCCCTCATCACCAATGCTTTCTGGAGCTCTGCAAAACCAGGCAATGAGAGATGCGTCCTATGTGTCTCCACTTCGGAGGCCTCAGTCTCCTTATGCTGGATCTGTACCCTCATCACCAATGCTTTCTGGAGCTCTGCAAAACCAGGCAATGAGAGATGCGTCCTATGTGTCTCCACTTCGGAGGCCTCAGTCTCCTTATGCTGGATCTGTACCCTCATCACCAATGCTTTCTGGAGCTCTGCAAAACCAGGCAATGAGAGATGCGTCCTATGTGTCTCCACTTCGGAGGCCTCAGTCTCCTTATGCTGGATCTGTACCCTCATCACCAATGCTATCCGGAGCTCTGCAAAACCAGGCAATGAGAGAAGCGTCATATGTGTCTCCACTTGAGAGGCCTCAGTCTCCTTATGCTGCATCTGTACCATCATCACCAATGCTATCCGGAGCAATGAGACGTGGTCAGGCAATAAGAGGTGTGGCTTCTTATAAAACTCCACAGTTACAGTCTCCATATGGACCAACGGTTGTCACACCATATGATTACATTTCTGAGCCTGGTCCAGCGCCACTGCTCCAAGATGCACTCATCAACAGAAATGATTTGCGAAATGTGTCTAATTTAAAATCTCCCATGATGCAACACCGCAGTGCTTATTCACCAAGTGGACCCCAGCTCCACAATGCTCTTCAGCAGAACCCAAACCTTCGCCAGGCATCTTATCATACACCAATGCAACTACAACGGTCCTCGCCTGGATTTCCACCACCCTCTTCACCAATGTTGGGAAGTGCCCTACAAAATCCTCAGTTGATGCAAGCATCGTATCGCCTACCAAATGGAGCTATGATCTCACCTTATGCAGATCCTCGTTCTTCCCCATTGCTTGGCCATGCACTACAAAACCAACAAGTTCGCAGCGCCTCATATATGATGCCAGATGGATCGATTATCAGGGTGTGTATAAAATATATTAATTGAAGCTGCTATGTATAATTCTCTACATTTTTATAATTATTTAAATTTTTACTCCTCAACACAACTCTCTTACTCTACACAAACAGGACCCGCGTGTACTTCAGAAGCCAATGTCACCTAATCTTTCTGGGGCTCTTCAAAACCAGTATCTCAGGGGTGCCTCATACACTCTTCCTGATGGCACCATTCTAGATCCCAGACAACAAGTAACCTACAACCTTTGGTTCCTTACTTAGCAGTTCATTTACTTTTTGTTATAGTTTTATCTTCAGCAATATTTATAAAAAAATGTTGTAGTTCAAACTAATTCATATTTTCCTCTTTCAGCAACCTATGTCCCCAAACCTTGCAAGGGCCCTAAACAACCCAGCTCTGCGTCAAGCTTCTTACTCTCTACCTGATGGTACAATTGTGATCGACTCCAAGACAGAAAAGTCCCCAAACCTTATGGCAGCACTTCAGAACCCTTACCTAAAGAGTGCCTCTTACACTCTACCAGATGGCACTATTATTATTGATCCACGAAAACCTGCTTCTCCAAACCTGTCCAATGCTCTTCAAAACTCCTCACTAATGAACACCTCTTTCACACTACCAGATGGGGTTCGAAATCCCAACACTCCTGTGTCACCAAATCTGGCAAAGGTTAACTATAAATATTCTTTTTTTTCTAATATTTCTTCTACTTAATTTAGATTTTACCTATTCACTATAACACAGCAAGGAAAATCTGAACAATTTTCTGACATAGTTTAGTTTTGCCACACTCAGAAATCCAATCTGCAGTTTTTTCTCTTTAGGAAAAAATTTTCTTAACATCTCACAGTTTTTGCTGTAAATGAAACCATTATGTTCCATAGGCTCTCAACAACCCAGCCTTGAAAGCAGCTTCATACACCCTTCCTGATGGAACTCTTATTGTGGACCCGAGGAAACCAAAAAACCCAAACTTGATCGCTGCTTTGCAAAATCCATATCTAAAGGATGTGTCCTACACCCTACCTGATGGAACCATCATTATTGACCCAAGGAAACCAGTTGGTCCTGACTTATCTAAAGTATGTGCTTAGTAAAATTGTTTCACTTAAAAACGCTTTAACTGACAAAACTTGTTTTGATTTACAAACAGTATTATTCACAAAGATTTCTGATGGATAGGATTCATAGTTTTTACTTGTTTATGTGCTACCACTTGCAGGCTCTTTTGAATCAGAACCTTCGTAAGGCATCATACCAACTCCCTGATGGTTCTCTGGTTCTTCCCGGTCAGAGGTCTTTACCCCCAAACTTGTCAGGTGCTCTCAGGAGAAACCAGGGGCTTCGTTCAGTTAATCTCTATCATTTATCGGAAAACTCAGTACTGTCTGGTGCACCAAAACCAACCAGTCCCAATGTTGCTTCTGCACTAAAGAATGAAGAACTACGTGGTGTCACGTACAGGTAAAAGGCTGGAAGTTTAATTAAACCTAGAAGCAAGGGAAATGAAAACAAACACAAGGCAAAAATGTGACTATTTTGCACAAGTCATTTTACAGACTACACAGAGATAAAACAAAACTTTAACAATGGTTAAGAGTTGAAAACAATGGCTAATATTCATTCTCCAAAATCTACCTTGCTCCACAGGCTGCCAGATGGCTCTCTTCTCACACGCCGGTTCCATAACCCAAAAGTGTCTGATGCCATCCAAAACCAGCAGCTTCGTTATGCTTCGTACACTGTGCCAATGGGGCTCCAGGGAGAAGACCATCGCTATGCTGTTATACCTCCTTATGGGCCACGATCTGGCCACTGGGCTAGGAATGTCCAAGGTGGAGGTGAAGGTGGAGAGGATGTTTGGGCAGCTGAGAGGATTTTGCCACATGGTACACTTCAGAATTTGTCAAAGTGGTCTATGTACAAAGAAGATGGGATGTTAGAGGGATACTTCCCAACTCCTCCAGTTGTGAGCAGACAGCATCAAAAGCTAGACTGGACTCCAGACAGAGATAGAGTCCCAGGTCAAAGCTGGTATGATAAGGTACCTACATTTATGAATTTATGTAGATGATCTACATCTGAAAAGAACTGGTTCCAGTTTTTAGCTAAATTTAAGCTTAGAACTTTAAAAACATTGATCTTGTTCTACAGATATTATATCCATGTATGTAACAATGAGTGAGAAACAGATTATTTCAGGAATATTTTTGGAAATTAGGGCATTTTTCTGTAGCTTTAACAAGACTACCAAAACTTCACCATATTGTAATTTAATCTAAGCATGGAATTAAAACGTATTCTTCCTTTTTTAGTTGGTCTAACGATGTAATGAATGTGTCCAGATCTTCTCTGTTTTAAGCATGCCCACAGCAGTCCACAGGGTGCAACGCTGGGCAGAGGGAATGGAAGACATGACGCGGCTGCCGTAAGCACCACTCACAAACACATATGATAAACTATTGCATCCAGTTCTGAAACTCGTTGTTTATTTTAGGGCATTTTCTTATAGTTTCACCAGTCAGATTTATTAAATACCACGTTTTTGCCATGTCAACATTTTTTAAGGACCTTGATTTGCATTAACAAGTAACTAACATTGGATATCAAAGTGATTGTCACACTGTGCTCAGTGGATTTATTTAATTTCCTCTGTTTAATTTCAGTGAGCTGAATGAGACCACAGTTCTGATGAATCTGAAGAAACGCTTTGATCACGAACTTGTATATGTATGCAGAATGTCTAATATGCAAATTAAGTGTCTAATATAATCAAGTGTCGCAGACACTGCCAGCTCTGTGAATTAATTTAGTTTCCCTGTTCTCCTCCACATTTTGCTTCCTTAGACATACATTGGCAGTATCCTTGTGTCTGTGAACCCTTACAAGTTGCTCAACATTTACGGCACGGACATGGTGCTGCAGTACGAAGGCCACGGTCTAAGTGACAATCCTCCGTAAGACCTTGGAGTGTGATTGCTTTTGTGTTTGGATGTGCCAAATTTGTTTAATCCCACACTTTTTACTTCAAGTAATCTTTTAACGTTTGTTGCTCAGTTTGATGCAATAACCCTGTTTTTATGTATGCATTTTGTTAAAGAAGGACGCAGAATAAGTAGAAGCAGAGTTTTAAAAAACTACTACGCATATTTGCACGCAGCAATATTTTTGTTTGAAGGGCTGGAACGTACTTGCTTCCTTCACAGTTAAGTGTAATTTGCATTTAGAAGCATCTGAAATTAACGTGACACGTTCTCAACATGCAAGTAGCCATTAGGTGGAGTTGACAAACAGAGTGAGACATCATGATTGTCATGCCGTCTCTGATTTATAGGTCTTGCTTTTCTACAATACAGCTACTGTCTTTTTTCTGTTGTGTTCCATAAATCAACCAGCTGCTGATCGCTCCTGTTGTTGCCATGTTTGTGTACCCTACAAATCTGGCCCTCTATCTGATCTGAGTTCTATACTCTTCCCCCTAGTGGAACCTTCCTGTACTATGTGCAGTGCAGCAGAAAGTTTGTGAGCAAGACACAACAGCCTGCCGCCTTTGTCAACACAGGGTTAAAAAGCAAGAATATTCCCAGCCTAAGCTGTGTTCATAGACTCTGCATTATGGATAGTACGGGTGTAAATGTGTTCATTCTGTTAGTGACAGACTACTATTACACCAGTGTTGGGTGGTGGCAAAGGGAAGACTACAGTGATTGATTCAACTACAATGTCTTTAGCAAACAGGAAACACACGTGATTGGTGTGCCAATTTTTTTTAAATTAAAAAATAACTTTACATTGTTTTGCAGTCATCTCTTTGCCATTGCTAATCTCTCATACACAACCATGATGGATGCCAAAAAGGACCAGTGTATTGTGATCAGGTATGAAATGCTGTTGTGACTTTTTTAAAGCCATGTTGTGCAACATTTTCATATTTTTAAATCGTTTTCTTGAGCCAGTATGTGCTAAAATGACCATTTACAAGGTTAATGAAATGTCACTCAGACCCCCACCGCTTTTCTATTTCAGAGAGTCGGTCTGGTCTGGTCATGTTTTAGATCATGCAAGTAGCTTAATTGTTTGATTTGGTGATGCATCGCTTCTGTACACTAATGAAGGCTGGGGAGACATATCAGCTGATAGCTTAAGGTTAAAAAGACGAACGCACAGCGAGGAGATACGTTTCGCTTTTGGTTTTACTAAACGGACACTAGGGGGTGCTAAAAGCCAGTAAAACTGCTAAGTGTGCTCTTTAACGGGACTTGGTTGCATTTTTGTTACCATATTGATCATTTAGTTCATTTTTAATAATTGTTAAGTAAGTAAGTGGTTATAAGTAATGGTTTTTAAAGTCTACGTGTAGCCTTCACACACCTGCACTTTCAATCTAATTAACTTGCCGAAAAAGTGACCAAATTCCTAATGTACCTTACAGATGGTCTTGACTAATATTATTCTCATAAAAAATAATTGTGTGTTGATTTTGCAAAAATTCTTGATAGATTAATGAAAATGGTATGATGTGAACACCATAATTTATTGAACCATTGTTGACAACTTGTATTAAGAAATGTTATGTGCTGTAAAAAAATTGCTCATATATTTGTTATTCAAGTGGAGAAAGTGGGTCAGGAAAGACTGAAGCCACTAAACTGATCCTGCGTTACCTGACAGCCATACACCACAAGCGTAACGTCACACAACAGGTAGGTATCCAGTGACTTTACCTGTAAACCTATATACAAACTGAACTTTAAACCATGGTGGTGTAAAAGCTTGTCTCCTCTTTTCTTCCATGTGTGTGACATCATCTTTCAGATTCAGGTAAAGTGTTTTACTCTCTCCAAAAGCAGGATTTTTGTTGCTGGTAACCATGGTAGCATTTCTTTGTGATGATTGTTCAGATCCTAGAGGCTACACCCTTGCTAGAGTCTTTTGGAAATGCCAAAACAGTGCGCAACGACAACTCTTCACGCTTTGGCAAATACACGCAGCTCTATATGGATGAGTGAGTAGGAACAACATCTAATAATGTTTGATGATGTTTATGACAAAGGAAGCAAAAGCTGCAGCAGTTCCAGGTTTTCAGAGCTTATAAATCGTAAATAAAAATATTTAGTGTTTAATGGTTTTAATGAATATACTTTCAGCAAATCAAAATCTGTCATTTGAAATTGCTTCTCTCACAGCTTCAGGTAGCCGTTTTAATGTAGTGTAATTCCATATGGAAGCCTTTATGTTGGCTCAACAAGTCACAGGGTGGACTAGTTGTAAAATAAGCTAACATGTCCCAGTAACACAGCTAGATCAGATGATGGGCCTCTGTTATGCAGAGCTGAATACATTACACATGTATGGCATGTTACTTAACTCATTGTCTACATGTGTGTTTCATTCACTAGGGGTGTAATCAGCGGTGCCATAACGTCTCAATACCTGCTGGAGAAGTCCCGCATTGTCTTTCAGGTAAAAACCACAAGAACATACACACAGCAGGCCAGGTGGAGTCTTCTTACAAGTGACTCATAGTGAGAAAGAGGATACTGTAGTCGAGACCCAAAGCTTTAAGCATGCTGTTAGCTAATTCTGCTAGTTTGACCAATTTGGTGACTTTCCATCCAGCCATCAATGCCATTTATGTTTGCCTTTTTGTCATCTTTGTTGGTTAATCAACTGTTTCTTCTATATAAGATCAGAATTTCCTCTTTTTTGTTTGCATCTGTGTCAGTAACTGTCTATATGACTGAGTTTTTCATGTATTTGTGTCTGTGTGTGTTTTTCTCCACAGGCCAAATCAGAGAGGAACTACCATATCTTCTATGAGATGTTGGCAGGTCTTCCACCTAATGAGAAACGCTCGCTGTATCTGCAGGAAGCTGAGACTTACTACTATCTAAATCAGGTACACACACACACACACACACACACACACACACACACACACACACACACACACACACACATCACTTGGGAAGATTTAGGTTTCAAAGTTCCTTCCAGGCAGGTTGGAAAACAGATAAAGTACACTGCTTTTGCTGATAACCGTACATATTATTAGCTTATCAGATAGCATTTGTGCTGCCTGTTTATCAAAAAAATCATAATTCTTTGAATTTTTACATATCGCACTTTTACTTGCACTCTTGACTTTTTTGAGAGATAACTATGTATTTGTGCAGAGTAGGCTCAAATTAATCACATTATCCTCATCAGAAGAGTCATACCAAATAAAGATTGGCTTCTAAATTATCCACAATGTCACAAATCTTTGGTGACCTCAACTCAAGTTTGAACACAGCTATCTGCATAGTGAAATTGTGTCATTCAAGGAAAACTGAATTGTGTTGCCCCTCTCTTTTCAAAATTGAGTTTAACAGCATAACTGTAAGTGGATTTGTGACACATCCATCATGTCTGTTTACTTGTTGTGTTCTGGTTGCACAAATGTCAAACAGAAGCTGCGGCTCCTGTGGGATTGCCGTTGAATTTGGTTTGTGCGTTTGTGTATTCCTCAGAATGCGGCTTAATGACTTTATGGGTTCTACGATGATTCATTTGGGGTTTTCATTAACTCACATTTTCATTACGTTCAAAACTTTGGTTCTTGATTGAATATAAATGAATGTATTAAATGTAGCTGAACTTTGCAGTTTGTGCCTGACTTTGAGAATGAAAAATGTTGCTTTTTTTGCTCTCATAATAAGAAATATCCCATAAATCCAACAGTTTCAACTTTAACTCTTTCCATCAGGTTACTGTTTAAGTCACAATGATAAAAGTACGATTGTGCGTGTATAAAATAATGTACCATATGTTTAGCAACCTACAACATAAGTACATTTGGCCCAAGAAACAATTTGTTTTACTAAAATACTTTTTGATGTTGACTGTTGTTATTGGCTAATGTTTTTATATGCTGAAACCTACCGTAATTTCTGGACTATAGAGCGCACCTCAATATAAGCCGCACCATCAAAAAAAAAAGGTTTTCTACACACACATGTCGCTCTCAAATACAAGCCGCGGCGCAACAGCCACATGCAGGTCTCCGGCGCATATACGGCCATAACATAAGAAAATTAGACAGAAAGACGCTACACGGAGGTTTTCCGTCGTTGTTTTAATTCAACAAAAGCAATTTTAAACACGGGTGAACATGCCTGCAAGTTTAGAAAAGAAAACAGCACTGATAGCATTCATATTTCTGGATGGTTATACAATCAAAACAGCACTGACATGTTATTGCCGGTCATTTGCATGTTTAGAAGAAAAGAACAGCGCTGACACAGCATTAATAAGCCCTGGATGATTAGAAAATAAAAACTGCACACAAAACATGCCTGGTTAGTAAATAAAACACACTTGCCTACCAGAAGAAGTCATTCGCTCTCATCTTCCTCCTGCGCACTAAAGCCATTAAAGTCCTCTTCTTCAGTGTCGGAGTTGAACAGCCTCAGAAGAGCTTCGTCACATTCCTTTTATGTGGCGATGTCAGTGTCGCTGTCCGTGTTGCTGTCATCATCCCCGGGTGAAGCTGGCTTGAATGAGTTCTTCCCGCTGCCGTCTCCAGCGCCGAACCATGGATTCATTCATGCCAAGCTTACGTGCGGCAGCACTGTTTCCCTCCTTTACTGCCAGATCGATGGCCTTCAACTTAAATGTGGCATCATATGAATTCATACATGTAGTTACCATGATGAGGAGGTATGGATTTGAAAAAAATTATTCGTCGTGCCGGCTACTTGCATGTGCTGAATCAAAATGAGCACTTCCATGTTGTCGTTCTTTTATAAAACACAGAAACGGTTTTGTTACCTGTTATTGACGCTACAGTTTCGCCGACGGCTGCCGGCTTCTTCAGGCTGACGCTGATGGTGGCGCGTCACTTCCTTCTCCATTTATCCGTTTTACTGTTTCTGTGTTTTATAAAAGAACGACAACATGGAATTAGAAATAACGCACAGCAAGAACACACCTAAGATGTTCAAAATGAGCACTTTCTTCGATTTCCACTTTTGACTTCCACCTGTTTCACTTTCTGCTAAAGCGCCCCCTGCAGGTGAAGGAAAATCTTCAGTAAAGCCGCACCTCATTATAAGCCGCATGGTTCAAAGCGTGGGAAAAAAGTAGCGGCTTATAGTCTGGAAAATACGGTATACATATTTTTTGGTGACTTGTCTTTATTTTTACATCAAATCTAAACAAGCAAATTACTCACTGGATGTGCATAGTATTCAAATGATCTCTGCTAGCTATTCCAATTAAACATCGAACCAATTATTCAACTAAATAACTAGTTATGCATTTACTTACTTTACATCTGTCAGCTGACTATTAAAGGGGCCATGTTATGGTAAATTGACTGTATTTGATATAGGCAAGGCAAGGTAGCTTTATTTATATAGCACATTTCTTACACAGAGGCAATCCAGTGTGCTTTCCATTAGCAAGAATAGCAAGAACATTAAAATCAATATGACAGAAAATACTATTTAAAATTAAAAAGAAACAAAGGTAAAGTTAAAGCTGCTTTCTGGAGTTTTCCTCTTTCAGAAATTATGTATGATTTGTCAGAAATCTGTAAAAGTGATTATTTTATCATGTACTGTGATATAATATAAGCAATACGTCATTTTTATTTTTTTTGCTAAGCACGCCCCCTGCCCCGCAGAGCTCCGTGCAATAGGAAACTGAGCGCTGACCAGAACTAACCAATAGTGTTAGACTACCGCTTAGATGCTTCAAATTTAAGGAATACCTCGGCTGATGCAGAGTTGATGAACTTTTCACGGACAAGAAAGTCTCTAAAATATAAATATATGAAAACACAACATGACATGAGAATAATACTCATAAAACAATGTGTTTTAAATCTGTTTGTCGGCTACAGAAGCACATTTATAAACAGAAACATGAAGTTGCCATCTTAAAAAAAAAACAGAGGAACAGCGTTTTTGTGTGATACGCTTGTCAGCTGGTGCATTGGATAAGTGAAATACTCCAGAAGGAAGCTTTAAAGGGTGAGCTAAGGCATCTAGTTTTCTTTTCCTTAGAAGAGGCTCAACGGCATCAGTTTTCAGTGATTTAGGAAAAATGCCTGCCATTTGGGAGCATATAGCGCCTTCTAGGTTTCTGCAATATTTCAAGGCACTTTGCAACACAATCAGTCACTCACACACACATTTCAGCCCCTTTTAGAAGACACGCTATGCTAACAAATCAACGTTATACTGCTGTCACATTGTGTCTTGTGGCATATTACCGCGACAATCTGGCCACTTATAAATGACCTAAGGCTCCCTGATGCCGGCTCGATGTTGCGGCAAATTGGCAGCATTGTTTTCTAAAAGAGGCTTTACTTGATGGTGGTGATGAGCCTCACTATAGCCACTGCTGCCCTTGGGGTGCGCTGACATTTTTCTTAGGCTATAATAGTTCAATGGTTGATAAAAAAAAACATGCTCATGAATTTCTTTGCATAAAATCCATCTGAAATGAAACAGTTTCAGCAGTTTTATTCTTGACAGTTTCTGTTCTTTCCACAACATGCCATTTTCATGCTCTGTCACTTTAAAACAAAACAGCTGGAGCTCAGGCTGAGGAGCTCTGATATCCGGGAGGGGCTTGAAATAGAGCTGCTGCTCCTCCAGCAGCAGCCCTCTTACACATGGGAGGAGCTTATATTCTAATTTCCGCATTTGTAATCCATGACCTTTTGAATCGACTTGTTTTAGGCGCATGATTTCTAAAACTAAACATTGACAGAAAAAGAATGGACAGACTTTTCCATGTTTGGAGTGTTTATAGAGGCAGTACAGACCAACATGGCAGCACAAAAGGATGCTGAAGGTGAGTTTTGTCAGGTTTTGTGGCTGAGCTGAGGCGTAGCAGAGATGGGTTAGACAGAGCATGCAGCTTTACTCTGGGAACGGCGAGACAGCGCTCGGAGAGAGCCGAGACTGAGTAGCAGTTCCGGAAGGATAAGGAAGCTGGCTTACTGGTAGTAGACAGCGTGGATATATCCTTGTGTTGGGTTTGAGGGCTGGTAAGCCTGAGAACTCGATTCAAAGTCTGGTAGGAACGATGACTGAGTGATGAATGAACGCCGGTGCTTCCGTAAATAGGGTTGGCGTGATGACGTCGGCAAGCCACGTTGGTGGCGGGAATGTTGGAAAGTGGTGGAGAGAATGCTGGGAAGTGTAGTTAACCGGAGGAGTTCGTGACAGGACCCCCCCTCGAGGGACGGCCCCCGAAGTCCCAGGACGGTGGGCCCAGAAATCAGTCAGCAGGGAAGGGTCGACGAACGAGCGAGCGGGTTCCCAAGAGCGTTCCTCCGGGCCGTACCCCTCCCAGTCCACTAGGCACTGCCAACCACGACCCCAGCGGCGAGCGTCCAGAATCTTGCGGACCGTGTAAACACGATCCTCCTCCACACAGCGAGGCGGAGGCACCCGGGCCGGAGGAGGGTGGAGAGGCTGGAGCCTGATCTCCAGGGCATAGGGTTGATGAGGAGGTAGCCTGGTAGTGGGTTCCTTGGCGAAGACCTGAGTGAGGTTGTGGTATTGAGGAGGAACGAGCATCAGGTCTACGTCCTTGGGAGGAGTTGCTCCGGTCTGAGGTGTAGGGGAGCCACGGTGGTTCTGGCAACCCGCTCCCCCAGGCCAGGACCTTACTGGTGGACCAGGAGATGTGAGGCTCATGGCGGCAGAATCAGGAATGGCCCAGGATGAGAGGTGTAACCGGCGCCTGGATGACCAGGAAGTGAAGGGTCTCCAGGTGTTGGTCAATGGTCATGTGGAGATCCTGGGTTCGGTGGGTGAGAGGGTACGGCATGATTGGCCGGCCATCCACAGAGATCACAGGAATGGGTCGGTCGAGAGCAGTAAGGGGTATCTTGAGCTGGGTGACCAGTCCTTGGTCGATAAAACATTCAGCGGCCCCTGTGTCTAAAAGAGCCTCCAGTCTGGTCGGGCCTTGGTCCAGGTGGAGGCAGACCGGGAGAGTGGTGCGGTGCGGGACCGGAAAAGTGGAGACTCCAGGCGGGACAGCCCCTACTCCGACCCGGAGGGACCGTTTCCCGGTCTTTTTGGACATGTGCCACTGTGGTGACCCAAATCCCCACAGTACGCGTATCGTCCCTCCTGATAGCGCCGCGCCCATTCCTCAAGGGGGAGATGTCAGAGCTGCATCGGTTCCTCCGTCGGTTGGTGGCCCGGACGACGGGGTGACGTTCTGGTGTGGATGGGAGCCGACATGGTGCTCGGTCGGTTCAGGAGGCAGCGGTCCAACAGGAGGGCCAGATCCACCGCCAGGTCCAGGGAGGTTGGGGCTTCATGTCCGATCATGCACTCCCGGATTCGGGGGGACAACCCCTCCAGGTAAACGGCCTTTAGGGCGGCGTCATCCCACGTCAACCGAGAGGCTGTCGTCCGGAAGCGGGAGGTGTACTGAGCCATCGTCTGGGAGTCCTGGCAAAGCTGAAGCAGCCGGGTCTCGTCCGAGACCTCGCTGCTGGGATGAACGAATGTCTTTTGCATCTCCTTCACATAAGTCTCATAGTCATTGCAGGCAGGAGATTTCTAATTGTAAAGAGCCGCCACCCATTCACCGGCTCGACCTGTCAGCAGGGAGGTCAGCAGGACGACACGAGAACAGGAAGTGGGGTAGCGCGCTGGCTGGCACTCAAAAGTCATGGCTAGGACAGCCAGCATGCCCTCCGGGGACCCCCTGGTCCCATCCCACTTCTCTGGAAGGCTGAGGCGTGGTTCCATCGTCTCGGAAACAGCTGAGGTCTGTCGTTGCAGGGCAGTGGAAAGCTGTACCACCAGCTCGGTGAGAGCCTCGAGCTTCGTGGCTTGACGGTCAGCTACGGCAAGGAGCTGGTTCATTTCTGCCATTTGTTGGTCCACAGTTGTGCGTAGTTGAACCACTTCTGCCCGCAGATGAGTGAACCCCGCTGGGTCAACTTTAGACTCAGTCATCCTGTCAGGTTTTGTGGATGAGCTGAGGCGTAGCGGAGATGGTTTGTGGCGTAACTGTGTGACCCAGACGCAGAGTGGCTAGCGTTGGGTTAGACAGAGCATGCAGCTTTACTCTGGGAACGGCGAGACAGCGCTCGGAGAGAGCCGAGACTGAGTAGCAGTTCCGGAAGGATAAGGAAGCTGGCTTACTGGTAGTAGACAGCGTGGATAGATCCTTGTGTTGGGTTTGAGGGCTGGTAAGCCTGAGAACTCGATTTAAAGTCTAGTAGGAACGATGACTGAGTGATGAATGAACGCCGGGGCTTCCGTAAATAGGGTCGGCGTGATGACGTCGGCAAGCCACGTTGGTGGCGGGAATGTTGGGAAGTGGTGGCGAGAATGCTGGGAAGTGTAGTTAACAGGAGGAGTTCGTGACAAGTTTTTACTAATATTTTTGTTTTAACCCGTTGATGCATTAATTATGAAATCTTCAACCAAGATTTTTTAACAATTTTTTTCATTCGTCTTTAGGTGTGAATGAAACAAATTTCAACAAATATTTTTTGTAAAATTTTATAATTTAATTTATTAATAAAGATGTCATGATTTATGTGTTTAATGAATAAACAGGACTCTGCACCAGACAGACTGATCAACATAACATAGAAACGCATGACACATTTGCTCTCATCCAATCAGAACTTTTGTCTGTCGTAGGGCAGAATCTGGGCTGTTTACTTAAGTTGTCCAGTCCGGTTTACTAAGATTTATAAACAACTAAGGAATATAAAACAGGGCAACGCCATTTTAAAGTAAGTTCCATTTTAACCTCAGTTCTGTTCGATCTGAGTTCCAAAGGAGTTACATCTGAGAATCAACAGTTTCAACCAGCTCTCATCGTCATCGCTAAGAGAAGTGCAGCCTGGCCAGTGCACTTTCTACTTTAAGCTGAGAACTGTCAAGCTGGAAATTTCTGTCGTTTGAACAACAAGACGACGGTTCCTTCACAATAAAAGCTGAGCCCGCCGAGATCTGCTGCTACTGCTGGAGCTATCCGTAGACTGGTTTGTCGTGCTGCACCACTGTTTCATCAGCCCAGCACCAAGGGGGTTCTAGGACCTGACACTCCTGATCTGACCGCGGGAGACTCCATAGGTACGTAGTCACGGCACAAGATGGCGGCTCATGTCATAAGCTTCTGAAGCCTCGTGGTCCGTAGTCATAACATCAGACAACCAGATCCACCTACGGCAGCCTAGAGATTCTGAACACACACACACACACACACACACACACACACACACACACACACACACACACACACGCACCAACACTATAACATTCAAATCCATATGCATCCATCATTGAGTTAGTCCTGGTAGATTGTTTGAATTCTTAATTATAGAAATTAAAGATTCTTAAACGATCCCAACTCTCTCTTTTCTTGTCTCTCAGTCAATACAAAGTGTTTAAGTAAACTCCCTGATGATAAAAACAACCCCTTCTGATTATAATATCTGGATCTAATTACAGTGTAAAAATATATACACTATTTTCCACTACAATGTCCACCTCAGTGGACAGCGTGCATTCTGAGCATGAAATATGTTGGCTTGGCTTGCTGAAGTCCAAATGGAGGGGCTCAGATGCAATAAAGTCTTCAACAGCTGTGCTTAATAGCAAAAACAAATAAATAACAATTTTGAGTAGCTGTCCACTGTAGTGACCATTATGCATCAAAGGGTTAAGTTCTTTCAAGTGAAAACTATCTTCTACAAACACTCACTAACATTGCTAAGCTGAGTCCAATTCTATTATGCTCTGAACCTGTTATCCACACCTTCATCTCCTCACGCTTAGACTATGGCAACTCACTTTTCACTTGTCTGAGCAAAATCTTGGTTCAAAGATTACTGTATTCACCTACAAAACTGTGAAAAATCCTAGGATTAATATTTTTCTTTTACTTTCAGTATAACAGCTTGAATTTACCATTCAGTATTCAAATGCATTTGACTAGTTTGAGCCCATCACATCATCCATCATTTATCTTTTGTTTCCTATTTCTATTTCCTCAGCTATACTGACTGGCGTAAACTAGGCTCTGGATTGTTTCAAGATATTAAATGCAGCTTTGAAATATTAGTGTTCGTGTCATCATTAAGAGAGTTACCCAATACCTAGAGATGGAAATCATCTAGTAAACACACGGATGAGTTGGCATCAAGGGAGAGAGTGGCTGATAAACTCTGTTAATCAGACTCTGAGTAGATGAGTCAATGATGTTTTTGGTAATAACAGCACATGTATATGCTTGCAGGGAGGTGACTGCACCATAGTGGGGAAGGATGATGGGGGGGACTTCAGACGTTTACTGAATGCCATGGACATCCTGTGTTTCACCCCAGAGGAGCTAAACAGCATTTACAGCCTTCTGTCCTCTGTGCTTCACCTGGGGAACGTCTACTTCCAGCCACATCAGGTTTCTTCTTCAGTCACAGTCACGTTGACATAAATGCACTCTTAAATTTATTCAGTGTTCCAGCTGAATGATAATGATGAAAGAAACAGGTGATAATGGATGTGTGCCCCTGCAGGCTGAGGGCCAGGAGGCTGCATCGGTGGTGAGTGCTCATGAGCTCAGGGTGGTAGCAGAGCTTCTGCAGGTCTCACCTGAGAGCTTGCAAAAATCTGTCACCTACAAAATGACAGTGAGTAGTCATCCCATTGCATATAAACCTGACACATCTCACTCCTTTAGGATTATTTCCACAGTAATAAATGTGTTGTCAGATAAAGGATGCGTTTGACACCCTCCCTCCCTTCAGGATGCAGTGATGGAAAAGATCTACACTCCACTGACTGTGGAGAGCGCTTTGGATGCCAGGTGAGTGATTGTGGAAAAGGCTCAGTAAACACCTATTTCCTCCTTTTGAACATCTAGCAACAGAAGCCACCCTGGCTGTATTGTGTAAGCCCCTTAAATGTGTTCAATCTCCTTTTTAACCCTTTCTGGTTGGAAAGAGAAACATGCCAGCAGACTACGGGGGGGGGGGGGGGGGGGGGGGGGGGGGGGGGGCAAAGAGTCTTTGATGTTCCTTTCCAATCTTTGGTAGAGGCAACGTGAGGACAGAGGACGTCAGGGCATGAAGGGAGATTTTTCAGATGTCTTCTGTTTCCATAGGAACTGGGTTTTCTGTTTCCATAGAAACATTATTGTGTGTGTTTCTCATAGAGATGCTGTTGCCAAGATCCTGTACTCACTGCTGTTCGGCTGGCTGACGGAGCGCATCAACGGACGCGTGTACCCTCGCAATGAAGCCCTTTCCATCTCTGTGTTGGACATATATGGATTTGAGGTCACACTACAAAGAAATCGTTGGTGTTACTGTGGCATTGTCTAAAATCTCCCATCCACAAATGTCTTCTCTTGCCACCCTTCAGGAGCTACAAGTGAACAGTTATGAGCAACTGTGCATCAACTATGCAAATGAAACTTTGCAGTTCTACTTTAACCGAGTCATCTTTCAGGAGGAGCAGGTCAGAAAAGACAAATTAGGGTTCTCATGCTTATAGGTAACGCTACCCTACACAATGAGTCAAAAATTTGGACTGTTACATGTATATGTAGACTAAAGGTAACTGACGTTTAGACGAAAGGAAATTAACTGACTAGGGATGTGTATTGGGGAAATTCTGGCGATACAATACGTATCACAATGCAGGGGAGACAGTACGATATGTTGCGACACATTCAGCCAGACGATATTAGCAAGATTTTTAGACGGAATCTATTTTAAGAAAATGCAATAAACAGTCCAAACTGATGCATAACGTGTTTAACATGACGCATCTGAACCATAATAGAGGGATTTGTGTTTCAATTAAAGGTAACAAAGCCCATTGCACACTGCTGCCAACTAGTGGTCAGTGTTTGAATTGCACCAAAACTAAAAAAGAACACACAAAGGTCTGCATGTAAATTCTTCCAAAAATTGGAGACACAGCTTTTAAATATCGATATAATATTGCAGGGAAATATATCACGATATATTGTCATATCAATATTTTCTTACACCCCTACTAACAAACTTTTTTGATGACTTTTAAAGCGGAGGTTCTCTGAGTTTCACTTGAAGGGTTCTACCCTTATTTCCTGCATTAGCCACCAAAAATATAAACGGGGAAATGCTCAAATTTGAAAAAGCCACTCGCATCTAAGTAACACTGAAAATTTGCATTCATGGACTCATCTAAATGGTAAATGGTAAATGGCCTGTATTTGATATAGTGCCTTCTAGAGTTCTTGAAACCCCCCAAGGCATTTTACAACACAATCAGTCATTCACCCATTCACACACACATTCACACACTGGTGGGGATGAGCTACAATGTAGCCACAGCTGCCCTGGGGTGCACTGACAGAGGCGAGGCTGCCGAGCACTGGCGCCACCGGTCCCTCCGACCACCACCAGCAGGCAACGTGGGTTAAGTGTCTTGCCCAAGGACACAACGACAGCGACAGACTGAGCGGGGCTCGAACCTGCAACCTTCCGATTACAGGGCGAGCACTTAACTCCTGTGCCACCGTCGCCCCATCTAGGCCTGCAACAAGGAATGCTGTTGTTGGTTTAGCGTCGGAGAGAACAGAGCATGTCTCAGCTAGTGTAAGCTAACCGTTAGCATCCGCAACTCCAAAACATGGCAGAACTCCTTCAGGTTTGCGTTATTTCAATCAATCAATCAATCAACCAATCATCAATCAATCAATCAATCAATCAGTCAGTCAATCAACATTGTTTATTTGGTTATTTTAAAGATAAGAAAAGGAAAAAATACGCAATAATACAAGGATTACAAGTAGAATAACCAAAAGGTGTAAGCTGAAGCCTAGTGTCAGACTCGAAGACTGGGTTTGGGAGTAAGAGCTTTTATTACAGACTGCTGACTGAAAGCGGTGCTGGAAATGCTGAAGGTTGGATGAGGTCTGAGTAGGAAAGGTGGAGGTTAAGCTGTATTAGCTTCCGAATACTCTGATCATGGATCACGGTGGAACGATGACTGAGTGAAGAGCCGGTGTGGCGTCTTCCATATATAGACATGGATTGACGCAGGTGCAACGTGGAGGGAATCCCCGCGAGGGGCATGCTGGGTAATGTGGTCCAAGACGGAAGCCGGTCAGCTGGGAGAGCCCGGCCTGGGGGCTTAGACTCTGACACCTAGCTTTTTATGCCTACCCTATTTACAAAATCAATTTTATACATAGAATTCAAGGGACAAATGAATTCAAAAATTAAACAATTACATTTACAATAATAATAATAATTAATGACAACAAAAATAAATCAGCAAAAATAATTACTAATAAAATACAGTCAAAATATAAAAAATAATAAAAATACCCATCAAAGATAAAACATCAAAGTTGTATTTTTTCCACAAGAAAGAAGAGTGAAATGAAGCAGCAAAACGTTTTCTTGCTTTTAGCCAATCAGAGGCAAGATATCCACATATAATGAATATTAATGAGTAAGACTGCAAATTCTGTATATTCTGCCCCACCACTCCTCCAACTAACTTCTACTTCCTGAAACAGCAGCGCCAGAGGTTTTTGTTCCCACAGAAAAAACTCACAAGGCATTCATTCCCACTACACCACAGCAGATTTATTGAAGTAATAGGAGTATGTCCACTTTAAAGTTGAATCCTTGACAAATTAATCAGTCTTCCAGTTATGAGCTAACTTGGCAGGTATTTCCTAATTTTGCTCTGCAGGAGGAGTACATGCGAGAGCAGATTGGATGGCAGCCACAACCCTTCAACAACAATCAGGCGTGTTTGGACCTCATTTCTGCAAAGCCTCATGGGATACTACGCATACTGGATGACCAGTGTGGCTTCCCCCAGGTAAACCCTCTGCTGTAATACACAGATAATGTAGATGTGAGCAAACTCTAAATCAATGCATGAGCATGTGACACAAAAAAGACAAAAGCTCCTTTTACATCATCACCTTGTTATAAATATTTTCCACCAGGACTCAATGGTTCAACTCTCAGAGGCAAGTGCACGCGCAACACTTGTGTGTTTTAAATTAACTTAAGATTTAATGAAGCAAAACTTTTGAGAACCTAAATAATTTCATTGTGCTTTGCAGAATGAGTAACTTTCGTTAATAACATACTGAAATAGTCCGTGCCTCATTTTTCTTTTAAAGAGATGGAGTTTTAAAAAGAAAGTGGATCTCCATGATCCGTGGGACTTTAGTGCAGTCGGCTCAGATCAATAAAATACTATTATACACGCTGACTTAATTGTCTCGACCTGCTGCTGTCATCATTGCCATACAGAAGCAGACAACTCAGCTCATATTGAGATAAATGTGTTACAAGGTCTCCATAGCTCAGTGTGGAATGAGAGTGGCGCTCCACCAGGAACGGACTGAAGCAATACACAGAACACAAACAGGCAACAGGAGCTCGTGCTGTTGACATTTACGTAGTCTCCTCTGCACATCGACCGTTAACCGTCTCCAATTATCACCAGGCAACAGACCACACCTTCCTACAGAAGTGCCACTATCACCATGGAAACAACTCGCTGTATGCCAGGCCAAAGATGCCACTGCCAGAGTTCACCTTGAAACACTACGCAGGGAAGGTTACCTATCAGGTGCAGTTGTTTTTAATGTCTTCAGTTTGCTCAAGTTTAGTTTGTTCATTTTTCTGGTTCAATGATTTGTGTCGAAGGATTTCTTGATTAGCAGCTCAGAAAATAATTACTGTAATTCATCAGTTAATCAGCCCAGCGTTCAATAATGCCATCATTGTTATTCACACAATGCTTTTGAACAGTGTTTATGCCCTTCCCTACAAAATAATAATAACATTAATAATGATTCCTATTGATGGATATTTCCAGAGATTAATGGTAAAAACAACACAGTGTCTCTTTGAATTAATACTCTGTTCACGTAAAGCCAGTTTTAATGGAAGTTCAGAGGCACTCTCACAGTGAGGTGACAAAGTTAGGGGCAGCAGTCGCTCAGGATGTTGTCTAGTAATCAGAAGGTTGCAAGTTCAATCCTGGCTCCAGCCAGAGAATGCTGCTGTTGTGTCCCTGGGCAAGACACTTAACCACCTTGCCTGCGGATGGTCAGAGGAGCTTGGAGAGCCTCACCTGTGTCAGTGTGCCCCAGGGCAGCTGTGGCTATAACATAGGATCCACTGATTTCCCTGTTTCTTATTCATTTTCTCCCTCTCTTTACTCACATTTAACCCACAATTTTTTTCTAATTTTTGTATTTTTTAATAATAAAAAATACATATTTTTTTAGTTTTTTAGTTTTTGTTCTTGGGAAGCGCCTGATGATTTTTATCTTGAGCGTTGCTATATAAAATATTGTTTTCTTTCTTTCTTTCTTCTTCTAAAAATCTGATCAACCAAACACATTCTTGTGATTTCTGAGGAATAAAAGAATTTAAAACATTCGATCATGTGGTCAAGATTACAGGTGTGGAACCCTGAAAAATCATTTTTATTGATTCTTTCTGAATATAATCACTCTGAGCTTTTTACACAGGCTGAACATGAAAATAGTCTCCTACACCTACCTCCTGCATTAGCTTGTGATAGAAAAAAGGGTGAAACTCTAGGATTTAAAGATCCTGACTGACCTACATCGCACAGTCTCTTAACATTCATGCACTCACCTATCTTGACTCACGATGGGGAAGGCTGTTGTTGTTTTAGTGTCCTGAGAGAACAGAAAACGCCTCAACTAATAAAGGCTAACCGCTAGCATTAGCAATTCCAAAAGACAGCAGCTAGCCAACCCGAAGCGAGATGCCCAAATATCAGGAAACAAGACTCCAAATCCTGCGGTGTTCAGCTCAGTTCTGATGTGGCTCACTTCTAGTTCCTGGAGCTGGCGCACTTGAGCTTTTTGTACAACTTACAAGGTATTGATTCCTACTAGAGATCACTGCACATGTACTGATTAAACGAGTGAACCACACTAGTTTGTACATGTGTTGTTTGGTACTATAAATGTGATATATTTATTATGAAAAGTCAAGCCCTGGCAAAATTCATAGGGAAATTTAAAAGAGGTAATTATGTAGTTTTTGTTATGGTTTTGTTAAAAGCTACAAAAAAAGTTCATAAACTTATTTAAAATCAAGTCCTGAACAAAATTCTATATTCCTGAATTTGGGATTAGCCGTCTGTCAGAATATTGATAACGCTGAAAATAAACAAAACCAACAAAAACGTTTCTTATATTTGTCCAACCATGTCGGTTCCAGGTGCACAAATTCTTGGATAAGAACTTTGACATGGTTCGTCAGGATGTTTTAGACCTCTTCATCCAGAGCAAGAACAGAGTGAGCAGAACTCTATCTTGTTGTTTTTTTTTTCTACCTACACACTGTTTCCTCTCTGTGTTTACGCAGAGTCGCTCTGTTGTCTCTATTTTGCGTCCAGATGATATCGAGCCTCTTCCTGAAGCACTCAGAGTCTTTGTCACTGCAGCGGTCCAATGTGAGGCGCGGCAGCACAGCACGACGTCATCAGGCCAACACAGTCAGCGCAAAGTTTCAGAGCAGCCTGCAGGAGCTGCTGGACAAGATGGAAAGGTTCAATCACACCATTTACTCAATTATCTGATCTAGGAGTATTTCCATCTTATTAAGTGCTCACATTATTTGCACGTTAAATATTGAATTATTGTGGCACAGCAAAGGGTCAAACTGTACATCAGTAATGATGAGAAACTTTAGGATAACAATAGAAACAGTATCCTATCAGTAACATCACGTTGTTCTTAAACTGAATTAGTTTTGGAGAGTTTGATTATTTCTGACAGCCTTATAGGGTCCGATCACTCACAATATTTAGTTCCCAGTATTAAAACATTTCATTTATTGCTGCTTTCCTCTGAAAGCCTTAATTCTCTTTAGTGCCGAGGTCAGCTTTCCTAAACTAAACCCTTTAAAATATTTACTCATTCAGCATTTCATTTGTCAATGCATCTCTTCTTATCTATCGGTGACAGGTGTAACCCTCATTTTGTGCGATGCATCAAGCCAAATCATTTCAAGGTATATTTGCAGGTTGGGTGATGTGTGCAGGTTTGCAGTGGTTTGATTTTTGATTCATTATGCTTTCATCTCAAATACACAGCTCACACACGTGTGTGTGTGTGTGTGTGTGTGTGTGTGTGTGTGTGTGTGTGTGTGTGTGTGTGTGTGTGTGTGTGTGTGTGTGTGTGTGTGTGTGTGTGTGCATTTGTGTTGTGTTTTCAGGAGCCAGGAGTGTTTGACTTGGAGTTGGTTAACACTCAGCTGCATTACTCTGGTATCATGGAGACCATCCATATAAGGAAGCAGGGCTATCCAATCAGAATGCCCTTTCACAGCTTCTTGACAAGGTTTGTTTCTGGTTAATATCAATGTTAGGGTCCAAATGAATCCAGAACTCTCACTGGATGTTTATTTTGCAAACCTACTATGCTAACCTGCATTTTATTTTATTTCTTGTAAACTGCAGTGAGCCCTCAGCAGATTTTCCCCCATCACATAGGAGGTACAGGACCATATTTTATCTACTGATCAGAGCATTTATTAGAAAGCGCATGAGAAGAACAAACCTATACCAGTTTTCCTGTCAGCTTGGAGACCCCAGTCATTTCTCATTCTGTCCTAAATGACAGACAAGTGTTCGCCAAGCAGCAGTACCTAAAGGAGGTAGTGAAGAAAGTGTTTTATTACAACAAAATGTAAATCATTCCTATACGTCTGCCTTACAGTGTACACTTAAAGTCATGCTGCATCTGTATTCATCTAAATTATTAAGCTCCCTGGTGAGCTAATAATTCAAATACAGGGAGTGCAGAATTATTACTTAAGTTGTATTTTTGAGGAATAATTTTCTTATTGAACAACAACCATGTTCTCAATGAACCCAAACAACTCATTAATATCAAAGCTGAATGTTTTTGGAAGTAGTTTTTAGTTTGTTTTTAGTTTTGCTATTTTAGGGGGATATCTGTGTGTGCAGGTGACTATTACTGTGCATAATTATTAGGCAACTTAACAAAAAACAAATATATACCCATTTCAATTATTTATTTTTATCAGTGAAACCAATATAACATCTCCATATTCCCAAATATACATTTCTGACATTCAAAAACAATACAAAAACAAATCAGCGACCAATATAGCCACCTTTCTTAGCAAGGACACTCAAAAGCCTGCCATCCATGGATTCTGTCAGTGTTTTGATCTGTTCACCATCAACATTGCGTGCAGCAGCAACCACAGCCTCCCAGACACTGTTCAGAGAGGTGTACCGTTTTCCCTCCTTGTAAATCTCACATTTGATGATGGACCACAGGTTCTCAATGGGGTTCAGATCAGGTGAACAAGGAGGCCATGTCATTAGTTTTTCTTCTGTTATACCCTTTCTTGCCAGCCACGCTGTGGAGTACTTGGACGCGTGTGATGGAGCATTGTCCTGCATGAACATCATGTTTTTCTTGAAGGATGCAGACTTCTTCCTGCACCACTGCTTGAAGGTGTCTTCCAGAACTGGCAGTAGGACTGAGAGTTGAGCTTGACTCCATCCTCAACCTGAAAAGGCCCCATAAGCTCATCTTTGATGATACCAACCCAAACCAGTACTCCACCTCCACCTTGCTGGCGTCTGAGTCGGACTGGAGCTCTCTGCCCTTTACCAATCCAGCCACGGGCCCATCCATCTGGCCCATCAAGGCTCACTCTCATTTCATCAGTCCATAAAACCTTCGAAAACTCAGTCTTGAGATATTTCTTGGCCCGGTCTTGACGTTTCAGCTTGTGTGTCTTATTCAGGGGTGGTCATCTTTCAGCCTTTCTTACCTTGGCCATGTCTCTCAGTATTGCACACCTTGTGCTTTTGGGCACTCCAGTGATGTTGCAGCTCTGAAATATGGCCAAACTGGTGGCAAGTGGCATCTTGGCAGCTGCACGTTTGACTTTTCTCAGTTCATGGGCAGTTATTTTGCGCCTTGGTTTGTCCACACGCTTCTTGCGACCCTGTTGACTATTTTGAATGAAACGCTTGATTGTTCGATGATCACGCTTCAGAAGCTTTGCAATTTTAAGACTGCTGCATCCCTCTGCAAGATATCTCACTATTTTTGACCTTTCTGAGCCTGTCAAGTCCTTCTTTTGACCCATTTTGCCAAAGGAAAGGAAGTTGCCTAATAATTATGCACACCTGATATAGGGTGTTGATGTCATTAGACCACACCCCTTCTCATTACAGAGATGCACATCACCTAATATGCTTAATTGGTAGTAGGCTTTCGAGCCTATACAGCTTGGAGTAAGACAACATGCATGAAGAGGATGATGTGGACAAAATACTCATTTACCTAATAATTCTGCACTCCCTGTAAACTGAAAAGCTGAAAACGTATTTTATAATTTGCCCACTCAATTTGTTGAATGGCCCTCTCATTGTTCTTTGTCCTGTTTGTTTTCACAGTCATTACAGTACAATTATGGCAACTTAAAGAGCTTTTGCAGATTCAGTTCTTAGTCACACTGTGGGACATAAAATAACACAAGTTTAACATAATTATTAGGAACTTTTTTAGTTCTTTAATTGGTATTTCTTTATTCTGATTTTCTTTCCTCCTTTTTGTAGCAAAAACACTATGAGTGAGTACACCGGGAGAATGACTGATGGGTGTGCAGACCAGAGGGATGTGGCACCTTGTCTTATTTATAGTTTGTCAAATGAAGTCTGGTTTTGTAGTCTGTGCACACACAAGCAGAGCACACAGTGCAACCTTGAAATGGGGGGGGGGGGGGGTAGCACCAACTAAATCCCATTTTAGCCCCAGTGTCTTTACAAACAGTAGATGCTGACTGCAGCGAATCCCAACGGCAGCCATGAAAATATGGGGTGAAACAAGCTGAAAATTAAAAATATCTAAATGAAAATAATCATAGCTTTTTGTTTTTAAAATAGGTTCAAAAAGTCCTTCCACCCATTAATTCGATCAGAGGTAACTGATCCAGGAAGGAAATCCAGATATCTTCTCACCAACACTATCCAGCTCCTCCTGGGGGATCCTAAAGCATTCCCTGGTCAGAGAGGATCCTTCCAGCAAGTCCTGGATCTTCTCCAGGTTCTCATACGAATATAAATGTGTTTGAAAAACCTGCAGAAGGAGGTGCTCTGCAGGAGGGATCCTAATCACATCCCCAAACCAGTTCCATTTCTGATCCATGCTGTGGAGCAGCAGGTCTACTCCAAGCTCTCTCTGGACATTTTCTCACTTCATCAGTAACACAGAGTCTGCCCACCCAACAGAGAAAACTCTTTTGAGCTGCCTGGATCACATGACCATCGGTGAGGGTTGGAACATAGACGGTTGAGATGAACGGGGACCATGGCCTGCCACAGTGCAGACTGAAGGTCGTGGCTTGAACACGCCAACAAAGCCACATTAGCAAGATGTTCCTATCCTACAAATATAGACTAATTGTAGCAGTAGCAAAAGATTTTTCTCTGCAGGACCAACCAGTATTACGTCTAGCCAATCACAGCGATGTGTTTGTGGAGGGACATTGTGTGAGCCTAGCACCAAAGCTGCGATGGAGAAAACTACAAAGATGACGTCGGCTCAGGAACGGCACTCATTTGAAACGGCTTTGGTATCAACTTTATTTAGATTTAGACACAAGCTCCTCTCGAGTCTGAAGTTCGTCAGCTGGAGCCTTCTCCGACACTCCTGAGTGAAGCCTGAGAAGTTTGTTCCACTAGGATTTGGAACACACTCTTTAGAGCACAGCTGCAAATACTAAAATACAATAAATACAGTACAGACCGTCTCAGCTTCCTTTTCCTGAATAACGTTGCACGTACCCCTTTGTCAAAATCTCTGTGATCACTGCCTGTCCTCAGAGATAATACATCTCACAGAAATCGATCTCTTCATGCTGAAAGAGCCGTCTGGTGTTTGTCAGCTCCTTCAGCAGGAAGGGAGATAAAACCAATTGATCTCACAGCACCTCTCACCACATGCTGACAAAGTCATCTGACTTACAGCAGCAATCAGTCAAGGGCATTCGCACTGAAACTATTAAACCCCATACAGCTCCAAGCCGTGAGCAATCAGGATACACAGATCACCTATTAGCTCCAAATCAGAGCACACAGATTTACACTCTGTCTAAGATTTAGAAGATTTAGAAGGCACAAGCTGCAGCTTTGGATTTTATGAGGGCTTCGTCTGATTTCCTTGAGAATTCAAATCTCCTTGTAATGTTTGTGCTATATTTGACTACAGATATAAAGCCCTGCTCTGCCTGGAGAATTCTCCGCCTGCAGACGGAGAAAATTGCGTTACCATGCTCCACAAACTCTGTCCAGCCAAAGAAGGCACGTATCAGGTGGGAGTTAGCAAGGTGAGCCCTAAAACACACACATGCATGCATAAAATTAAGCCTGGGCAAGCATGTACAGTGCATATGAAAACACTGATTTTAAACGTGTGTGTGTGTTAGATTTTCCTGAAAGAAGACTTGTACCAGCTGCTGGAGGGGAAGCGTGATCGTGTGCTGGACATCGCTGCCATGACTCTGCAGAGATACACGCGCATGTGTTTTGTCCGCAAGAACTTTGTCAAATTTAAGGGTTGCATGACTCTGTTTCAAGGCCGTTGCAGAGGCTACCTGGCCAGGTAAGATGTACGTCCGAATATACTTACTAGAACATGAAACATCCTGATAAAGGGAGACTCCTTTTTTCAATGTAAAAACTATCGGTCTAATTACCGGAGGTTGGCACATCTGAGCTTTTTTTTCTGGCACATCCCTCCGATTGAGTGTGGAGTTTCAGCCGGCAGCTCAGGAACGGAGGCTTTAGTGTTTAGTTTCACTGGCCTGATCATGCCTAACCGTATCACGGAAAACCTGTTTCTCTGACCTTGATGTGAGTCGATAAGGCCGAACAGTTCAGGCAGTGCTCATCCATCAAAGCTGACGCGTTTCTCATTCTGCTCACGTTCTGCAAAACCCACACATGTGATGCAAATCTCCATTTTATGACAGGGTGTTATAAAGCAGTAAAAAGGCAGTATAGTCAAGGTTAAACACTTTCAATTGTTTATGATGATTTCATTAATAGCTAATCGCCGTTCAGTGAATTAAGAACGGCACTTTTTTGAAAAATGTGTGCTGAAAGTTTAGTAACGCCATCAGCACGAGTCTTCTTGAACAATTTGCAATGAGTAGTCTCATAAAAGTGAGAGAGGGAGGTTATATGTTTTTCAAGACAGGATCTCTCATGCTTGATATTCGTCCTTTTATTGGTATAGTTGTTGACACAGGCAGCCTCTTATTCCCTCAACAGAAAAAAGTTTGCTCTCAGGAGAAAATACCTCATCAAGCTTCGCTCTGCTGTGCTGCTAATTGTCAACCGCCAGCGCTACATGAGGGTATGCACACACAGTTTGAGCCATCAGGGGGGCGTTTGTCTTTGTGGAGGCGATTAAAAAACGAGCAGCTGTGTGAAAGTGTGATACTGTTGTCTTTCTGTTAGACAGTGGTGGAGCCTGCGAGGAAGGCGGAGGAGGTGAGTGAAGGTGAAAACAAGGGTGTGTTTCCTCTGAAGGTGATGTCAAAAAGTTTACTTTTGGTGCATGAATAACGTAGGATCGGATCAATCGAGAGGTTGTGAACGTAACAACTCTGCCCATTCCTGCTGAACTGGCCGGCTTGCTGCAGGCAGCTTCAGGTACACACACATGCACTCTCACATGCACACACAGACACAGACACACACACACACACACTCACACAAACACACGCACGCATGCACACACACACACACGCACGCACACGCACACACACACACACACACACACACACACGCACGCACACGCACACACACGCACACAGGCATGTTTTCCGAGAAATACTACAAATGATGTTGCATCTACCTGCAAATACTTTGGGAGAAGTCTGTCAATGCAAGCTAATTTCTAGGCTCAACTGACCAGTATAAAAATATTTGTGTGTGTGTGTGTGTGTGTGTGTGTGCGTGCGCGTGTGTGTGTGTGTGTGTGTGTGTGTGTGTGTGTGTGTGTGTGTGTGTCACAGGTGGTGAGGAGCTGCATTCTGACTGCTTGGCTGTGGTCCAGGCTCCAAAGGTGCAGGTGGACCCTCAGCTGATTCTGCCCCTGGACATCAACAACTACCTCATGACTCACTACATTCAGACCATGTTTAGGGTATAAACTCGTCAACCTCACACTGCTGTATTGGTGTCCATCAGTCTCATTGTGCTCACCTTAATTAACAGCCACCACATGCCTATAAGCGTCGACTGAAGTAAAAACTTATTTAGAATTGTTCAAACTTCTACATGAGCTAGCCCGGCTGCTTGCTGTATGTAGCGTGTTTGTGTGAGTTTAACAGCTCCGTGTGTGTTGGTTTGTATTGCAGGAGCCGTTGTTTGGGATGCTCACCGCCCCTCTGGAGGAGTCTCTGATCCGATTGGATGAACAGTTAAAACAAGGATCTCTGAATGTTTTTATTCTGGTACATGATGCATTCGTAGGTCACTGGTAAAATCCAGCTACACTCACCAGCAGTCCAAAAATAATCCTTAAATTGAAGTAAAATCATTGATGTCAGCAAATTTAAACACCTAAATAAAAATGTGCAGTTGGGTGACTGTGACCAACCACATTGATTTGGAAGATAAAATATTGATTCTGAAATTGATTTAAGGTTGAGTTGTGTTTTTTTGTAGATACTCAGGTTTATGGGTGACCCAAACTTGAATGGAGCTCAGGAGAACCTGTTTGGGAACTACATCATCCAAAGAGGACTTTCACACCCGGTCCTCAGAGATGAAATTCTGGTCCAGATAGCCAATCAGGTAAATCCAAAAGCAGTTGGTTTTTTTTTATTTTTACTATACTCTTCTGACCCGTTATGACAGGACCCCATTGTCATCCTCCAGGTGTGGAGAAATCCTAACATGCTGAACTCAGAGCGTGGCTGGCTCCTCCTCTCCTCCTGCCTGTCTGCCTTCCTGCCCTCTCAGAGGCTGGCTAAGTTTCTTCTTAAGTAAGACACACAGTTGTCTCAGGTGTTTATTTGAAGAGACTAAAATGTGCTCATCTGAACCGTGTGTGTGAGTATCAAATATGGCTTGTTGTTGCTACAGGTTTGTGTCAGACTACGGCCCAGAGGGCTATGACTGTGTGTGTCAGCACCGTCTGCTTCAGGCTTTGCAGCGGCTGGGCCTCGGTCCAGAGTACGTCCGCACTTACCCACCCTGTCTGCTGGAGTGGACCGCCAATCGCAAGAAAGCCCACACTGTTCTGCACGTGCATTGCTTCGATGGTGAGAAAACAAACAGTAACTTGTGAATTCCTGGAACGGCAAAATAATTATCAATTTATGATCATCGCACTCCTGCTGTTCCTTAACAAGATATTAGCAAACAAAAATCAATCTTCAGTTACTTTCAGTTAATTTTTTGTTGATTTACAAAAAACCCACACTATGTCATAGCTGTGTTACCATTAAATAATGCAACTTGGACAAATCTGACAACAAAACAAACATTCAAATTCCTTTCATAGCGTCAGGACTTTGTCTGGTTTGGTTGTTTCTGACCAAACCTGACCTTTGACCCTGACAGGTCCTTTCCATTTTACTTAATCTGAACTCAGTGAATGTCCTCTGGTTGTTTGGCACATCTGCTGAGGGTTAGTTAACACTGGTGTGTGTGTGTGTGTGTGAGTGCGTGCGTGCGTGCATGCGTGCCTGTGTGTTTCTAAAACTTCTATTTCACCATCCAACTGAAGTGACTTGTAATCCTTCAGACCATGAAGCAAAAGCTGCCTTATTGTTGTTTTCATTTTTAATTAATCATGTAATTAAAATAGGTGTGACTTTATTCCTCCAGGTGTGTCCTTCCTGTGTCCATTGCATTCATGGACAACGGGAGAAGAGATTGCCAAAGACATCCTACAACACAGGTTTCCCTTTACCTTTAATAAACAGTAGCACCTAATCTATTAAAAAGTAATGACTTATGTTGTGTGTGTGTGTGTGTGTGTGTGTGTGTGTGTGTGTGTGTGTGTGTGTGTGTGTGTGTGTGTGTGTGTGTGTGTGTGTGTGTGTGTGTGTGTGTGTGTGTGTGTGTGTAGGGGTGTGACGGAAGGCCGGCGAGGCTGGTCAGTGCTGCTTAAGGAGCCGGCTCAGTGGGTCGAATTGGAGGGCTCAGACTTCATTTTTGACTTGATGTCAGACCTGGAGCTCCCCGCTGACTTCCCCAAGCACAACAGCTACTTCATCATCTCCGCTCTGCAGCCAACAAGAGTGCGGCCCAATGCCAGCATGTAAGACAGCAAGCACACACACACACACACACACACACACACACACACACACACTATCACTGAGATTTCATGAGACCTGCCAGAAACCAAAGGGATGACTTTGTTTCACTTCATTTTTCACCACTGGATGGTTACTAAGCAGGTTTATGATGCATCACAGTAGCTGATTTTGTGATTTTTAGACACCTGGTCATTTATTTGAAAATGCACCTTTTCTCTGTGACATTAGTCAGCTAAATCAAGCTTTTTTATTGCATTCAATTACAATTCTGTGACTATTTTAACCATCCTCCATTTGACTTTGGCTTCTAAGCTAAAGTGTTTCAAGTCTTGCTTGTTTCCCTTTTAAAACCTTTGGATTTAATCGTTTTTAAAAGGTCGGAGTGTTCTGTTTCCAGGAAAAATAGATCAAAAACCTAGATTTAGACAACCCATGTAACATCTTAGATTTCATCTTGTCACAGGCCGTGACCTTTATCCATGAATCCACAGTTTGTTAAAAGCACTTTGACCAGATGAAATGATGACTTGATGAAACAGTGTATGTTTACTAACGCCCACTGACTCGTAAATCATCGTCAGCCATCAGTCATGGTGGATCAGATTTCACAGAGGGCTGTCAGTCAGCGTCCTGTTTATCTGACCTACAACCTTAGTGACCCAGCTCTTGTTCACTCCACTCGTCATGTATTTTTAACTGCAGCAGACTGATGTGAACACATAGACTTAGGTTCCTGACATTTTTAAAGACCAGTTTCTGGAAATATTATATATAATGCAGACTTTAGCTTATTTGAGAGGCAGATATTTATCTCAGATGGAAATCAAGACCTTTAATGAAGCCAAATAAGGTCTTATTTCTAGCAGGTAAACACAAAACCAGCTCCAACTGATTGATGAATGGTGAATTTTACCTGCCTAGTGTGTAAATCAGCAACTGTTTACATGTACATCAAATTTTAAAAAGGTGTGCAAATGATTTCTCTAGATGTCAAGTAATCACAAAAAAAAGTACTTGTGTTAAGTTGAAGTGATGGTAAAGCCATACTATGCAGCTTTTTCATATTTTTAAATTGTTTTCTTGAACCAGTACGTGCTGAAATTACCCCTTTACAAGGTTAATGAAATGTCACTCAGACCACCACCGCCCTCTGTGGCCAGAATACCACATTTGCAACTTCAGAGTGCCGGGCCAGTCTGTTGGACTTAGTAAAAAATGGAGCTGACATACCTGGCGTTCCAGTCTGCTCCCGGAACATTTCCTGCATGTTTTAGATCAAGGACACAGCTGATTTGTTTAATATTAGTGATGAATCACTCCTGTAGACACTACTGAAGACTGGGGAGACATTTCAGCTTTCAGATTAAGATGTTAAAAAGACAAACGCACAGCGAGGGGATACGTTTTGCATGTGGTTCTACTAAACAGACACTAGGGGGTGTTCATAGCAAGCCAAACTGCCAAGTGTGCCTTTAAAGTAACACAGAGCAGTTTCCAGCTCCTCATCCCTTCTGGTTGAAAGTGGAATAACAACTGTCGTAAACAACCCTGCAGCAGCCTGCTGTAGCTCATGCTAACAACGAGCTAACACTAACATGAGCCAGTTAATACTAAAACAATTCATTTATTAAGAAGATCCACACAGTTGGACAAAAATATTATCACTTACAAGTCCAGTAGCAACAAAGCCAGGTCACCATCAGTTTGGGATTTTGTATCCTCCTTTAGCTCCCTCAAACTAGTGTAGGCTGCATTCACTCAGATTTAACTCTTTGCTTCACCTCCAAATACTTTACTCTCTTACTTTTATTTCTAAGCTCCGCCATGATGCTAACAGAAAAAGCAAACTTTTTTCTCTTCTTGTGCTTTTTATTGACAATTGGCAAACTGAAAATGCTAACTGCTAGCATTCCAGCTAACAGCCGTAAAGCCGGTAAAGCGCTCCCCCTAGGACACCTACCTGCTCCACAAAAGTGTCTAGTGCAGTTTTTGGTCAGCAGAGGGCTGCAGAGTGGTGTCAAATATAAACTGGTCAAGTTTCTAACCCAACAGTCATTGTGACCAATGTTAAAGCTCTAGCTTAAAGATAAAAAAACATATCTATCATCACTTTAACCTGCTGTTGTTTCTGATTGTTCCCCAGAAGCTTGCTGGGTGGTGGGTTTGACATGAACAATGACATTCCTTCAGCCATACCTGGCTTGGATCTACTCAGCCAAGGTATATCTTATTTAGGCAAACATTTGAGCAGATCGGAGCAGTGTACAGCCTACTCCTCCTCCTGTCTCTCTCTGCAGAACTAGAGCCTCAGAGAGGGATGGATCGCTATCTTGACAGCCTGTTTGACCCGGTCCTGTCTGATGGAGCTGGAGTAAGTTACATAACTCAATCATTCTGACACACTTTACCACATGGGAGGAGGCACCTTCATCAACCACTTACTGTCAGTTTATGTGAGACTCTAGTTCTAAAGTTAGCCTGGAGCAGGGCTTCAAAAAAACAGGCAGAAATTAGTCATTTAAAAAAATAAAGATTGCATAAATTTACTTTCATCATCAGATAAAAACACAGTTAAGGGGAGAAACTTTCAGATGGAATTTTTATAGCAGCATCAAGGTTTGAAGAGCCTATACAGGTTAAAACAGCATCAATAATTTATTTCCCCACAGTGGGAAAGGCAAGCTCTTCCGCAGACATTGTTTTGTCAACAATTTAAGTGTAATGTACCAGAAAACACAAAAAGAGTGTAATGTACCAGAGGTGCCACAAGATGGCGATAGAGCGCTAGACAACAGTGCGGGAGGGGTAATGTGCGTCACTCCGTGACGTCATCACTCCGTTACGCACAGTGCCGCCATCCCAAAATGGTGGACGGCCGGTGGAGACCGCTTTCTCACAATAAAAGTCAAAAATACGCCCAAAACTACTAAAACATGCGGGGAGCTTGTTTTGTAGAGTAATGGGCTCAACACACGGGAGGCGACATCGCCTCTGCTCCATTCATTTTCAATGAGACATTCGCAACAAAGCGATAATCGCGGGTCTCCCTCCTACTAAGCGAAAAGCGAAAAACTTGCGTGTGAAATTTTGCGCTCGTGCACGTGTCGTGCACAGGTGACCCAGCGACGCACTCCAAGAAAGTTGAAACATTTTCAACTTTTCATCGCTGTCGCTCGGACGAGGACCAATCAACGAAGATTTCATTCACTGACCAATGAGCGGACAGGATGCTCCGTACATCTCCGAGCAAACATGGAGGAGAAGTTGATTATTATTATGTTTTATATAGTAAAATCACAAGTAAGATTTTACATAACTCTAGCAGCACCTTGTGAAACATCATATCTACTGCTTTATTAACTCTGAACTGCTTAAATAACCTTAATTCCCTCCAACCTGACACAGCCAAGCAAAACAACGAAGTTTCGATTTCGCCATGGAACAGAACGCGTAGACGGCTTTGCCGCTGGCCGCTGTCGCGGATCGCCTCCCGTGTGTCAGGTAATAAAAGCGACAGCGACAAATTTCGCTGATCGCGGTCGTTTGTCGACTCCCGTGTGTCGAGCCCATAAAGTGAGTTATGACAAAGGCAAACGCTGCGTCGAGCGGTTGACAGCGCCCCTGGATTCGTGTCCGTGGGCGTTGTTGGCCTTGCTAATTTAGCTTACTAAGCTAACAGGCTTAGACCTTTGTGCGGCGTTAGGATACTAATATTACCAGTTGATCAGACTGGATTAGCGGTAGCTAAGTGCTAAGTGGAGATCAGCGTTTCCTGACCCAGTGTAACACAAGCTTTTCAACAGTGACAAAACCACACAAATAAATGTAGCCCTCTTCAAATATCAACAAATAGTTAATTACCTGCAGTTTAGCTCAATGAAGCTTTCATAGGCTTATGGACTTTGGATGACAAAGGGGAGTAGCACCCCAGGTGGGGGGTCTCCCCGTTTGAAATATGTAGGGACAGCGTCCCCAGGTGGCGAATAAAGAGATCGCCCTCGTTTATCACCCAGACACAGAAAATAGTAGTTTTGAAGAGTTAATTAATCAGAACCAACACGAAGTGAACAATTCTAATAAAGTCTAGCTGGCTCGCCAATATGTAGGGTTAGGTAAATTGGGCACTTTAGCTCAGTATATATATACATATATTAACTCTACTTGTGACCAATAAGCTGTGATACTCTATCTAAATATAGAATATCACCCTGCCTGGTCTTTATTGTGTTTAATCAGAAGATTCTAGGATTCTTTATTTATTAGGGGATTGTACACACTTCGTTTTGATTCAGAAAACAGTCAGTGTTATAAAAGTAAGAATTTATTTTACAAACAATTAAAACTTGACAAATTGGTTAATTATTATTTACTGTGAGTGGATGGAACTAAAGGCGATGTCTGGAACCTATGGGTGGATGCGATGTTGGTCAGAACTTCCGTATCTTGGAGAGCTGAGTTCTAGATGTAAAAGAATTTGGTTTGTGTTAAGCTATGAGGTTGATTATTATCAAAAACCCACATCCAGATGCAATCTCACTGCGTTCTACGTACCCAAGTGGAGATGCCCTTTTGGATCCGAGATGTCAGTGAAGGGGGGGTCTGAGACCCTGGTACCAAAGTCCGTAGACTAACTTGCAGTATGACCAGGTCAGTCCAGAGTCATCTCCAGGTAACAACAGTTGGAACTAGTTTGCATCTCAGGAATAACTCTTAAGGAGTTGAACAAATCAGCTTGTTCTGCAGGAACTATCTTTTTGTATCAGCTTTGCAGGTGCGGAAAAAAAAGGTTTTGGCGACGTGTCAAAAGCTTTGGTGGGTTAAAGAGGTTTTGCTTCAGGTGGCCGGCCTGAAGCTTCTCTAGAACTGAAGAATCACCAGCGTGATCTGGTTTTAATGTTATGATGTTATGATTGTGTAGCCAACCAGAGGTTGACAAGTTTGGATGTTACCAAGAATCTCAGAGACACACGCCTTCTTTGATCTGGAGGCTCTCAATCAATCAATCAATCAATCAATCAATCAATCAATCAAAGCTTTATTTATAAAGCACCTTCCGCGAACCTGTCAGCAAGCCCAAGGCACTGAACATGGTACATGAGAAATGTGAAACATGATGAATAAATCAAAAATAAAAGCAATTCAAATAGTGCAAAGCATTAAAGTAGAAGACAAATGGGTAAAACAAGGGATGCCTCTGGCTCTGATCTGGGTAAAAGGTTAATTATGTGTCACGGACTTAACTTTACCTTACTTTGTACTTGTGTGAGTGCAAATGTTATGACCTTGTCAAGTAAATATGCTAAAACAATCATTGAGCACAGATTAATGAAACATTTCATTATTTTATAATTATTGTAAGTAGCAATAAACAAATGTTTATTTAATGATTATCTAGCTTGTAAATTTGCTCTGTGAGGGACCCTGGGAAGAACAGGATGCCAATGTTATGATGTCGTTATCTCTGTCAGAGCTGCAGGCTCTGAGCTCCAGCTGGTGTGAGGAAGGCAGGCTGATTTAAAGGGATCACGTGCAGTCTCGTGTCTCCTTTTGACCAGATGTTGAATGGTCAAACAGTGCCTAAAAACTGACCAATGCTGGACGTTACACAACTTATGTAAAGAGTAACATAAACTGTTATATTTGTTAAAAGTAAATGTAAAATTCTCTTTACATTTAAGCACAAAGTTTTAGTGGAACCAGTTGACATAACTCGGAGGAGTTCATTCAACATTTAATTTCCTAGAGTGTAGCCACACCTTGAGACACTTGTTTTATCTCAGCTTCCCAGTTATTTCCGATTGTTTAGCAAAAATAAAAACCTACTAGGACTTTCCAATCAACTTTATATGGGTTCACCATTAAAACCAGTGCTTGTTATCTGATTTAGCCCAGTGAATGCCATCCACTGGAGCTGTCTCTCAACAGGCGGGCCAGTGCTGTGGTTAATGTAAGCTGTGCTATCGGATGTGCCTGACAGAAATTAGCATGTATCAGATGTGTTGTACAGACCTCTCCTGCCCAGCAACCTATTACGTTACTCAGTTACCGTAACTGTCACAGCGACCGAATCACCACGGTGATTTCCCACCCAGGCAACACGGGGATCTGCTTACGAGGAACTGACACTCTGGCAAATGAAGAGCTTATTATTTAATGAGACATGGCCCACAAACACACAGTTCTGAGGATTTATGGGTCAGCGGCAGATTTCTGATTGAGGAGAGGGCTTCATTTGACCAGGGGGTCTAAAATCTCATTGTAAGACACTAGGGGGCACGGAGCAGGTTAAATATTTATAACCTGATTAAAAATTAACAAAACTTGTTTCGGAGTTTCCGTATAATAGAAACAATTTAATTAACCCTCTCAGGCTCAAAATAAGTTTTGATAAAAGGATGAACAACTAAGTCCTTCAGGGATACTTCTGAGTTATAAAATGCTCATGAAATACGTATGTGGAGTAACCAGGTAGGTAGGTTTTAACGTTGCAAATCTGCAACACCTGCCTCCAGAGGGTTAAAGGCAATATAGCAGAGAAATGGCGCTTCATTTCCTTCATAGTGTTAAAGTTAGCCAAGGCACAATGAAATTATGGACCATCTTTTGTGGGTTTGGAAAGTATTCAGACCCCCGTCAATTTTTCACTCTTTGTTATATTGCAGCCATTTGCTAAAATAGATAAAAAATGTTTCATCATTAATTTACACACAGCACCCACTATTGACAGAAAAACACAGAATTTTCTAAATTTCTGCAGATTTATTAAAAAAGAAAAACTGAAAAATCACATGGTCCTAAGTATTCTGACTCTTTGCTCAGTATGTAGTAGAAGCACCCTTTTGAGCTGATACAGCCACGAGTCTTCTTGGTAAAGATGCAACAAGTTTCTTACACCTAGACTTGAGGATCTTCTGTCCTTGCAGATCCTGTCCAGTTCTGTCAGGTTGGATGGTGAACGTTGGTGGACAGCCATTGTTAGGTCTCTCCAGAGCAGAGGCAGTTTTACCATTAGGCATAGGTAGGCGGCCGCCTGGGGCCCCCTTGTGTTGGGGGGCCCCCTAGCTCTGACCGCCGTCACCCCTCTGTTAATGCCACAATATTCTTATTACCAACCTGTGGCCGCAGACGGGATTGGACATGCACACTTCTCATTACCATAATTCCTGAACCGTTCAAGATATCATTAAAATTCCAAAAGTGCTGAAAAGATTAAAAATGGGGCTTTTCGTGCATATACAATACATTACGGTAGCCACCTGGATTCCCTGTCTTGAGCGCAACGAATCACAACACAGATTAGAGACGTGCTGAGTTTGTCATCCAAAATGCTTTGTTTTATAACTTTTGAATGGCTGATCAGATCCAAATCATTCCAACGGTTCCTAAAAGTACATAAAAGCAGCTTTCCAACAATTTTTAGCATGAAGCAATCAGAGTTAGGGAAAATATCGCTACGAGGGGAAATCCTGCTGTACAGCCTGATTGAAACGGAGCGCAGCGCCGCGGTGAAAGCGGATAACGGAACGGGGAAGCTAATCAGCATAAAAAGCCAGCATGAAATTATGGAAATGCCTCAAAGAAAATCAACACGATCTATTAGGTGTCCCAGAAGGCTTATATCTGAAGACAGTGACCATGAAGAAGGACAGATCTCCAGTGAACCAGGATATGAACGTTTGTTCAGTCTTTATTTTTTATTTTTTTATTTGAACAACCCTCAACTATTTGCTAATTGTAAGACTCAGCATCATTCCAGCATTATTTATCTTTTTACAATAAATAATTATTTTTGCTAAAACAAATGTTTTTGGTATAGCAGAGCACGGTGTGCCAGAGAAGCACCCCATGGCGGTGTGAGGTGTGCAGGACTCTGCCTGCAGCTGGAGAGAAGCTGCTTCAAGGTCTACCACATCAAATAAAAACGTCTGAAAGTTTACAAAAATAAAGTCTTAAAAACTGCTAAAAAAGATACCAAGGTTCAAACTTTTTTAAGAATAGATGCATTACAGTTCAAAGTTTTAATTGTTTGCCCAGTAATTTTGAAGTTCCTGTTCAGTAATAACTGTAAAAAATTCAAATCCGTTTTTTGCTTTTTTCACTTTTGAGCTGATTTTTTAAAGGCTGTAATAGAAATACATTCTAAATAGAAGAAGAAGAAGAAAATATCATTTCTATTGTTTCTCTCAAGATAAAACTCACGAGGCGCTTCACAAAAACAAAAAAAACATATATAAAAAAGCATTTAGAAAATGTTTAAAAATATATTTAAAATGAGCAAAAATAGGCAATTGGGATTTAAAAGAAAACATGTTAAGAAAGAGAGAGAGTGAACAGGAAAGAGGGAAATCAGTGGATCCTGAGGAAGGTGGAATAGGTGGGGAGAGCAGAATAAAGAGAGTAGTTGAGAAGGTCATACAAAAGCCAGCTTGAACAAGTGAGTCTTCAGCTGCTTTTTAAAGGAGACCATTGAGTCCACTGATCTCAGGCTCAGGGGGACAGAGTTCCAGAGTCTGGGGGCCACAGTAACAAATGATCTGTCACCTTTGGTCTTTAGCCTGGTGCTGCACAACCAGTAGGCTTTGATCACTGGACCTCAGGAACCTGCTGGGGGTGTAGGGACTAAGAAGATCACCAATGTAAGATGGTGCTTGTCCATGTAAGGCCCTAAAGACCAGAACCAGGATCTTGAAATGAACCCTGAAGTTGACTGGCAGCCAGTGAAGCTGGAGGAGAAGTGGCTTCACGTTTCTTTTCGTGAAATGTTGAAGTGGTTGGGAAATACAGACCATACACTGAAAGCTGAGGTTGTTCTGAAAAAAGGAGAGAGTTACACACACTTTGCACTTTTTATTACAATTTTACAGCCATAAGATTAAAAAAATACCAGGCGGCCCTGTTATAATTATGGACATAAGAGGGTTATTAAGACGGCAATGCACAAACAGGAAGTGATTGGTAGCCAATCCAGTTGGTGGCAGTAATGCACCAAATTGTTGTTTGCCAAGTGCCATAAGACCACAAATAAGAATAAGTAGAGAGGAGGGAGTGTTCGTAAACTCAAAGCGATAGTCAAACCATTAAGCATGAAATGGAGTTATCCTAGTGGCTCCAATAAGAGAAAGAAGCAGCGTGCTTCATAAAAGCTTTTATCTTCACATCTGAAAGTGACGTCGTTTTTCGATGTAAAAAGGAAGTAGAAAGGAAAGACAATGGAAAATGTTTAAAGGGAGGAAAACATAGACCAAAATGGAAAATTGAAAAAAAACTAAGGCTAAAGCACAGGAGCGCTGACAGGAAGAAGAAAGCAGAGCAAATATTGAAGGCACTCAAAGGGAGGGAAATACAGGAAAAAAGAGGAGGAGTAATAAAAAGCGAAAATAACTCATGTCAGAAGAGGGGAGAGTTTCGCAAATCCAGTTAAAGGTAAGATTGTCGGAAATTTAGTGTAAGGGGCCCCATGTCTGTGTTCGCCTTGGGCCCCCAAATTGCTAAATCCGCCCCTGCTCCAGAGCTGCTCAATTGTGTTTGTCAGGGCTCTGGCTGGGCCATTTAAGAACAGTCAGAGTTGCCGTGAAGCCGCTCCTTTGTTATTTTAGCTGTGTGCTTAGAGTCATTGTCATGATGGAAGGTAAACCTTTGGCCCAGTCTGAGGTCCTGGGCACTCTGGAGAAGGTTCTTGTCCAGGATATCCCTGTACTTGTCCACGTTCATCGTTCCCTTGATTGCAACCATTCGTCCTGTTCCTGCAGCTGTGGGGACTGTATTGGACAAGTGATGAGCAGCAGCACACGTACAGCTTAGAATGAAGGCCAAAAAGTTTTATCTTGGTCTCATCAGATCAGAGAATTGTATTTCTCACCATCTCTGGGTCCTTCAGGTGTCTTTTAGCAAACTCCATGCAGGCTTTCAAGTGTCTTGCACTGAGGAGAGGTTTCCGACAGGTCACTGAGCCATTAAGCCCTGACTGGAGGAGGGCTGCAGTCATGGCTGATTTTCTACAACTTTCTTCCATCTCCTGACTTTATCTCTGGAGCTCAGCCACAGTGATCTTTGGGATCTTCTTTACCTCTCACCAAGGCTCCTCTACCCTGTTAGCTCAGGTTGGCTGGACGGCCTACTCTAGGTAGGGTTCTGGTTGTCCCAAATGTCTTCCATTTAAGGATTATGGAGGTGTGTATGTTTATGATAAAGAACCAGACTAACGGTGGTGGTCGGAGGGGCCGGTGGCCCCAGTATTTGGCAGCCTCACCTCTGTCAGTGCGTCCCAGGACAGCTGTGGTTACATTGTAGCTCATCCCCCCAGCGTGTGAATGTGTGTGAATGAGTGAAGGACTGTGTTGTGAATCGCCTTGAGGGGGTTGTAGAACTCAGCGCTATACAAACGCAGGCCTTTTACCATAAAGGAGAACGCTTTCTAAATGTGTCATTTTTAAACCTTTTACCACAACTGTCAGCTCGCAGACAGTGTTGGATACTCCAGGAGAGGATTGTTGTGTTCAACAACAAAAAAAAAAAAAAGACTTTCAAACAAGCACTCTTAATATTCTACCAACCTTTCATCCACAGAAAGGAAAGAAAAAGCCCTGGAGGGGTCTGCTGTTACAGCTGCCAGGCTGAATATTTTTCTAGTTTAATTTTTAGCCCTTAGTGATTGAGTCAATATGGCATTAAATGTGTTCGTTTGTGGTTAAAGTCATTTTCACAAAGCTGGCCAAAGTTTTTCATGCTCAGAAGATCAAAATGTTTATTTCTGGAATAAGTAAAGCAAATGTTAGAAGTGCTTTATACAGCGGTCCTCTGATTTATAGCATTACTCTTTGACTTGAATTGAATCTGCCTACATCTGTTGGATTTCTGCCTGCAAATCCCATTCCCATCGAACGTCTGTCCCCCTCCTCCCAGGAAGCAGACACAGCAGCAGGACTTTCCAGCAGAATGAGGGGGGCTGGGGGAGTCGGTGGGAAGTGGCAGCAGCAGGGCCAGTCCGGGGGCCATCCACCCCCACCCGGAGGTCTGTCATGAACCAACACACACACACACACACACACACACACACACACACACACACAGACACATTGAACATCCCTCTTGAATGATTTGTGAGTGTAATAAACAAACGTTCAAATCTGACAGAAGTTGGTAGTGTGTGTGTGTGTTTGTCTTAACAGCTGTGAGAGTCCTTCCTGTTGGCGGTGTGATGTCGCCTCCTGTTGCTGCTGTGGCACCTGTAACACCTGGTTTGTATCAAGTGTGATGATGAATGTGAAAACATGCACACACTCTACTGTGAATCACCAGTTTCCATCCCACCATCCTGTTTACTGTGCTTCTCCTTCAGGAAACCAGCAGGCTGTTTTGGCCCAGCAGCAGCAGGAGATTGTGAACCAACAGGCCGTCATCATGGTAACTCCTCCGTTTGGATCCACGTCTGTTTATCTGTGCCATTGCTGCCATTTCATGTGACGCACCACTTCTCTTGTTTTTAGGCCCAGCAGATGACCATACACGCCATGGCCATGGTCAGCAGCCCCGTGTCGAGTCCCCCAACCTCCCCGATCACGAGCCCTCCCATGAGTCCTCTCCTCCCTCACCCTCCCAGCGCTTACGTCCCTGCCAGCCCATATGCCGTCATACCTCCAAGTCCATATGCAAACATCCCACCGAGTCCTTACGCCAACTTCACTCCAACTCCCTACGCTGGAGCCGTCATCCCAGCCAGCCCTTATCTTCTTTCTGCTCAGCAGGGACACACTCTATCACAGCCGAACACTCCACTCCCAACCGAGCCTTGGGCCGCCCGCCCTGACCCCCATCAGAGCTCTTCCACAGCTGAGGCAGCACAGCCTAGATCTAAATCCTCGCCACAGGTCAGAAACTTTGACACATGGGACATAATGGTTTAAATAATAAAATAGGAGGGAAAATGTAAAAACAAAATCTTATTTAAAGGTGTAGAACACTGAAAAAAACTTTTTAAAACATTATTTCTGATTATAACGGGTCACTCTGAGTTTTTCATGCAGGCTGAACATGAAAATAGTCTCCTACACCTATCTCCTGCATTAGCTTCTGATAGAAAATAGACGATGAAACTCTAGGATTTGAAAAGCCTGACAGATCCGTGGACAGCAGAGAACGTCTCGACTAGCAGAAGCTAACTTTTAGCATTAGCAACTTCACCACACATCAGAACTCCTCCATGCTTGTGTTATTTGTGGAGATAAAATATCTACTTTACAAGCCAGGGGTAGTGTCATGTTGCTGTTATCCGGTGTGAGATGCCCAAATATCAGGAAAGAAGACTGAAATCCTGCCATCTGAAGCTCAGCAGTGATGTGGCTCACTTCTAGTTCCTAGAAATGGTGCACCAGTGTTTTTGTCCACCGAGTAGGACTTACAAGACATTCACACTAGAGACAAATGTTCCACACCTTTAATAAACAAATGGAGTCAAGTGGTTATTTGTTGCAAAAAGAAAGCAAAAGTGGGGATAATGGGCCCTGGATGAGAAACCCCAGCATCTAGAAAATCAGCATCTAGAGGTCGTCAATGTGCTCATTAGCATGCACCGTCACTCGAGGGAAATCAAGTTCATTTGAAAGTGAAAGCTAATCTTCAAACTGAAGGGCGATGAAGAGCTAGTTCATAAGAATACTCAGTTAAAAGGGTTAACTTGTTATCTCTAAAGTAAATTAAATTTTCCTGAGTGATGATTCCATTTCAACACGACTGATACACATCGTAACGACACCACCGAGATCCTGACTTTCACATGTGTATTATCTGTAATTAAAAGCCGTCTCTCTTTTCTGCGCTCTGACACTGACCCCTCTAACAAAATCACAACTTTCAATGTCAGCCTGATCTGTAACACAATCTCTGTGTCCCGTTTCCCAGGTTCAGTCAGGTAAGGACAGCGTTCCTCGGAGAAAGGCTCCGGGCGTTCCTATTAACAAGGAGCCAACCAGGAAATTCGGTGTGTGTTTAACATAACTTTAACACATATTTTAGAGAGCTACACAGAGGGCAGAACCTTGACTCAGCTGTGTTGTTTTTGCCTTGCAGCCCCAGTTGTGACGTCTCCTCTGCCCCCTGCTGGAGATGTGGTGAAGTATTCATCTTCAGATCACATCGTTCCCAGCCATGACATTCAAGGTGACTGCTTTGCAAAGCTGACAAACAATCTCATTTGAAGAACTGCTTTTGCAAAAAAATCTCTGAGGGATTCTTGAGTTTCCATGGCGTGTATTAATATTTGTTCTGGTGTTGTACGTCAGATGTGACAAAAGGGAGAAAAATGCTGATTTATTCTCATCTTCTAGAAATCATCAAAAGGTACAACTCACCATCACCGCCTCCAGACCTGCTACCGCCTGGCAAGAGGTCAGTTAGTGGAGACTCTCTTTTAAACATGCAGACAAAATCTTAAAAAGAAAAAAAAGATTAGAGAGTGTGGTTGTCTTTTAGGAGACCAGAAGAGAAATTCAAGAAGAAGCCAACGGCTCGTGACGAAGCTTTACAGATTCTTAAACCTCAGATGGAGCACCCTCCTCCTCCACAGGTAGAAACACACTCATGCCAGAAGCCTGCAGTCTCCGATCCCTGCAATCTGCACACACAGTGACTAAACGTGCAAAAACGTCTGTTGTTGTGTGTCTCCAGCCCAAACAACCTGTTGCCCCCTCACCATCTGCTTCTGCCATGAAAGAGGCAGGCTTTAAACCCACCAGGATCACAAAAGCAAGAGCACCTGTTCGTCCGCTGCCCAAAACTCCTCCAGGTACACAACTTATCTACATACTAATACAAATGCAGGCCAAATCAGATCTGACTTAGTTGACATGAACTAAGTTTTCTGATAAAAACGTGTCACAACCTGAGCTATCATGTGGGTTTGCTGCAGCTCTTTTAAGTAAGTAAGTAAGTAAAAGTTTATTTATATAGCGCCTTTCACAGATATAAATCACAAAGCGCTGTACAACATGATAAAGATCAGGGCAAATTCCTCTAACCAATAAAAACATCAGAAAAACAATAGCAGTGACAAAGTAGAAAATAAAATCATGAGTATAAACAAAGTGAAGTTGTGAACCCGAACAAAGCCATCTTTTTGAACATTTAGGGAGGGAATGCCTGGATGAAAAGGTGAGTTTTAGATGATTTTTAAAGACCTCTACAGTGTTAGAGAGACAGAGATTTGAAGGTAGACTGTTCCAAAGTCTGGGTGCAATAGTCTGAAAGGCCCTGTCCCCTTTGGTTTTCAGTCTGGTTTTAACATTCACTTTGGGTGGTCTGATCATGATTGGACGTTAGATTTGATCGATCAGTACATTCAGGGGTGATCTCTGTTGCCTGTAGCCAGGTTCTTTGGACACTGTGAGGATGACTGCTTCTTTATGGCTTTCTACTGTGATTTATTCTGAATTTTCATCCTGGTTGACTCAAAAATAAAATGATCCAATCTTTCTAAGTGCCCTGGAGACATCATAAGAAAAGGAGAAAAGAATAGTTTTATTTCTGTTCATTTGTGCAGAAAGTGAAGAAAATGACACAACGAATCTGTGATTGTGTGATGGTTAAATTTCCTCAGCAGGTTTTAAATCTAATCCAGGTGTTTAAGTGCAGGTGGACCCATCTTTTCCTTTAACTGTTTTACGTCTCATTTCTTCTGAGAAACGGGTTATTTCGAACATCTGTGTTGATTTTAACAAACTCAAATGTTCCAAGTTATCCAGCTTCCAAATCGATAACTGTGTGTGTTTTGCATCTTGTTACTATTAGTGTGACTGAAACATGAAAATTCTAATTTCCACATGGTGCTGGTGGTCATGAGAACAGCGAGGAGAAATGATAATGATGATTACATCTGGTTCTTCCTGCAGAACTCTTTCAGCTCAAGAATAATTGTATTTGTATAGCGCATTCACAGGGTTCTACAACCCCCCCAAGGCACTTCACAACACAAACAGTCATTCACCCATTCACACACTGGTGGGGATGAGCTTCAATGTAGCTGGCCTGGGACGCACTGACAGAGGCGAGGCTGCCGAGCACTGGTGCCACCAGCAGGCAAGGGGGGTTAAATGTCTTGCCCAAGGACACAACAGAGCTGGTCAGAGCTGGGATCGAACCTGCAACCTTCTGATTACTGAACAACCCATTTTACTCCCTGAGCTACTGCTGTCCCAGTTTGAGTCTGCAGTGCAGGAGTTCTGCTGTCCTCCAGGCCTCGTTTGGTTTTAAACCCCATTTGTTTTGATGAGTTTTAACTTCAAAGTTTTAACTCTGAGTGATCCAAAGGGATCTTTTGTTTGATGTCAGCTGAGTTGACTGAGTTTTGAGGTTAACTCTGTTCTGGTTTTAAGACTTTTATCAACTTTGTGGATTTTAAAACGCCTTCAGTTTAGGTAAAACGTTTAACAAAGTTTTAACCAGGTGTTTTAATATTTGATAAGTTGTCTTTTAACCGTTAACCTTTGTGAGAATTTTTTGTTTTGCATTATTTTAATAATGCCCACCATCTGTTTGCACTTGTTTTTAGAACCTTTTGTGACAATTAAACCAATTTTAAACCCACTATCATGTTTCTTATGTTACCCCCTTCTTCACACTTTAACACCTCCTGTCGGGGACGTAACATATGTGAGTCTGCCACATCTTTCAGGTCTGCTCTTTTTACAGTTGTTCTTTATTTGTTCTGTCGTCTTTCAGTGGCCTTTGTTATTTAGAGGCTACCATCGGCAGCAAAAGCCTGTTTTACGTTACCAGTGAGATGCTATCTAATATTTTTCCCGTTTGTTGTATTTTCCTGTCTGCTTCACTTTCAGGTTGACATTATGCAGTAGAAAAAAATAATTTAATCAGTCACGATTGTTTCGGATGAGATGTGAGGAAGTGCAGCTGGTAGGGTTGGACTCTGATGTGTTTAAAGGTGGGGTTTACTCGTTTATCCAATATGTTTGCAGTGTTCTCCACTTTAAACCAATGTCTTATGAGTAGGGATGCTCCGATCAGGTTTTAATCTGCCGATCACCGATACCGATCAGCCAAGAGGCCGATCATGGCCGATCAGCCGATTACCGATACCAATTACATAGATTGGCTGTAAATTGTTCATTTAGCTATGGTGAGTTCTAATGCATGTGTTACATATTAATTCAGAAAAAACATGGTTTTACTTCACTTCAAATTATGTAATATCCAGAGGTGGAAAGTAACAAATTACATTTACTCACATTACTGTAATTGAGTAGCTTTTTTGTAAATTTATACTTTTTAAGTTGTTTTTAAAAGCTGTACTTTTACTTTTACTTGAGTAAGTTTTTAAAAAGAATTGTAATTCGCTACATTTTAAATCATATCCGTTACCGAGTAAAAATAAATTATAGGCTTAATAAATTAAAAATATTACGTGTAGCAGCGTTGGAACGGAAAGAGACACCTGCATGAGCGCCGCGTCTAAACCCTGGGGGTGTGGGGGTGTACACTTTAGCTCAAAGACATCAGTTCAGTTCCTCAACTCGCTGTTTACCTCCTCTCTCCCTCCTCTCCTGTGTGTTGGATCCTAAAGTATGTACAGTCTATGGTTGGATCCCGCACCTTCGCGCACCGGTGTGATGTCATCAGAAATCTGCTCGGTTCGGTAGCCGGACTCGGTTCCGTGTTTGAATTTCTCTACCGCTCCGCACGGAAGCAGCAAAATAACGTTTAGCGCTCATGACAAGCGGACTCTCAACGCTCTGCTCATAAAACAGAAGACCTGCAGGTCTCTGTGAGTTAAAACATCCTGATACTGTTCAGGTGTAAACATTGTGCTCCGTCCCTGTGTTTGAACTCAGAAGATGCTCCTTGATGCCACAGATATGTGATGATTTATCTTGTTTCTTTATTTTACTCCAGAATAAGAGATTAAATTATTACTAAAGCAGTTCAATGTAGTTAAATTAGTCATTCACATGATTCTAACATGCTGCAGTGTGTGTGTGTGTGTGTGTGTGTGTGTGTGTGTGTGTGTGTGTGTGTGTGTGTGTGTGTGTGTGTGTGTGTGTGTGTGTGTGTGTGTGTGTGTGTGTGTGTGTGTGTTACACATATGGCTCAGGAAAATAACATATTTCATACATAATGACGTCTCTGCAGTGTTTATGATAATGTTTTATCTTATCTTTGGTCTGGGAGGTGTAACTTATCATAATACAAGCCTTTTAAAACATGTTAAAGTTTTACAAGAGGAGATGAATGCATAAATTTAAAGTTCATGTTTGGAGACCAACCTTCACAGTTTGGAAGCTCACGCTGGTGAGGTGACACCGTTAGTTCTAGTAACACCTGGGCTCCCAAGGCCTGTTCTGACAGGATGGACGTTACGGGACCCTTAAGGATTCCAGTTGGACGATTGGAGGGTTATTTAGGAGGATTGGAATGAACAAACTGATTTCAGTGGTGAAGGGTTAAATGAGTGAGTGAACCCACTACCAAGGATGAACTCTGCCTACTTTAAAAATCAGCTGCTCTAAATAAGCATGAAGGTCAGAAAGGAGCTCTAGGATGGACATGGATAAAGGAACTGTAATGTAGAGGTAAAGTAGGGCAGGGCCAACGTTAGCAGCTGTCATACGGTCCATCTGAAATGTTTGACTGCATTAGGCTTGTTATATTATGTGACAGGTTAGAGCACAGTCTCATGTTAGAGTTTTGTCATGGAAACATTGAGATACCTCACACACTGATGGCATCTTAAAAAATTATTTTTTCTCAAAATAAAGAATAATTTTAACCACAATTGAAACTTCCCATCCTAGAAAAACCTCGTCCAATCAATGTGCACGTCCTGTTCTCACTGATTGGATAGAAATCCCTCCTTCAAGCTGAGTGTGTGTGTATGTGTGTGTGCGCACACACGAGCGAATTGTGAACTGGCGTTGTAATTTAGCACTACTTAGATGTAGCCATCCTTACGCTGACAAAAATGTAACTAAGTAACTTTTACTTTGAGTACATTTTGTTTACGATACTTTTTATTTTTACTTAAGTAAAAATTTAGGCAAGTACTTTTACTTGTAATTGAGTAAAAAATTATCAAAGTATTGGTACTCGTACTTAAGTAGGACATTTTAGTAGTCTTTCCACCTCTGGTAATATCAGTAACAATTTATAAGAAATTGAAAACATTAAGGCTCTCTTTAGGCTACAAATAGTGTAAAAAAAAGTCAATATCTCACATCACCGCCTAAATCAAATTAAGTAACCAAGGATACATTCAGATACATCCAGTGAGCTGTTAAGCTCAGCATTGACACAGGACTGACATCTGAGCTCCAAATGTCACTTGTGAAACTCACAGAGGATGAGATGCTTTCTTTAAGGAGTCCCTCGATGAAAGAATACACTGTCTGGTGGAGCTCTGGAAGGGCTATGTCGGCGAAATATTTACGTCCCCGTAGCATGTAGCGAGGTTCCAAGTGGGTTAGTAGTTGGCGGAATCCGGCATCTTCCACAACTGAAAAAGGCTGGTCGTCTAGTCCAATAAACTCGATGATTTTACGGGTAATTTGCTTAGCCTTTTGACTGTCACGCTCATATGGGCGAGTGTTTCCAAGCGTCGGCTGCGTTAGCTGCCGTCTGACTGTGGCTGCATTAGCTGGCTTCTTTTCATTGTCTGCGGTGAGCCTCAAAAACTCACCATGCTCCGCCAAGTGTGTAGTCTTTAAATGTCGGATCAAATTCGTTGTGTTGAATTTTTTTGAAGTGCTTCCTCCGCGGGGTATGTTTTCGTTGCAAGTGTTGCAAGACGCAAACTTAATATCACTCTCGCACACCGTAAAGAAGTTCCACACGGCAGACATGTTTGTCTTTGCGGGTTTGCCGCCATGCGCATGCGCACTAAGCGGGGAGAAGCGGAAGGGTGAACTACCCGCCGGGAAGAGTAAGTACGAGTGCCAGATCGGAAATGAAAGGCAGTGATCGGCGATCACAGATCACACACTTTTGCAGGAAAATCGGCCGATAATTATCTGTGGCCGATCAATCGGAGCACCCCTACTTATGAGTCATTAAAAAAAGCTAAGATGCTCCTGTTCTGAGATGCAGAAGTTTGCTGGTGCAGAGGTGGGCTGAAAACGGCAGGATTGCTCATTATCATTAATGATATGAACACACCTACCATCTGATTGGCTAACAGAACACATTCAGCTATGTTGCAATCAGTTTTCTCTCCTCGCTGCAAAAAGATTTTTTAAAAAGCCTTCTTGTGGGCGGGCACGAGCCAAGATGGACGAGGCCATAAATGCAAATTCACAGTGTGACATATGTGAAGAAATTCAAATCCTAGCATTTCACCGTCTGCTTTCTATCAGAAGCTAGCTAGTGGGAGACTGTTTTCCTGTTCGGCCTGCATGACAAACGCAGAGTGACAGATTATAATCAGAAATCATTGTAAAAAATGTTTTTTTCAGAATCATTCTTGAAGTGACACTGTGTATTTTTCCCGGTCAGTATCTTCCTGATAGGGGGCAGTAGATACCTAAATCGTTGCAAACAAGTAGTATTTTTGTGTTGGAGTAAGACCTTACCAGCGGATGGTCATTAGGGTCACAAAGCCTTGCGGAGTGCAAAATAACGAGCACATCAGATGAGTGAAGAGGTAAATGAGTAAAACAATGTTTATGAATGGTGAAGGTTTTGTAACCATTTGTTACAAATCAGTAAATGCATTTTTTCCTCATGGGCTCCTGTAGAAAGAAACATGGCATCTAGCATGGCATTGGCCAGAAACTTAGACCCACTCGCATGTATTTTAGACCAGATTTTTATGATTATATGTTGCAAAGTGGCCAGTGGATGGATATTTCCAGAGATTAATGATAAAAACTGCACATTGTCTTTTAACAAATAATTAAAAATGAACTAAATTTTCAACATGGTTACAAAAATTCAACCAAGTCCTGTTAAAATGCACGCTTGGCAGTTTTGCTTGTTTTTAGCACCCCCTAGTGCCCATTTGTAGGACAGAAAGCAAAACATTTCTCCTTACTGTGAACAGCTGAAATGTATCCCCAGCCTTCCTTAGTATCTACATGAGTCATTCATCACTAAATTAAACAAATCAGCTGTTTATTATCTAAAACATGCAGGAAACGTGCTGGAACCAGACTGCAGCACCATGCATGTCAGCTTCATATTTTCTACGTTCCAACAGAGCCAGAGACCAGTCTGAAGTTGCAAGTGCAAGTGCAATATTCTGGACACAGAGGACGATAGGGGTTGGGTGGCCTTTCACTCACCCTGTAAAGGGTCATTTTAGCACATACTGGCTCGATAAAACGATTTTAAAAATGAAAAAGTTGCTAAGTATCCCTTTAAATTACCTCAAGTTTGATTGGGATGGACTATAAAAGGGTTGAAACATCTCTGCATTGTAACCAAGCCACCAAAGATCCTACATCCAGCTCTAGTGAGTGTTATCGCTCCTTTACTGAATAAACGCTGCAAACATGGTGACCCTTGTAGTGCTGTCACACTCACTATCAGAGCAAGCAGCACAGACTGAGGCTTTCACCTCGTTTCCAGTTTAATTAATGTGACACAATGTTTGTTGCAGTTTCTCGAGAGCTTCCAGTGGAGGCCGAGAGCATCCAGACCCAGCTTCATCAGGGCAGCAATGAGGAGCACTACACCTACACCAATGTTCCCTGGAGGCTGTATCTCAGAAAGGAGGTCAAACACACATACACACACACACACACACACACACACACACAAACACGATCATCAAGACTGAGATCTAACTGCAAAACTACTATCGTCTCCTGACTTCCATCTTTGGAGTTTTTATCAAACAGACAGAAAGCACATTTCAGATAAATAAAGGTTGTTTCTGTTGAACAGGTGTTCTACCCCAAAGACAGCATCAACAACCCTCTGGTGCTGGATCTCATTTTCAAACAGGTATCTGTTGTTCCTCCACCTGCTTCTCATTTCTTTCTTCTTTGCACTCAACGAGATTTGATGATGGCAGAAAAGATCAAAGTAAAATTCGACAGAAATATTTCCAACAGTTCCTTTTCTGTCTTTTCTTTCCTTCTTCTCTAGATAGTGAACGACACTCTGTCGGAGGCGTGTGTTCGGATCACCGAGATGAAAGGCAGAAAATGAAGGCTCTCTTCGGTAGACTGTTGGCTTTTCCTGTTCTCGGTCTTTTTCCCCAACTGTTTGCTTTATGAATCTCTCTCTCTCTCTCTCATCCTCCTCTCTCTCTCTCTCTCTCTCTCTCTCTCTCTCTCTCTCTTCTCTCTCTCTCTCTCTCTCTCTCTCTCTCTCTCTCTCTCTCTCTCTCTCTCTCTCTCTCTCTCTCTCTCTCTCTCTCTCTCTCCTCTCTCTCTCTCTCTCTCTCTCTCTCTCTCTCTCTCTCTCTCTCTCTCTCTCTCTCTCTCTTCTCTCTCTCTCTCTCTCTCTCTCTCTCTCTCTCTCTCTCTCTCTCTCTCTCTCTCTCTCACTCTCTCCTCTCCTCTCTCTCTCTCTTCTCTCTCTCTCTCTCTCATCAGTTTGTGTGTCTATGTTTGTGAACGGCAGCCAAAAACGGTGTTGAGCAGAACATGGATCCAGTGGAGGAGCACGTGAAGAAACCATTGTGACAGCAGCGAGGGAAACCTGGGAAATTATACTTCTCCCAGACTCTTCCCGGCCTCGGTGAGGATGGCGAACTCTCCGAGGCGATGATTGCTCGTTCTCTCAGTGTGGTGGTTTAACTTTTTAGGCATTGCTGTGTGGATGTGTGTCTCTGTGCGAGTGCAGGGAAGTGTAGGGACAGGTGTGCAGGTGTTGGCAGTGTCTCACAGTGGCATCAAATTGCTGAAGACAGTAAAAAGCAGTGCCGCAGCTCCAGATTACTTCAGAGTCCTGCGACCGTACACGTAGGTGCCTTTTTTTTTTTTTACTTTGAGTTTCCAGACAGCAAACGAAATGCCACCATGAGTTTAACTTTATTTGAGTGAAACCAAAACCAATGTTTTCTGCTGATGTTATTATTATGGCTCCTTGTGGGGTTTTCCAGACATGCACACATCAACTCTAACCCATCTGTCTTCTGTTTCTCTGTCATAGTTATGCTGACATCCTGTTTGTGACCATCCCATCTGAGAACATGTTGGAGTTCAATCTGACCAACGAGAAGCTGATCCTGTTTTCAGCCAAGGCATTACAAGTCAAACATCTCATAGACACCTTCATCAGTGAGATCAAAAAGGCACGTTGGAAACAGAACACACACACACACATTTTATAATTTGACGTTTTTGTAACTCACTGCAGAAAAGAAATTCAAGATGGCTCCTGCAGCTTTATCGACTTTAGTAAGCACAAAAATGAACATTACAGAAATTGAGTGAAAATGTGATGTGTTAGTATCCGAGAGCTATTCCCCGCGCTGGGAGCTAACAGATCATGTCAGCTTCTGCAGTATTGCATGAGATCACGCATAAAGTGGACCAAAGCATCTAGACCTCCATAATTTCAATTTTAGTTTAAAGACCAAGTTCACTGGGAAACCGTTTTTCACTTATGTTTGAAATATGATCTGTTACTCTGAGTTTAACATGCAAGCTAAACATGACAAATTGTCTTCTACTTCTATTTCTTGCTTTAGCTGCCAATAAAAAAAAATAGGCGGGAAAATGCTTGGGTCAGAAAAACCACGCAACACTGAAACATTTTATTCATAGACTCACCCATCTTGGCTTGTGAAAGGGAAGGCTGCTGCTGGTTTAGCATCCAGGAGAGAGCAGAGCACATGTCGGCTAGAGCTAGAAGCTAACCATTAGCTTTAGCTACTCCACAACACAGCAGAACTCCTTCACACCTCTGTCATTTGTGGAGATAAAACATTAAAGTTGCAGAGCAGATTCATATAGTGTCACGCTGGGAGCAGGAGGTTTGGAACCAAGATGCAGAATCCCCAGAACGACTCGAGGCAGGAGTGGTTAAAGAAAATAATTCCTTTATTCTAAGGAGGAGGCGCCAAAAGTCCAAAAACACAAGAGCCAGACTAAATCTCAAAAAAACACACTGAATGCTCAAAAACATAACAGAAGATCACTCATGAGCACGGACTAGGAGAAACTCGAGAGAGACAGAACAACGCTGACACATACAATGGACCGACAAACACAGAGTGACAAGGCAAGGCTTATATACACTGAGAGGAGCAATTAGGGAAACAGGCAGCAGGTGTGTGGAGTGAGGGCTGGAGGGAAAGCAGGTGCATACAATTATCTAAATGGGGAACAAAACCAGAGGAGGGCAGATAAACCTAAAACTATAAAACACGGATAACTACACTTAGGGACTGAGGGCAAATATAAACAACCAATAACTAGAGGGGTGAGGGCTGAGGAGAATAATGGGACACAAGAGGAAACCTGGAGTGGGAACTGGAGGGGCTGGGGAACAAAGGGACACAGAACATGACATATAGTTGCGTTGCTGTTAGCCAATCAGAGACGAGAAATCCGAATATCAGGATATAAGACTCCATATCCTGTCTTCTGCTCCCCACCTCTCTGGTTAGCTTTTAGTCGCTGAAATTGGAACACGAGCTTTTTTCCATTGGACTCAGAAGGCATTCGTTGATACTACTGCAAATGTGTTGAAAAAAATCGAGTGAACTTGGTCTTTAATATTTGACGTGAAAGTCAGAAGGAAAACATAATCCTTATCAGTTTTTTATGCAACAACTTCAACTAAAAAAATCAGACACAATCAAAAATCTCCTACCACGTGCTGAAAAATGCTTTTTTCTGGGGTTTTTTGTTAGGACTCAGACTACGTCATTGCAGAGCGTAACTTTGTGACCGAGGATCGCGCGATGCTCAGTTTCCATAAAGGTGACATCATCAGGCTGCAGGTTATGAACGGAGTGGAGAAAGGTGAGACTCTGCATTCATGTGAGTCCTGTCATTGGTGCAGTTATCTGAGGATATTCAAGAAAGCTGTCTCCTTCAGGTCATAGTTACGGCTGTGTGGTGAGGAAGAAGGTTGTGTTTTTGGAAGACCTTAAAAGAGACACTGAGGACTTTGGTGAGTTTTAACAATAACTGTTTATATTTCTAAATTACTGCTAAAATTGCCTAAATTCTCATTCATTTTCGCATTTTACTCAATGCTAGCCACACAAATAAACCCAAAATAATGACAGCTGTGAAATATTTACCCACCCAGGAGCTGTACCCTTGGGATTTATTGGGATTTTTTAGTCGAATAATTAAAGTTGCAGTGACATCAACCGCACCCATGGCCCTTTTCAAACATATCTTACCAGAAAAGGATTTTCCAGATTGAAGATGGCGATGCAATTTGAAAAATATTGATCATGTTCTCTCTTGAGGACATAAAAAAATTAAATTGGATCACAGATGTCACATCAGACAGACACTGCACCAGACAGACTGTGAATAAAGTGCATCTCTTTGTAATTTGTCATTGAAGTGTTTGTTTCGCCTTTGATCCTTAAAATCTGGTGTCAGCAATCTTCCATAAACAAAGAGCAAAGGGCGCTCCACTTGTCTGCTTTTGAATTTGAATCCATCATACATCATTAAAGCCACAAAGGTCTGTAACACATTTCATAAGAGTGAGGACAAAAAAGCAGATAAGCTCTAAATTATGACGTATTGTTGTAGTAAAACAGTATAAAACACAACTGACGACAGCAGTATCGTTGCCTGAATTGTGCACCAGGTTATCACCGTGGCAACAGAAGGGCATCATGTCCTGTAAGTGGTAAAGGACAGAGTTGGATAAGGATCTGAACTGCAGTAAGAAGGACACAGATAGGAGATGATAAAGGATTCAGTGGTCTGATTTATTGTTTTCTCTCTTATCTCGTGCATCAGGTTGGAAGTTTGGTGCCATGTTTGGACGCTCTGGGGCATTCCCGACAGAATGCGTCCATCCTGTTGCTCCTCCGGACTTCCTGGCGCTGCCGCTTGACCGAAGAGCAGAACCTCGAGGCGGAGCGGACCAGTTTGCTGTGTCATCAGCTGTTGCTGTTGCTGTAGCTTCAACCACGGCTGCGCATGAGATAGATCAAACGATCGAGGTTCACATGCATACATCTACACTTGCATACTGATTTTTTTCTGACTGTCAAGCTACTTGTTTTTCACTGTGTTGTTTTTTTAATTTCAGAACGTGTCCTTTGATGGATTTTCTGATGGAGAGCTGGATGAGAGGATGATGCAGGACAGTAAATATGACATGTTGGAGTTTGCCAAGAAGTACTTCAGACAGGCAACTGGTGGAAAGGGGTGAGGCTGGGACACAAAGTCATGTCAACATCCTGTCACTAGTCTGAGATGCTGTTTACTCCGGTTCATAATCCTTCATAATCCAACTCCAAATACTAGTACTGTGGAAAAGTTTTTAACTCCTAATTTCCTCAGAATTTGACTTGTTTATTCCTTAAAGTGGTCTCGAGGAACTTTTATTCTGATTTGTTTGAACCTTAACTGGTTTTCATTCATTTTGACCCAGATGATCTGATTACAGCAGCATGTCGTGCAAGTATGTGAGGTATGATTAACCCTCTCAGGCTCAAAATACGTTTTGATAAAAGGACGAACAACAAAGTCCTTCAGGGGTACTTCTGAGTTAAAAAGTGCTCATGAACTACGTATGTGGAGTAACCAGGTCGGTAAGTTTTAACGTTGCTAATCTGCAACGCCTGCCTCCAGAGGGTTAAAGGAAAAGAAACAATTAAACAACTTATTTATCTTCTTAAAGGGGACACTTTGTGCTAAACTCACCTTTTATATCCTTTTGTGTTGCCATGTGAGTCCCCACTTTCTCTATAAACACTCCAAATGAGAAAAAAACTCATCCATCCATTGTCTGTCAGTGTTTGGTTTTTGGAACTATTTCCCTAAAACAAGCTGTTTCTAAACATCCCCTTTTGCGATGTCACAAACGAGAAAGTAGAACCACCTCTCACATGCAAGAGAGGGTTGCAGCGTGAGGAGCAGCAGCTCTTCTGCGAGCCCCTCCCAGATATCAAAACTTCTCAGCTTATAGCAGCCTTAGCAGGGGGTGGGTGAGTACGGCCATCTCCAGATTGTTTCCTTAAGAGACAGAGCTCTAAAATGGTTCATTCTGGAAGGTACTAAAACTGTCAAGGATAAAAAAGCTGAAATCAATTCATGTGAGAGTAATTTAGTGCCAAGAACTTAATAAGTATGTTTTGCTTCAACCATGGAACTATTGTAGCTTAAACATTTTTTTCATACTGTGTCCACTTTAAAATTAATATTTGAATGTGTCACTCTCGTTTCATTCAACAGATTTTTTGTGTCCAGTTGCCACATTAAAAGATACCAAAGAAATAAGATAAGATAAGAAGATAAGATAAGATAAGATAAGATAAGATAAGATAAGATAAGATAAGATAAGATAAGATAAGATAAGATAAGATAAGATAAGATAAGATGAGATGAGATGAGATGAGGTGAGATGAGGTGAGGTGAGGTGAGTTAAGTTATTCCTTTATTAGTCCCAGTGGGAAATTTGTATTGTCATGGCAGAAAGTGGACAGGACAGGTGAAAAGCAGCCAAAGTTTTTAAAACAATAGAATAAGAACAGTAGATTGAAAAATTATACCAACAAGCAGTATACTGTAATACGCTGATTAAAGCAATCTATAAATATAAATATAAACATGCATGAGTGTAATGTTGAGGTCTATGCATGTAAATGTAAACTTTGAACTTGATAAATCTATGTATGTACAAATGAATTCTTCTAGTAAATAATTTAGCAGCGTTTCCATCCTAAAGCTTTGCTTTCTGACCAACTCTGTCCTCAGAGAGTTCTCGAAGAGCAAAACTAAGAACAGAGACTCCAGAGAGCCCACTGAGATGATCAAGTTCTCCAAGGTGCCTTCTTCTTGTCTACATCTTCCCAGAACACTAACAATGAACTGAGCTGTTTGCATTATGTTTCCTGTATGTTTTTATTGTTGTTCTGTGCAGACTCCACTGACTGAGTCTCTGATCGAGTTCACTGACTCGGGAATGAACAGGGTAGCAGCTGATCTCTTCCTATGTAAGTTCTCCCCTAATATCTGATTACATTATCGAATTACCTCAGATTTATTCCTGTAAAATGAGAAAGTATTAAGACTTAATCCCTTTTACATTGCTCTTTTTGAGGTTTTTCAAGTCACTAATTTAGATTTTGTCTATAGGTGTTTTTGAACGTTACAGAATTTGCACAATTTCATACCTGTTTAATCTAAATCTGTTTACATCTCTAATATATGTGTAAACCCTTCTATGTGTGTCCTCTTTGTGTATTATTGAGCAGCTATCATGCGCTTCATGGGCGACTCTACACCAAGAGGCCTGTCAGAACAGGAAGTGCTCAGCTCTTTTCTCAAGGTAAATACACCAGCATGGATTATTCTTATTCCAGGGTAACTGTAATCTCAGTTTCCTAATCTGTTAACCAGGATGCATCAACTTTAAAGCTAGAGGAGCCAAATTGGATCATATTTAAGAAAACCTGCAGGTAGATAGTTGAAACTGGATTGGCTAAAAATGTTTATTTTGTGGGTTTATCTGGGATTACTCTTTTCCAAGCAGCCAGACTTTGAGATCTATCGCTCTTTCTGATGGACTTTCAACAGTTTTCTGTAGATATTTTTACTCATTTTCTGTCCAGCACCTGAACATTTTCACAGTAATAGTTTTTATTATTTTTAGTTAAACAGCTTAACACTGATCTGAGAATCATTCAGAAATAAAAAGTTTCCTAAATTCAAACTTGTCTTGGCACGCGACAGACGACTTAACAGCGATACGGTTTGGACTTTTTTTTTTTAAGCATTTGTCACCAGCAGCTTGTCACAGCAATACTGTCTGATCCCTTTTGATTTATTGAATCTAGCACATAAATGAAATGTCTCTAAAATGTTTGTTCCCTGAGAGGTTTTAGCTGTAAACCCGCTGACCCATCTGTCAGGTCCTGGCTGGATTATGTTTCATTTTTTTTATTATTCTTGATGTTTTTCTTTTCGTTCTCTACTTTTCTACTTTCCTCATTTACAGGTAAAACTCATAAAATGAGAATAAGGTGCAAAAGTCTGTTTATTTCAGTAATCCAGCTTAGACTGAGAGACCATCTAAAGGCTCAGGAACCCTTTGCAGGTGTTCTGGATTCGTTAGCTGATTAGAGTGTGACACTTTGAGTCTAGAATATTGAACTTTTTCCACAATGTGCTTGGAATATCTGGCTTTGCATGGAATGAGTCTGACTCATAAATTAGTTTCAACTTTGAGTTCAATTACTGACATAAAAGAACGTTTGCTCCACATTCTAATTATTTGAGTTTCACCTGCAAAAGGAAACAAACTGTGCATTAGGCTCTCATGCGTATGGTACAACTGTAAACAACATTACAAGCAACAAAAACATCAAAAGACCAAAAACTGAGAACTAGAGACATTACAGCTGGTTTAAAACACAGCCAGTTTTGACAGAGAATGACTTTTAAATAGTAAAGAAACAGCATTTTGCTTTAAACACATTGTTAGATGAAGAGTAAAATAGTTACAATCAGTTCATAAAAATATATATAAATTCTTCTTTTTTTGAGGACAGATGGTTTACATGAATCTGTTTAAACCCTTGAAGATGTAGCGTGTCAGTTGACAGCGAGTGTACAAAGAGGAGGGCTATAATAAGTAAAAATATGATTAAAGTTTATGGAGCAACACTCACCTTGTCTGTTGTCTTTTTTCTCACTTGTTATAATCTCTCATCTTCTTCTTTATTTTTGGCCTCAGCCGTCTGAACTGCATGTATTTTGTAACCGAAGATGCCTGACATTCAACATCAAATGTTGTTAGGCTTTTGTTCTGACATTTGCTGAAGAGAATCAAGGATTAAACTGGGTTATGTTTTAGTGCAATTCGTGTTGAGCTTTTTGTTTGTAAAATACCACAAAAGGAGTAATGGGCTCCATTCAACAAGTCTGACAGTTTTATTTAAATTAGGGCTGGAACTTGATTTAAAAGAATTATCAAATTAAATAGAGGCCTTGTAATTAATTAATATTGATTAATCCATTTTAATTGTTCAGGACTATTTACGCTGAAGTGATTTTTTTAAAATAAAAAATAATGTCCAGGAGGCACAGATGACATAACCACACTTTTATTAAGTGTATTCCTGTAACCACAAGATCTATTTGATTAATTTGGTCTCCGTGTAAATGTAACGATTGTAGGATTTGTTGGGATGTGTAAATATCAGTAAATGTGTTATCGATGAAGTGTAAGTGGACATGGAACATTGTAAATGTTGTGTACTGAATGAACACTAGGTGGCAGCAGAGCACAGCTAATATATGTAGAGGTGTAGTGTAGAGTTCAGGAGAAGTTCTGCTGAGGGTTACCAGATGAATGCTGTGTGTGCTTGTCCCTTCTGCTGTAATAAAGTTCATATGGATAAAGTCACTGCCTGCCTGCTTTCTACCAACTAGAAAACATAACCGGAAACAAATTGATTTCTTTCTTTTATTTCTTTTCTTCATGAAGAGTGATGTGTCATGGTTCATTTATTTGTAGTTCTAGTTGTGTTTGGAGCATGTAAAAAAGGTTTATGGTCTTGTAGCCCAGGCTCTTCGGTTTTAGATGTGCAGCTTGATAACGTTTATTGATATGCAGGGCATAAATTGTGATTCTAAACGTTTTTGTCCCCCAATTGGGGCGCTGTTGTAAAACTTTAATGCCTTATTTTTTTCTAAATAATTAATTGTAATTTACGCATTCAATTCCCACCTCTGATTTAAATAATACATTTTTATGTATATATTTACTCGGACTGTATTAAGTTATTTTTTGTTTTGTTTTTTGTTTTTGACAAACGAAAGTAGGCATTCAGCAAAAAAAAACTTTGGTCTGATATGTAAATATTTGTGATTCTCTCAGTTGATTGGAGACTTCACCTTGATGAGGGATGAAGCTTACTGCCAGCTCCTCAAACAGCTCACTGCCAACACCAGCTCCAAACCGTAAGTCAGCTAGCCATGGACTCACAAACTGCAGGTCACATGGCTCATGCCTCTTTTGGGAGTTTCATTATGCACGTGTAATTTTCTTCCTTGCAGGGATAGTTGCCAACGAGGCTGGAGATTGCTGTACATCTTAACGGCGTTCCATCGCTGCTCTGAAGTCCTTAAGCCTTTTCTGGTAAAATACCTGCACCAGGCATCTCGCAGCGCCGGGGCACAGTACCAGGGTAAAACCATTGCACATTCACACCAAGAGTAAACTGCCATTAACAAAGTCAGCAGTGATGGATAATAATAATTATTATTTTGAATTTTTAGGTATAGCTAAAGCGTGTGAGCAGAATCTGAGGAAGACGTTCCATTATGGTGGTCGCATAGTTCCACCCAACAGCATGGAGCTTAAGGCCATGATGGTCGGTGTCTCTTTTTATTTATCTGTCGTGATTCAAAAATATTCATGTGCTTTATATGGACAACAGTTTGCACAATTACAGTTCCTCGTTTTACAAAAAGCCCTCATTCGAAGTTATGAAACTTCATTAAAATGTACTTTATCTCTAAACCATTTTTATATCTAGTTTTAGTGGTGATAATAAAGTTTTAGGCTACAGGTCTGTAAATAAATTATCATTATCTAATATACATTTAAATGTATTTATTTGACATGTTTTATGAGGATAAAATCAGCTTGAGATGTATCATCTCATTTTCGAGCAGGTCCTCAAATTATGCAGGAAAACAGCAAACATGATAGCAGAGTCATCACATATCAGACTCACTTTAAAAATGGTTCAGATCTTGAAAAAAGGGAGCAAAAACAAAAGTGTTGTGTTTTTAGTTTTGTTCGGTGTAAAAAAAACATCTATTTCCATTTTTGTTGTGACCAATCACACAAAATGTACTTGTGAGGTTATTTAGGTGTTGTACTTTGATCATATATTCTCTCTGAAAATCAGTAAAGAAAAAAAAGTCTACTGTTTTTGTAGGGTATTATTTCATCAAACTGAATCGTTTTTACAGGCCAGTGCATACATTGATTTTAATTATCTATTGGAGATCATTTTCAGTAACTAAATTCTACCAATTCTGCTGTTTTTATTGTATTTTATGTGCTTCAGCATCTTTGGCCTTCAAATATTTTTTGCAAACACATCAGTTGAAGAGATGCTTCCTGGGAAAATAATCCCAAACAAATGCAGTTTTCTTCTTCCTCGGCTCTACTTAGCAGGAAAGTGTTGTGCTCAGCTATTTTAACCAATCTTTTTTTTTTCCCGTGGACATTTTGGACAGTCTTAAAGATTCTTTTTCTCAAAGAGCTCAAGGCTAAATGTCACAAAGCTTGGAGATTTGGTTGACATTAAGAACTATCACAAAGTTGCACAATATTAAAAAACAGTAAATGACCACTTTAGATTGGCCTCCGTCCTACAGAAAGGGTGAGATGTACAACATAAACCACATGAGTGTGTGTATCGTTTCCTCAGGCGGGACGCAGCTCAAAACGGCAACTGTTTCTCTTTCCCGGAGGCATCGAACGCCATGTGAAAATCAAAACATGTTCTGTACGTACCCAGCTGTTTTTGGCAGCTCATTCTTGACTGTGAAGAGGAGGTGGTGGACTGAAGTTACTGTTGTGTGTTTCAGGTGGCGCTGGAGGTGATAGAGGAGCTGTGTTATGAGATGGGTTTACACACAGTGGAAGCCATGGAGGAATACGCCATATTCCTAGTGACCAACAGAGGTGCACTCAGTCTTGCTTTGTTTAACCCGTATTTAGTCCTTATATCTTATTGAGGCATAAGCTGAACTTCGCAGAGAAAACCTACTAAATCAATCAAATCAAATCAAAGCTTTATTTATAAAGCGCCTTCTGCAACCTGTCAGGAAGCCCAAGGTGCTGAACATGGTACAGTACAAAGTTAAATAAAGTGAATAAATCAGAAAATGAAAGCAATTCAAATTACAGATTACAAATTACAAAAAAAGGTGAAGCATTCTAGTAAAAGACAAATGTGTAAAAGAAGGGAAAAAGTGAACCAATGAAAACTGTGAGATAAAATCAACATAAAAGAGGGCCAAATTCAAACATGTTCAGGAAACGCCAAGCGGAGGAGGTGGGTCTTTAGGCGACTCTTGAAGACTGGCAGAGATGGGTACAGCCTAACTGAGGCTGGCAACTGGTTCCATAGTGACGGTGCTAGGACTGAGCAAGCCCGGTCCCCGACACCTAGAACGAGGGACAATGAGCAGGCTTTGGTCAGAGGAGCGCAGAGCGCGTGATGGGGAGTGTCTGTTCAAGAGCGTGGCTAGATAGGGGGAGCACTACCCTGGAAGAAATTAAAAACAAAGACGAGGAGTCTGAAGTGTGAACGATGGGTCCATCCATCCATCCATTTTCAACCACTTATCCAGAGTTGGGTCGCGGGGGCAGCAGCCTAAGCCGAGAGGCTCAGACTTCCCTCTCCCCAGCCACTTGGGACAGCTCCTCTAAAGCCAGGCGGGCACTGTGCGACTTTTTCACTCGTAGCACTCAGCTTCAGCTCAAACTGTACGACTTCCTCGCAAGGCAGATCTCACGAGTCATGTGCTCACACTGAACGTCTGGTAGCAACATGTTGGACCTAAAAATATGCCAAAAATAGCAGTTTTTACACAACATGTCGGACTATTTTTTTGTCTTGTTTTGCCTGTTGTCCTTCGGGAGTGCTGCAGGAGGACGCACAGGGAGGGGTTTATGGGGGTTGGATGAGGAAAACGAAATAAAGAAAGTAAATCTGTGTTTTGTTTTCAGTTTGCTTTGACATGAACATGACAAACATGCTTTCTTGACAATCCTTGTCATTGTGTGTCAAAGACTTGTAGAGATAAAAACGAACAACGTGTGTTATTAGGGAAATAGCGGGTGAGCGGTGTTGACGCATGACTGCGCATGCGCCGTGAGCGGTTCTGGTACTTTTTGGGTTGCAGCCGCTCGCTGTGCCTCTTCAACCCTCACAAGGAACGAGCAAAATATCAAGCACTCCAGAAGTCCGTGCGAGCTCACGATTGCTGATCTGTAGCTGGTCAGGTGGTGTTAATCGCCTCTTGTAACCCCCTGTACACTACACGACGCTCAGCGCAAAACTCGCCCCGATCTTGTGGATTCTCGCACGAGTGGAAAATCGGCTCAAAAAAGTGAAGAAATCGCACAGTGAACGCCCGGCTTAAGGGAATCCCAAGTTGTTCCCTGGCCAGCTGAGAGACATATTCCCTCCAGCGTGTCCGGGGTCTTCCCTTGGATCTCCTCTCAGTTGGACGTGCCCGGAGCACTTTACCAGGGAGGCTTCTAGGAGGCATCCTGACCAGATGCCTGAGCCACCTTAACTGGCTCCTCTTGACGTGGAGGAGCAGCGGGTCTACTCCAAGCCCCTCCAACCGAGCTTCTCACCCCATCTCTAAGGGACAGTCCAGACATCCTGTGGAGAAAACTCATTTTGTCTGCTTGTACCCGCGATCTTGTTCTTTCGGTCACTACTAAAAGCTCGTGCTCGTGACCATAGGTGAGGGTAGGAACGTAGATCGACGGGCAAATTTTGAGCTTTGCCTTCCGGCTCAGCTTTCTCTTCACTACAACAGATCGGCACAACGATCGTATCACTGCAGACGCAGCACCAATCGCCTATCGATCTCACGCTTCATCTGTCCCTCATTTGTGAACAACTCCCCGAGATACTTAAACTCCTCCACTTGAGACAGAACCTCGTCCCTGACCTGGAGAAGGTATTCTACCCTTTTCTAACTAAAAAGATTCTATAAAAAATGTGTAAAAATTTTAACACCAATAACTTGAATTGGCATTACCTCAATATAAGATTATTAACATTATAGGACAAGTGAAGTTTTGATTCAACTGAAACCTTTTTTTAAATGAGAATGATTTTAAAAGGTTTTTAAACATTTCAAATTAACATAAAAAAACATCATCGAACAATTACAAATTAAAAATAAAACAATGAAAAAAATGACACTGATATTTTTCACTTATTTCAGTGAGTTTCTTTTAAAGGACCTAGCAAAATCCACTTACTGGAGCTATTGAACATGTCATATTGTATTTCCTCATGAAAACACCCTCAAAGCATATAAGGCTTCATACATACATTTTCCTTTTTCAGCTGCTTCTTTCGTTAAGCTGTGCCTAACTGAGCTAAGCCATTGCAAACGGCTGGGTGAGGCCGGCTGTACACATCGAGTCCAGATCCCTCCTCCCCTGTACTGTAAACATTAATGCTCAGTCTCTGTGTAGCTAACAGGGAGTTTAATCTCCAGACGCTTTTAGTCTGCACATGCATGCATGTGTGTGTGTGTGTGTGTTTGTTAAGCCTAGTTTATATTCTCCGTCAGCTAGTTGGCACTCATACTAACAAATTTTCCTTTTATACTTCTCCATTGGCGTGTCAGTGTTGCAAAGCACTTGTCCTCCAGGTCAGCAGGGGGCATCGACTACTTCTGGCAGGTCCGCCTACCATTGTAGTAACGTCTGATCGACCTCATTTTATTTATTTCAGCTTGTGACGCAAACACAAATACCTTGAAGGAGGATTCATGGGTTTATATTGGAGTTTGTTACTGTTCCTATTTAGTTAAAAACAACCAGGTAATGTCCGCCTGGCGTCGCTCCATCAAAACCGACGTGACAAGCAGAAATAGCTGCCATGTGAACCTTGATTTTGTATAACCATAGTCCCCCCCTCCAGCAGCTCCTGTAAGAACGCTTAATACGTCCACAACAGGGCACTGGATGAATGCATAGAAAATAATAACCAGCTAGCACAAGTCAAACTGGAAGAGGTATTCTCAACTAGGTGAACAGTGTAATGGGCTTGACACACGAGAGGCGACAAACGACCACGATCAGCGAAATTTGTCGCTGCCGCTTTTTTAACCTGACACACGGGAGGCGATCCGCGGCAGCGGCCAGCGGCAAAGCCGTCTACGCGTTCTGTTCCATGGCGAAATTGAACCTTGCGTTGTTTTGCTTGGCTGTGTCAGGTTGGAGGGAATTAAGGTTATTTAAGCGGTTCAGAGTTAATAAAGCGGTAGATATGATGTTTCACAAGGTGCTGCTAGAGTTATGTGAAATCTTACTTCTGATTTTACTATAAAACATAATAATAATCAACTTCTCCTCCATGTTTGCTCGGAGATGTACGGAGCATCCTGTCCGCTCATTGGTCAGTGAATGAAACCTCCGTTGATTGGTCCTCGTCCGAGCGACAGCGATGAAAAGTTGAAAATATTTCAACTTTCTGGGATCGCGTCGCTGGGTCGCCTGTGCACGACACGTGCACGAGCGCAAAATTTCACACGCACATTTTTCGCGTTTCGCTTGGTAGGAGGGAGACCCGCGATTATCGCTTTGTCGCGCATGTCTCATTGAAAATGAATGGAGGAGAGGCGATGTCGCCTCCCGTGTGTCGAGCCCATAAGTACTACGACATGATTTATGAGTAGGGGTATGCAGGCAGAGCCCTTCCACTACGTCACACGTCATGTGACCTAAAGGAGTGATTCAAGATGTCGTCAGTCAGGCCATGCGCGGGCGTGATGCATATTAAAAGTGCTGTACCGAGTGAATCAACTCAAAGGAAGCTACGATGTCAAGGTTTATAGAATAGCACATCTCTTGAACATCTATTGAATTTTAGAGTTTAAAGAAGTTTTGAGACACTCAAGAGGAAAAGAACATTCGTGGTCTTTACGGGATCTTGGAGAGTTGAGACCAACTACAGTAATAACATGTTTTGATGCTGATGCGGTCTGAAACAGATGGTATAGTGAGAACAGTTTTTGTAGTGTAGCAGCATCGTGACTGCCTTCTCAGCGATCTGACGACTCAAATAAGTTGTAAAGAGCAAAGAAGAGTTTACATCCCATGTGAAAGGGTTGTAAAGTTTGTTTTCTAACCTTTAACACACTCGTATACCAGAAAAACCACTACACAAACTGGATTTCTTTAGTGTTATTAATATCTACAAAGCAAACATGGCTGTAGACACAGCTGGATGGCACCAATCAGAGCAATAAAAAGAGGCTCACACTGCTGCCCCTCTGAACAACTTAGCCCATTAAACCCCCAACCTATTAGATAAACGATTGTGAGAGGCCTGGCTGAACAAGGTCATTCTGAAATCTGCTGGAACTGGAAAAGGCCAGACTTATTCTGCCATATCTAATTAGACATGGGCTCTCAGATTTAGGCCATTTCCACGTTTATCTAAGATTATCTGCTGGATCAAACACAGAGCAAGGGAACGATCTGTTCCTGAATGTTGAGTGTCAATGGTCCATTTAATATAAACAAGTAGCTTTGTTCTAAGATAAAAACGCAACGGCGATACACCATAACAAGCTAGTTAATGTTTTTTTATGTCTCTAGGGAACAAATTCCCTCCAAGTTTTTAATCCATCCTGGTAAAGCAAATTAAAATAAAGTTCAAAGGCTAAATATCTCCACATGGCAACAGATAGCAGTCTCATGTGAAGCCCAGCGGGTCTCACAGCCAGAGACCAAGCAAGTAGTTTATTATTTTAGGTATATAAAGCTGGGATCAGATTGGAAAAGCTCTCATGAAGTAAATATTTATCCACGGTTGTGCCCAGGTCAGAATGTGCGTCCTCTCAACAAGAACGAGTACATCCTGGATGTGGCGACAGAAGCCGAGTTAGTTGACTCCAACTACAGCTTCTGGTTCCGGCGGGTCGTCTGGACGCAGCCGCTCAGATTTGAGAACGAGCTCTGTGTGACCATGCAGTACAACCAGGTACCGCACCCGCTCTACCCTCTCTGGGCCTGCTTCGTTTCACACAAGCGTGTGCTTCTAACCCTGTGGATTCTTTTAGATCCTTCCTGACTACCGTAAAGGTCTGCTGAACATCCTCTCTCATGGAAATGTGAGTGATCAACAGTTCCACCAAATCTCCAAGCTGGCTGCTTTACAACAAAGAGCCAAAGACATCGTCTTCGTTCCCAGCATGTGAGAAAAACAATCAAATCAGTGGTTGAAGCTGTTTTCTGTCATCTGCTAAGTGGACTGTAGCACACTTTTGTTTTTTATCACTGATGAGTTCATAGTCAATTTATATGCATTCCATTTTGAGATCCACTATGTCAGTAGCTGGAACACTTATATGACCGTAAAGCCACATCCTCATCCATTGTTCTTTAACCCTATACTCACAATAAAAAAAAATATTTTAAAGGTGTGGGAAACTGAAAACACATTTTTAAATTATTATTTCTGATTATAATTGGTCACTCTGAGTTTTTCATGTAGGCTGAACATGAAATAGTCTCCTACACCTATCTCCTGCATTAGCTTCTGATAGAAAATAGACATTGAAACTCTAGGATTTGTAAATCCTGACAGACCTATGTCACACTGTCATGGACTCACCCCTCGTGACTCTCGACAGGGAAGGCTGCTGTTGGTTTAACGTCCAGGAAACAGAGGGGCAGCAGTGTGAGCCTGGGAGTTTTGGCTAATTTAAGCTAACAGTTAGCATTAGCAACACCACCACACAGCAGAACTCCTCCAGGCTAGTGTTATTTGTTGAAATAAAACATGCAGTAGTAGAGTTGCATGACTGTTGTCGAATTAGAAGTGAGATGTCTAAATATCAGGAAATAAAGACTCCAAATCCTTTTGTGTTCAGCTCTCCTCTGCTAGTTCCTGAAACAAGCGCTTTCAGGAACTAGCGCTTTGCAGTGGGGGGTGAGGTGAGCTCCCCCCCACCCCCACTGCAAATGTACTGATTAAATGAGAGTCCTGCACCTTTAAGTTAGGCCATTATCATCTGAATAGATTTGTAAAGATAATTTTTGCTTCCACAGATTTGCATATGCTTATGTTCCTATCCTGACAATCAAAACAATCTAAATAATTATGTTTATGGTTATATGGCCCCTATAATAAAATAGATTTGGCTGTCATGTTTAGATATATTTCTGAAAGCTGAATTAGCTGCTAACGATAAGAAGAAACTAACAATCACATGACTTATTGAACAACATCACGTGGAAATAATCAGGTCTGAAATGTGTGTGTGTGTGTGTGTGTGTGTGTGTGTGTGTGTGTGTGTGTGTGTGTGTGTGTGTGTGTGTGTGTGTGTGTGTGTGTGTGTGTGTTTGTGTTTGTGTGAAAAGCAAAGTGAGGGATTTCCACTTGTCTGTCAGGAGTTCCATCAGCACAGGCTCGGTATGCAGTGCAGTCACTAGTGATTGTGTTTAAAGTGCATGACTATCTCTCAGCTGTGAAAACTTCTTGCTTCTTTGCCATCATTATCGCTGTCACTCGGAGCCAAAGAGCAGAGCAGAACGACTCACCGAGTTGTGTTGAAATCATGTTGAGAAAATGTCACGAATCATGAAGTGAAACAGGGCTGTGTTTATCTGACACGGGTTTTTTTTCTTCTCCTCTGTCCTCCAGACACGAATTATCGGAGTACATCGCTGCACCTCTTTTCAAAAAGCAGCCGCCGCAGCAGTGGGTAACCATGGTAACGCAGCACATGCAGCAAGTACAGCCTCTGAGCCCACACCAGGCCAGAGCACAGTTTCTGGGTAAGATCACGGTTCACAGAATAGACGTGCATTTTGCTAATTCTGCCTTTGTGTGGAAACTAAAGTACACATGCTCTCAGTTTTCTTTTGGATACTAATAAATGCAATTAGGGTTAATTATTTACAAGGAGTTTAAGACCAAAAAGACCTAAAAAGATGAAGATGTTTGGATATCTGTTGACATCTCTTCTGCTTTGGACCTTTTTGCTAATTGAAAAGGTGATCTAGCCACTGTATTAAAACACAATGCTCACTAATTGTAGAATTATTATTTGGGGTGTGATTTTAATAAGTGGGTGTGTCCATTTGAATGTGAGCACATACCAAATGACAAAAAAACAAAAATGTGCCTATCTATTCTGTGTTTGTGCGTGCAGGGCTGGTCAGTGCTTTCCCCATGTTTGGCTCCTCGTTCTTCTACATCCACAGCAGCAGCTCCACCACCTTCTACGCTCCCTGTATTCTTGCTGTCAATCAACGAGGCCTCCATTTCCTACACAAAAACACACACGTACGAAAACACACACTCAGACATGTGCACTATCACCGTGGGGCTCAGCTCACAGCATCCGGAACATGATCCTGGAGGTGGAGTTGTTTCCTCATGCCTGTTGTAAAAAAAAAGGCCAATCTCTGTGGTGCAGGAGCTGATGATAGTGGTCCCCCTGGTGGAGGTGCAGTCTACTCGCACCCAGAGGCCCTCGGCTGGAACCAGTTACCCATATGTGGACATCACTCTGGGAGACCTGAACACACAGCGGGTCATTCAGCTGCAGCTGGAGCAGGTATCACACAGAGACACTTGTGTGAACACGCGATGACATTTACAGGAAGTGTTGCCAAGGCTGCCTCTTTTTTCAGTCTTTCCCAGACATCTCCTACCACTTCTACGCTGACGATATTCAGCTCTATATGTCCTTCATGCCACACCAGTTGGACAGGCTGGCCACACTTGTACTCTGCCTGACCCAGATCAGTAACTGGCTGTCCAGCAACTTTTTTGTTCTCAATGCTAACAAGACAGAGACCCTGATCACTGCACCCCCGAAACTTCAGCCAAACATCGAGCAGGAAATTGCCTCTTTTTGCCCATCAGCCAAGGCCAACATTAGAAATCTAGGAGTTATTTTTGATCCAGCTTTAAGTTTAGACTCACACGTCAAAACCATCTCCCGCTCTTGTTTCTTTCAACTGAGAAACATTTCAAAAGTCCGTAAACTGGTTTCTACAGCAGATCTGGAAAAAATCATCCATGCCTTTGTGTCATCACGCTTAGACTACTGTAACGCTCTTTTTACTGGTCTCAGCAAAACCTCCCTCTCACGCCTTTAAGCCATCCAAAATGCAGCAGCCAGACTCCTAACCAAATCCAGCAGACGAGCTCACATCACTCCAGTTTTACAGTCCCTCCACTGGCTCCGGGTGGAATATAGAATACAGTTTAAAGTTTTAGTCCTGACCTATAGAGCTCTTAACAACCAGGCTCCAAGCTACTTATCTGAGCTTTTATCCCCACACACCACCTCTCGGAACCTTAGATCCACATCTCAAAACCTCCTGGCTGTTCCTCGAACCAGACTGAAAACCAAAGGGGAGAGGGCCTTTCAGACTATTGCACCCAGACTTTGGAACAGTCTGCCTTCAAAACTCCATCTCTCCAAAACTGTAGAGGTCTTTAAAAATTATTTAAAAACTCACCTTTTCATCCAGGCATTCCCCCGCTAAATGTTCTGAAAGATGGCTTTGTTTTTGTTCACACCTTAACTTTGTTTTTATTCCTGATTTTGTTTACTATTCGTCACTGCTATTGTTTTTTATGAGCTGTTTTTATCGGTTTGAGGTATTTGCCCTGATTTTACTCATGTTGTACAGCGCTTTGTGACTCATATCTGCGAAAGGCGCTATATAAATTAACTTTTACTTACTTACTTTTGTTCACAGGGCCTGGAGCTGTGTCGAGTCATCGCCATGCAGGTTGAAAACATGATGTCTGTGCGGGCAAAAAGGCTCACGCTGCCACCCAGTGAAATCACTATGCTGTGACACACGCATACACTTAACAAGGCTCACTAAAGTTTCTGTGCATTTAAATAAAAATATGCTGACTCAGCCTACCTCCTCTCATGCTCAGGTGTTCCTGCTGCTCATACACACACAAGCATGTAGAAAAAGTCACTGGGAGGTCAGCTGAACAACTGCTGGATCATTTCTCCTAAAAAATGATGGCCTACAAACTATAAATCTGGATCTTCCATGTTTTTCTGTCCAAGTTTTAATGTTGAACTTAAAAGTTTTCATATTTCGATTCTGTACTCCGACAAAGCATCAGTTCGTGATGTTGTGTTATTATGCTTAGAAAGTTTTATAATTGATCTACTGCTTTATTTTTTTATTATTATTTTTATATTACTGTGGTTGATTGTAAATCGTGTACATTGTGGCTTTGTTGAACACGTTTTTTTATAAATAAATATTTTATCAAAATAAAAGCTTTTAGAGAGAATTGTTGGACTTTTGCAAACTTCGTCTTAAAAACTGCTTCCTCCTGGAAAGGTTGCAGGGAAAATTTTGCTAATTATTTATAAAATTATTGTATTAATCATTAAAACAGATCTGATATTAATCACAATTAGTACAAATAAAATAGAAGAAATGATTTTTATAGGAAACAATATTTAATGAAAAACTATATTCAACTGTCAATAGGCAATGAGAAACAAAAGAACATAAACTTATTTCACTATTTCTTTGAAAATCTTGTAATATATATATTTATTGAACAACAGTTAAGCCACCATTATTGAGATAGTTATAGAAATGTATTCTTATTGAAATCTTTAGTTTATATATTGTTAAAGCTGCTGTCCAGAGTTTTCCCCTTTTATGAATTATCTTTGGTTCTTCAGAATTACGTAAAAATGTTTGTCTTATCATGTACTGTGATATAATGTAAGAAATACATCTTTTTTTTTTTTTACTAAGCCCACCCTCTATCCCGTACAGCTCAATGCAACATGAACTGAGCACCGGTCAGCACTAACCACTAGCGTTAGTCTACTGCTTAGTATCAATCAGAGTGAGCTCGAGCATTTAGGTTGATGCAAAGTTGGCGACCTTTCTCATGGACAGGTAAGTCTTTAAAATATAAATATATTAAAACACAGCACAACATGAGCATTACAGTTGTAAAACGATGTATTTTAACTATGTTTTGTTGGCCAGAGGAGTGTGTTCATGAAGACAGGCGCTGCTTTTGTCCCTAAGTACGGGAGTGAAACAAACGACTTGTGTGATATGCTTGTCAGCCACTAGATGGTGCCATCAGATAAAAAATAAATAATTCGGACAGCAACTTTTATTTAGTTCCCTTAGCAGTCTTTTCAAACCACGCCCAGTAAAAAGTGCTATGAGTTTTAAAAAATCTAATTCATTTGTGCACAATCTGTGTTATTTTGTATTATATATATATATATATATATATATATATATATATATATATATTATATTTATACTATTTATTTTGATCTAATTATCTTTGCAGCTTGTTAAACTTTCTTTAGTATTTTAATGAAGTTTAAATCATCTTTCATTTTGCTGCTAAAATGCATGCTCAATTATTTGAATAGAACTTTTAAGAAGACTTTCAGTTTTTTATATTTGCACGTTATCATTTTAAGGGATTTTAAAAACACGGCAACAGCTGAAAGTACAACGTGCGTGCAAACTTTACCTCTTTTATCAGTGACTTTGGACTTCAGACACTATTGATTGTGTTAAAAGATCAATGGCTTTTTATTTTTTATTTTATTTTATTTTTTTACGGAACAGTTTAAAACCTCGAGGAGGTAAAAACAAGGTTAGTGGGACAAAATTAGCAGCGGTGAATTTAGAATTTAAGGAGCAATCCTTAAATGGTTTAGCCCCGCCCACAAACTGACGAATCACAACTGAGCATGCGCAGATCCCCGGCAGGTTACACGAGTTTATTTTCAGGATTGTGCTTGGAGACGTGTTGCGAAGGTCCAAAATCGACCGCTGGGAAGCTTCGTCTCTAAATAACAATGTAGTTTTGTGTTTTTAAGTGTTAGATATCTTTAGGAACAAGTCCGGGGCGTCCAGGCTTGAAATCCGTCGGTGACATGTGAGATGTTGCTGAGTGGTTTGTCAGTATTTCCAGGCGGAGACAGACTGGCCAAGCCAAGCTAGCCGAGTTAGCAGCTCAGCTAACACCATTAGCTTCCTCGCTGCTGTTGCAAATCTTGAGGCGGTGTTGACGCAGTATTTATTTACGTGTCTGTTCGTTTGTAAGCTTCAGAAAATATCCACAAACTGCAACCTGAGTGCCACTAAATGCAGAGTCAACCAGCGCGGCGGAACTTAGCCGTTAGCCACTTTTTGTGCTCCTGACACTGCTTCTGCGAGAGTCAGTCAGCGGCTACCCTACGTTAAATTTATCCATTAAATGTTCGGTCTGTCGAGAATAATCTGTTAAATCTGCTGAGATGCAGCGCTGATAGACAGCGTTTGTAAGGAGCTAACCTCGCAGCACAGCGGCCATAGTGTTTTGGCTGACTGACATGGCAGCCAGCGGATTCTCTGACCTGAGGGAGAAGCTGAAGTCCATGACTCCGCACAGAGACGACTACAGCAACAAATACTCAGACCGCAGTAGTAACGGCAGTGAAAAGGGCCGAAAGCGAAAGTACCGGGAATCCGATGACGACGAGTACGGACACAGCGACGATAGCGCGGACCACCGGGAGCAGGAGGCCCGTAGGGTGAAGAGCAGCGTCTTGCAGCTGAGCATCTTCACCCCGGAGGAGTGCGCTCACATCGAGGAGAAGATCGACGAGGTGGTCTCTCAAGCAGATGCTGGACTTTACCGGGAGCACACCGTGGACAGGGCCCCGCTTCGCAACAAGTACTTCTTCGGGGAGGGTTACACGTACGGAGCCCAGCTGGAAAGACGCGGACCGGGCCAGGAGCGGCTCTACCGTAAAGGACAGGTGGACGAAATCCCGGGCTGGGTCCACGAGCTGGTGATCAAGCGGCTTGTGTCCCACGGGGTGATACCAGAGGGGTTCGTCAACAGCGCGGTCATCAACGATTACCAGCCAGGTGGCTGCATCGTGTCCCACGTGGACCCTCTGCACATCTTCGCCAGACCCATCGTGTCGGTGTCTTTCTTCAGCGACAGCGCGCTCTGCTTCGGCTGCCGCTTCCAGTTCAAACCCATCCGGGTGTCCGAGCCAGTGTTTGTCCTGCCTGTGAGGAGAGGGAGCGTCACGGTGCTCAGGTGACTAACATTCTGATTCATTGCTTTATTTATAGCTGATCAGATCACTGAAACCCTTCTTCCACTCTTAGTGGCTATGCTGCTGATGACATCACTCATTGCATCCGGCCCCAGGACATCAAGGAGAGGCGTGCAGTAATCATCCTCAGAAAGTGAGTCAATACCTGTTGTTTCTGAGGTGAGATCTGCCTCTCATCACAGAGTTGTTGTAATCCTCCCATCATACCACTAGAACCAGACCTGATGCTCCTCGCCTGGACTCTGACAGCCCTCTGAGCTCTTCTGCCCCAGGAAGGCCTGCCCCTCTGAAAGCCAAACGCTCTCATCGCAAAGCAGATCCTGGTGCTGCTCACAGGTGTGTATGTGCCCACTCATATGGACATAGAAACAGCTTTGGCATCAACTTTGGACAATTTAGATTTGGGCTTTTCTTTGAGACGTGAGCAGGTAGAGGTAATTAAAGTCCTTCATTTACAAAAGGATGTATTTACTTTGATGATGTATGGCGGACTGCCTCTTGAGTGATTTCTGTGACGATTAATATGTCCCGTTGTTCGGTGCTCTGATTGGCCATGGTCCTGTCCAATAGCATGCAGAGACACTTTGAAAGGCAACCTTAGATTTCACCCCACAGGAGCTCTATCTATGGACATGGCCAGCCTGTATATTTAGATATATAGGATGGCTCGCCAGGCTACAAAGGTGAAGCATACTGCAAACTTACAAACTGCAGCACAGCACATTTTTATAATTTATTTTTCTGGTTACATAATTTACTCAATTATTAACTTTTTTTTTTTTTTTGCCACTCAGCAAATAACTTCTAACCCTTTGCATTTGACATGGTTTTATTCTGTCATGGTGGGTTTGTTACCAGGTAGTCATGAAGTAATGTAAACATAGTAAACCAACCTAAGCGTGTTTCTAACAGGCCAAGGGTTCTGGAGATGGACAAAGAGGAGAACAGACATCCTTCATTCTCCCAACATCATCATCGTCACAGCATCAGCTCGGAGAACTACTGGAGACGTGACGAAGACCACGACAAACACAGGGAGAGTTCAGGACGCAAAATCAAAATGAGACGTCACTGAGATCCATTTTCACATGCACCAGTGCAAATGAACGTCCCCACTCTTTATGTGTGTCAGTATTGTAACTTTAATTAGTCATTATGTTGATTCTGCTTTATTTTTGGCACAAGGAGCTCACTTATGCCTGTTAATTTGTTTCTAGATCTGCTTGAGTAAGCATTTTAGTTTGGGCAGAGGAAACCGGCGTCTGCTGCTTGTTACAGAACCATCACCTGTTCACTACAGTAAAGGCTCTGTTGGTTTTTTTTTTTTTTTTTTAGTTTAAATTAAATATTTCTTTGTGTTCATAGATAATACAAATGGCATGTATTTTTTCTACCATAGGAACTAAAAAGAGAGGTATGTATGGACTTGTACAAAGCAAACTTGAGCTGTAATCTAACTTGTTATAATGTACAATATGTTTGTACTGGTTTTTTTGTTTAAAAGGCTCTCCTTTTTTCTGCTACTACGGTTAAGATCCACACCTTTTGCTGTGCCATGTCAAGAGTTTTGCTATTTGATTACTTAAACTTTCAGATTGCAGTGGCAGCAGCACGTTTTCACCCGTGACCCACTGTGATGAGGCCACATGCTGGTAGAGGAGGCGTTTTGGAGTGTTGAAAACTCGGGTGAAAGTTTACACTCCTGCCTCAGTCTAAGGTTGTTTGATACTACAAACATTAACCCCGTCGTTCCTCATATGTAATAAATCCTAAATTTCCTTTTATGAATGACTTTTAAACCCATTTGAGTGGATTTGATCAAAACCACGTTGTCCTGTTTTTCTTTGGTTTGAACAGCTGAGATGGAATTAAACATTGACATACTTTGGCTTGGAGTTTACTGTGTAAATAGTTGTGTTTTTTGTTTCCACATTCCCCTGTGGAGGGGAGTATGTCTGGTTAAGAGTCTGGAGTAGCACAGGAACAGCAATTCAAATTCAAAAATACTTTATTGATCCCAGAGGGAAATTCTATTGTTTCAGTACACACAATTCCAAGATCATACATACATAGACACATGACAAGAATTGGTGACTGGTCATTCGCAACCCGAGTCACGCTACCGTAATAGATCATGAGGATAGAGTCAGGGGGAGGGAAAAAAGGCACTTTCAGAGTTACCCTCAACAGAGAGGGTAGCTTTGCTATGCAAAAAAACACCTCAGACAGATATGCACACAGACATCACACAATACATAAGTGTCCACTAGGTGGGGAGGTAGGGTTGGGACTCTCCTGACTTCAGAGTCATCGCCTCCGTTTGGGGGGGGGGGGGGGGGGTAATGGGTAGGCACATTGAATACTTGAGACGGTTCCACGGCCTTCACCGGTCACAGTCCCGCCCAGGCTGGGATAGGGGGAAAGAGTTTCCATAGCGACGGCAGCATTCCACATTTCTTCTGAGGGGAGTTTACACTTCAGCCTAATAGGCTTCAGGGGCACCAGATTCAGATAGCAAGAACTGTTTTGTGTACAGGCAGAGATAATTTCCTCTCTGCCTTAGAGTTCTGTATAAATAAATGATATAATAAATAAATAGATCAAGTTCAGAGGAGAACTTGTGTTTAAAAAGAGTGAGGGAAATTCTAGAATATTTCAGAACTTTGACAAACATTTATTAAAAGTGAAGCGAATAGTAAATATGTTTCATATGGGTTGAACTTGTGTCATGGCTTTTGAAATTGTTAATGTATTAATCCAGCCCAGACTGCTGGGAGTGGTAAAATTAAAAACTGCAGAAGGCTTACTCTTTTTGTTTTTTGTGACAGTTAATTGTCAACCCATATAAACAAATAACAAATTCCATATAACATTGTATTTCAATCTATTTGTCTAATCAGTGAGGTTTGGTCCAGACCTCAGCTTGTTTTGCCTCCCTGAACAAAGGCTGACATTTTATTTGTTTGGAAACTGGTAAACTTTAACTTCATGAGTCAAAACACCCACTAAGTTGTTCTTAGGTGTCTGTGTAGCGACTGATAGTTAAGCTAACCCTGTAAGACACAAGTTTGAATTAGTTAATCATTTTAAATACAATGTTTTTGAGTCATTTTGAAAGTATATCTTGAAATATCGTCATTGAATTTTCTGGTTAGTTGTGTAAAATCCATCCTGTTTCCTCGGCGGACAAAATGTTTTGAAATTAAAGAAATGCCTGTTTTTGCAGAATGCATTAAAAACCTCAGCAATAATTTATAATATTAAATAGAATAGGAATTTACTTAATAACACATTTTTAAATAGATTTGCTATTAGCAATGTCCTTAATTTTAAAAAAATCAATGTAGACAATTAAATTGTCAAGTCGTGTTTTGAATAATTACCACCAGGGGGAGCCAATGCAGTTTACAGAGAAGCACCTACCGCCATTAAATAGAAGAAGTAGACAGCTGTCGGCTAACTCTAAAGTAGATGACATTAAGAAACTGTTCAAATATAATATACAAACCAAGTCTCGCAGAGTAATGTTTTTGGTTTGGAGGCTGTTACACCTTTCTGCAACGATTGGTGAGTGATTTTTGTGAGCGACAACTTAGCTGTTAGTGACAGCTAATATGGCTAATGCTAACCAACAGCTGATGCTGTTCGTCAGCTGTTTCTACAGCTGGGTTTTCTATTTAAGCTGATAGTTTTATTTGAAATCCCTTAATCTTAATGTTACTTACATCTTTATTTTGTTGTGATTTATACTTGATTGAACTTTATTGATAAACTGGAGGTGTTATGAAAACAAGGTCAACATTTTCCTAAGCAAAAACTGTGAAATCAAGATTATTCAACACGTTTTTGGTATTTAGAAACGTCACAGCTTCGTTTGTTTATATCATTTGGCTTCAGACTGTTATCTGAAAATGTATTCAACTGTGGTTATCAAATATCTTTGTAATATAACAAAGATGTAAGTCACATATAAGCAGAAATAGATCTATTAGGCAGATCTGCTCTCACTGATCCAGCATCCACCACTAAGTGAGTGGCCTGTATGCAACACAAACTCTGTCTTCATTGTGAAAACAAATTCAAATCAACAGAAACTGTGTTACAGGAGAAAAACAATGGACATGCTTTAAACAAATGAAGGGAGATCACTGCAAGGCCTGTAGTTGTTGAGTTATTTGATCTGTAATCGCCATTCCTTTAAATTATTTCAGGGAAAGCATAGGAGTGATTTTAGATTCAGCAAAGGGCCTTTCAAAGCTTTAAAATATTTTTTAATTAAAATGTCTGTTTAAAAGACACAATATTTACAGTTTTTCACAAACTGACACTAAGGCCTGATTCTTTAATGAAATTAGTGACATGGTTTAGTGTACAGGTGTTGTTATAATAACTTATATTTACTTCTTTTTAATTTACTGAACTCACTAAAAAGGTTGATTTTGCCCCAGAGCACATAGCACCTAACCTGACAGCTCAAAAGAGTATTTTCTACGTTTGAGGAGCAGTAAATACAGAACAATATTAAGCTGAATTCTACTCTTGATGGCAGAAGTGATATAAGCTGAATTGGATTAAGAATTTCAAATAAAATTAAATTATTTATGGCATTTAAACAACTAGGCCAACATAAACCAGAAGTCTGCTTCAACGAATGTGTTTAATGAAAAGGCTTGGATACGTTTGACCCAGCTGGTGTGACTCAGACAGCCACCTCTCCGCTCTATAAATAGAGCGTGCCTAAAAGTGTTTTTATCTGAACCTCGGGCACAGAGAGAGTCTTCAGGTTTTATTTTATAAACTGTGTTTAAAACATAACTACAGTGTGTTTAAATACAGATGAGGTGGATGGGTGACAGAAAGCTGGTTAGGTGTCACACTTTTTGATTTTTCACAGCAGGAAAATGTCACTGATGTCTTTAACATTTACAGCAACTGACATGTGTGTGGTTGCTTAGTGAGACGCCACCATGGATGCCATTGTTGCCTCTGACATCACTGCTGTGACGGTGTTGCCTGTGAGAAATGTCTCATTTAAACTCATTCATGTTAAAATTCAAAACTGAAATGGAGCACAGCTGAATTTATTTTCTACGCTAATCAAAGATTCCTCCTCTGGTCTAACAGATCTACATTTAGTTCCAGATGCTTCTGCTGCAGATCAGCACCCCCCCTTCTCCACCCCTCTAAACAGTCACATCCAGCATTTTCTGTCATTTAATTTGTACAAATTCACACAGAGTTTGTGTATGTTACGAATGTTTTACCCAAAGAAAGATACTTTTTGCAGTAATTCTTTATTTGTTTAGTCTCTGATAATTTCTCCCTAAACATTTCAGGATGTTTAAATTTTTTGTTTTGACTGGTAAATACTTAATTATTTCATCTGCTTATTTTAAAGGCTGACTAAGTAAAGGAAGCAATGAACTTCCAGAGCAGTCGGAGGAGAGGGGAGGATGGCGTCGCCGTGGTGATTGACTTCCTGCTGTCTAACGCTCGGCTGGTTCTGGGAGTCGGAGGAGCTGCTCTGCTGGGCATCGCTACACTGGCAGTGAAACGGGTTTGTGTTGTAGGGCTGCAACAACGAATCAATAAATTCGATGAAAATCGATTACTAAAAGCGTTGGCAACAAATTGCGTCATCGATTCGTTGTGTCGCACAACTCTTCCAAAAGCGCCCCCCCCCCCCCCTTCCCGCCCGCCGTTGCGCACAGACCAGAGCAAGTCAGTGCGAGGGAGAGTCGCAGATCAGCGCGAGGGAGAGCCGGCAGATCAGCGCAAGGGAGAGCCGCAGATCAGCGCAAGAGAGAGCCGGTACCGGCAGATGAGCGCGAGGGAGAGCCGGTACCGGCAGATCAGCGCGAGGGAGAGCCGGCAGATCAGCGCGAGGGAGAGCCGCAGATCAGCGCGAGGGAGAGCCGGTACCGGCAGATCAGCGCGAGGGAGAGCCGCAGATCAGCGCGAGAGAGAGCCGGTACTGGCAGATCAGCGCGAGGGAGAGCCGCAGATCAGCGCGAGAAAGAGCCGGTACCGGCAGATCAGCGCGAGGGAGAGCCGGTACCGGCAGATCAGCGCGAGGGAGAGCCGCAGATCAGCGCGAGAGAGAGCCGGTACCGGCAGATCAGCGCGAGAGAGAGCCGGTACCGGCAGATCAGCGCGAGGGAGAGCCTGCAGACTTGCGCTGCTGCGAACCGGTTCCGCATTGTTGCGCAGCGATCCAGGCAGCTGCTTCCAGCGCACGGTCCATTCTCAAAGTGGCGCAACCAAAAAACTATAATTAGCACACGATCGTTCTTGTCTGCACATGTTCTCTATTTTCTGTCTTATTTGTGCCTGAAGCGCGCTACTGCGGAGCTCATCACCTGTGCTGTGGTGATGTCACCTCACGCAGCATCGAAACGCGCTCTGCGCTTTGCGGTCAGGAGATCTCTTTGATCTGCTCAAAAGTAACTGATGAGGTGAAAAGGTAAGAATCCAGGCAACAGATTTTCTGGAGAATTATGAGGAGATGCAGGAAGATGAGAGACAGACAGGACAGGAAAATAGTTAAATAAAAACAAGAAAACGAAGTAAAATGTAGGTAGATTTATCTCCACTACACGTTTTTACCAGTAAAAAACAATAAGTTATACACGTCATATTTATACATCTGATACAATTCAGATCACCTTCAAAACTCAGTCACACACCCAGGGCCGTTTCAAGACATTTTGGGGGCCAAGGCAAAATGCCCCCCCCCCCCCTCCATAACTGGGCTGCCCAGAAGCCTCTGTGTAATTCATACCCTCTCCAGGCGTGTTAGTAAAATCCCCTCAGACATTACTGACATGTTCTAATATTATCAGATGAAAAACTAAATTATCAGACATGCTGTCTCATCTGCTTCTTTTCTAAACTTGCAAAAAGTAACAAAACCATTTGAAAGCCACTATTTGTGGATTCTCTGAAAGTTTCCATGGAGTGTGTGACAACTTATTTTTTCATTGATCCTATCGTCTAATCTCACAGCTGAAACAAGCATCTTTAATAATCTGTGCACAGGAAGCTTACCGATGCTGTAGTAAAACAAAAGGTAGTTTCTTATTAATAAAACCTTGTTGCAGCACTAAAGCATAAAAATGAGATTTTGCATTAAATATGCAAAATATTTACATATGAATTGTTTTAGAGCCCTTTTATTGGCAGAATCTGATATTAATTTAGTTCTTACAAAAAATGGGTCCCAACGTGGTTTGTGTGGCGTTGCCATAGTGTGACGTCATAGGCACAGATTCCCTGTCCTCTAGTTTGGAAATGGAAATATGATCACCCTACATTAAACAAACTGTCCACCCGGGCTTTTGCGCTGCACAGAGACGCTTCGCTGCCTATGACTTTGAACGTCAGTTGAGAGTCAGTCTCATGCAGACTGACCAATGAAGAGAGGGCCTCAAGTTAAGACCCTCTCCTCATTGGTCAGTCCACACGAGGTGGGTCAAAGGTTACTCTGGGCGGGTTACGTGTTGTCAGGCATTCAAGTATTGAATATATTTACTGCATATTACAGTAAAATATTCTGTATGTGACCACATTATGGTGATCCTTGGGTCGTGATGATGGAGCCCTTGAATATTGTTGCCCAGGGTACAACAAAGTGTTAATCTGGCCCTGGTTCCGCCGTCACATTCCCGCAGAAACTGGTTGATCACACCGGGGCCAGACTACTAGCATGTGGTTTTACAACCACAATGTCCTCGGAAGCAAAAATGCTTTTAAAAGGGAGGGAGGAGTCCTAACTGTTGCTGCAGGCGTGTTGTGTGAGAGTGCAGTTATATACTGGTTAATATATTTTTGGGTTCAGTTGCTTTCATGTGGCCTAATGTGAGTCTATTTGGGATCATTGGAATGATCAGCAGCATTTCTTGATGTGACTTTATGGCAGTTGCCCAGGGCATCATCGCAAGGAGGATGGCATTCATTTACTTTTGTTTTATTTGGTATTTTTTCAGTCATTTTTGGAAATAGTGATCAATTTTGATTAATTCACAGCCTATGTTTAATTACATTTAAAATAAATGTCAACAGATGAGATCAAACAAAACAGATGAGAATTGCCCTTAAGCTGTTTAACTTGGACCAAGCATTTTAGGTCACAGATAGATGTAGCTTAGGGTCTCTGTCTATACACCTTATAAGACAATTTAGGTGATGGCATGTTGTTTTTCTGCTATTGAACTGTTTTCTAATAATGTTGTGTTAAATAAAGTGAAGGAAGGAGAGAAATAACGTTTCCCTAGCAGTTTTTAAAAATTTCCCCATGTAATCCGATTAATCGATTAATCGTGTCGAGACCCTGTCCGATTAATCGATTATCCAAATAATCGTTTGTTGCAGCCCTATTGTGTTGCTCATGTTGTTGGTGCCAGGATGTACGTCTTTCCTTGGCTTTCTGTCATCTGTATGTGCTGTAAACATCTAAATCAGAGTGGTAACGTGTGTAAAATGTTTTAATTGTTTTCTCAGGTTCAGAGTGAGCTTATTGTCATTGCACCAACGTTCTGGAACAAGAAAATTTGACTCCACAGCACAACCTGACCAAGAATAAACACACGACAAATAGACAAAACAGATACAGGCAGGCCTGGAGAGCCAGGGGCGCAGATAGGATCTTCAAACTGGGGGGGACAAAGTTCCAATGTACCCTCCCCCAAACACATGCACGCACGCACACACACACACACACACACACACACACACACACACACACACACACACACACGCACGCACGCACGCACGCACGCACGTACACATACACATACACAAACTATTGCAAGAGCCTTAACTAGAGCTCAGTCAGTTTGTGTAATTTCCTCCGATGTTTTACGTAAAAACTAACTTTTATATACGTGTTTGAAGCCATTATGCAGTGGAACGCTGGCAACAAAGCTCTGCCTGATCAACACTAAATGATACATGGTCCGCACTTGTACAGCGCCTCTTAGAGTAAGGACTCCAAAGTGCTTTACACTACAGTGTATCATTCATCCATTCACACACACATTCACACACTGATGGCGATGAGCTACGATGTAGCCACAGCTGCCCTGGGGCGCACTGACAGAGGCGCTCCACTATTTAATTCAGCCATTTGTTATTCTTCCATTCAAGTACTAACCAAAACCTCATGCTTTATGCAAAACATTAAATGATTTTCAGTGTACCGATCTCTACAGAAAATATAAAAGCCCTAAAAACTGCACATAAAATATATTTAAAAAACAAAATTCACTTATCACTTAGAGCAGTAGTTCCCAAACTTTTCAGCCTGACCAACAGATGTTCCTTTGTATTTTGACGTTATTTATACGTTTTCATTATATTTGGAAAGTTTTAATTTATATATAAATATATAAATCTCTTTTTAAAATTTATATTTTACTTTTTTTTATGATTATGTGGCACACTTGACTTCCATACAACGCATCGGCATCTGCCTCTTTTTTACGGCTTTTTTATTTATTTATTTTTACATTGTCGCTACGTCTGTCACGTTTGCAGTGTTTTACCATAGTTTCTACATCCATCACGTCCCAGAGAAGGTTAAACCAACATCAAACCCAACGTTTGGAGCTTGTAAACTCCACACACCTCTCGTGCAGCACCAGCTGTCTGATGCTGCAGCAGGGTCAATCGTCCCGGCTGGATGAGTGAATTTCTTCATCAAAGTCAATATTCTGCTTCATAATCAGAGTCAGTCATTACCAGACAAAGTGATCAGTCAACAAAGACCAGACCTGCCGGCAATTATACGTTTTATCTAATATTTACACTCTTCATGCTGCGCGCATCTCCTCCTCTCCCCGACTGGGAGCCTCACGGTGGGAGGCGATTTTCAAGCTCTAAAAACTCCCAAACTTTGCTCAGCCTGAAGGTTCCACATCTCCACTATCTTCTGGTGTAAAGTAGTAACTTCATGAGGGATCATATTTGTAGATGAGACTTGTTAAAGTCAGCAATGAGGCTTTGGCGCTTATAACGAGTAAGTCCCAACACCGACAACAACGTACTGAAACTAGAACCAACATGCATAAGCAGACAGATCGGTCCCACCTACTTACACTGTTGGTCTTTTTTAAATACGCAGTAATCGTTGCTTGCTTTTTTCGCTTCATCCTGCATCCTAGCTGCAACCACTTTGCAATAATACCTAGCTGCGGACGTAGCCCCGGCCAAACACGCCCCCGGCACACGCCCCCGGCACACGCCCCCGGCCAACACCCCACCCCTCGACAAAACACCCCCCCCCTGTTGAGCTGAGCTACCCCCGAGCTCAATAACGGCGGCCCTCCCAGCGAACAACACAATTGAAAGAAAATAAATAAAGAAATAGTAATAATGTAATTAAACAGACAGGACTCCAGGTTTAAATATGAATGTATGGATTATTTTTCTTGCATACACACTATGGCCATCCCCAGTGAGATTATAAAACACAGATACCACCAACAAATAATCAGTTGCCGGACAATAGGCACAATATCAGAAAAAGTAATTAGTGGTAATCATTTTAATTAACCCCTT